TCTTTTTCTTGTCCTAATTTCTGTTCCCATCTTTTATGTTTGTTGCGGTAACTTGAATGATGCACATCACTGAAGCTGCCTCTAAAGTAAACACTTCACTGTTATTGTGGAAACTGTTTTCAACATTGGTTTGTATCACAGTTCTGTAATCAAGTTGTTACCTTAAAAGATGCGCGTAAGGTAATTTTATCTGCTCCTCCGAATTGTGTGGCTGAGTAGTTACTGATCTTTGCAGTGCAAGATGATTAGCACAGTTACCTCCTTTCCCTCAGCCTCCGCATTAGGCTAATCCAGCATTTGTCTGGGTTGTGTGAACTGCCACACTGAGTACCTATTTCCTGTTACCCCTCTAAAGGTGACTTTCTCCATGTATTTCAGTGCCTCTGGGAAGTTTCAGCAAGCTGGATTTCTGGGAAGCAGCTGAGTTCCCGGAATGCTGTGATTTCTAGGCAGAAGGGGGCCGTGTTACACAGGGTTACTCTCTGTCCTCCAGGGCAGATGGACGGGCAGCTCTGCAGCCGGGTTGTCACCATGGGATTTGGGAACACTTGCATTCCAAATGAGAAGGGGCTGTCCTGGCTGCTCAAATAAGGGTCTCTCTGAAACCTCATAGGGTGATCTCTCTATCCCAAAATGTTGTCTTTTCATGGGTCTTTAAACTTGGACAAAATTATATATTGCAGCAAAATTTCTTCATATGGCGTGAGAAAAAGGGTTAATATAGAGAAGTCTGCTGAATTTGGCTAATTGACCGTGTCTTCAGACTCTGAAGTTGTGGGGGCAAAGAGAAAATGGTGTGTTTGTAGGGTGGACTTCTTAATTTTCCAATTTTTTAGGAATGTTTAGGTGACGTTTTCTTGATTCCATGTTGTAAAGATCTTTAGTTGTGTGATACAGCATTTAAACAGCTGTTTTTTTGATAAGGATCTGTTTAGTAGGAAACTGTATGTGGCAACTCAAGGGATTCTATGATTGTGTAATTCTTCATGAGGGCTGGGGAGAACCTCCTGTATTGAAATGGACTACATAATGGTGTGTTACTTATTCTACTGAATATATTGCAGTTAATAATTAATTAGCATAATTTGAGCTTCTTCCCTCTTTGCTGGTAGTTAGGCAAAAAGCACGTGTATGGTGTATGTTACAACAGAAGGGCATCTGCTACCTATTAAAAATGCAAAACTGTAAAATGAGTATTCCTTTAATAGGTATTGAAAATATGAAGGATGGCTTTCCAGTCTAAGACTGAAACGGTTTTTAAAAGATGTAGGATTTAATATTGAAAGCAACACTTTTAAAGTCAGATTGCCTTTTTTTTTTAGGCGGAACAGCGTAAATACGTGCCATAGGCGCATACTGTGCTTCCAAAGGAGAAGCGTGTGCTGTGGGAATCCCGTGCGGGCCGAGTGGGAGCCAGTGCCTGCCCTGGGGCTCGGGGATGGCCGTGGGGGTATCGGGGATGGCCGTGAGGGTATCGGGGATGGCCGTGGGGGTATCGGGCATGGCCGCGGCCCGGTGTCCGCCGGTGGCTGCGCGGGGCGGAGCTGCGGGCACTGCGGCGGCACCGCGGCGGCGGGAGCTGCAGCCGGCCGGGCCGGCAGGGATGACATCACCCCCAGGAACATGTGATGCAGCCGGCTGGCGCGGAGGATGCTGAGCCGTGGAGGGAGAGATTGGTGCAGATATTTATGGCATTTCATTTGAGTGTGGTAAATGCCTTTTAATTTTTTTTTTTTTAATTAAATCCTCAGATCCACGAATGTTTTGTGGAGAAGAGGCTTTGGAAAGGGGGAGGGAGGACCCACCCCAAGCCCTTAAGAACTGCTTATATTGCTGGTTTTTGTTTTATTTTTGCTTCGTTGGAGATAAAAACGATACTTTCCTGCCGTATTCACCCTCTTTGCTCCCCAGCATTCTTTCATCTGTTGTAATCCCCACAGTCTTTTCAGTTAAGCTTTAACACTGCAGAACTGGAATAAAAATAGACTGTTTAGAGCAGCAGGAATATGATAATCCAAGGCAGTCAGCCTTAAGGATATGCAGATGCAGAACATGAGCCAAGCACTAACGTATTTGCTAGGGTGTTTACCTTGAGCGGCCCCTTAATAGTCAGAGAAATGTTAGCTAAATGTTTCTCGCTTCTTACATGCCACAGGCAAAGTAAAACGTGCAGCTACTGCGCATCATCATCCGAGGTGAAGTAGTTTAAGGGCTTAGAAATCTGAGCAAGCAATTGCGGTAACATCAGTGTCTTCGGTAATTTTGAGAGACAGCGAAGTACGGCACTAGTTTCTGCATGCTTTTTAGGTGAGGAGAAAGTGTTTTCTACCTCCGAATTTACTGTAAAGAAAAAGAATTGCCATGGCTGATATGAAAGCTGAGCATGCTAAATTGGCATTAAGCTTATGGTGGGTAGCTCAAAGCACATGAAAAAAAAAATAACTCTGGAAGTGTGCCTGTATGCCTTAGCAGTCAACTGAAACCCAAATATTTCAAGGTGGAAAAGGGTATTTGCTGTCTTTTTAGGCGATTTATTTAAGCCCAGGCTTTTTCTTAAAGCTATTTAGAGTTTTAGTCCATAACAAACAGAAATGTAGCAGGAACAAAACTGTAGGCAGTTTCAGTAAAAGGCTGATAACCATAGCCCTTTCTCTAGAGGAGTAATAATGCATGAGGTTCCTTTTGCTGTGTCTTAGAATCTTGAGAGCCTTGGTACAAACATGAAAGTAAACCCTGCACTGCTTTGGCAGTCTGGAGTTGCTGTGTAATTGCAAAATACTGTCCATCATGCAGAAACCCTCCATGCTATGTGGTTACCCAAGGAACCAGTTTTCCTGGTCTAGCCTTTCTAAGAATGTGTACTGAATTTTGGGATTGTTTTTGGTCTGTGGTATCTATGGAAAATACAAAGAACTAGCCAGGGAACTTCCATCGTACCGGAAGTTGATTTCTTTTCTTTTCATTTGTTTGCATTCTGTGAGTGCTGAGACAATGCCCTGGTTGAACACTTGAGTTATGGTGAACTAGAGGAACCTGCAGCTGGCAGACATTTGTCTGAACACGTCTTAAAAATCCCCAGTCATGGATAGGCTGTAGTCTTCTACAGGCAATCCATGTGCCGTTCACGGTTCTTTCCTTTACAAAATTTCCCGCTGTCTAGTAAACCTCTTGCTATAATTCGAAGAGTTTAAATTCTGTAGGCTTTTGTCACCAGTAGGCTTTGTTCTGAGGACTGCCACCCCATCTTCCTGCAGTTCTTCACTCAAAACAGATGCACAGGTGAGGATGGCATGCACACACCTGACCATTTTTGTCCCTTGGGTGTTGTGCTTGGTGCATCCTGGGTCTGTTTTTAAGGGTAGTCCCCACAACAAGATACTGTAGTGGCACAGAAGTCTCAGTACTGCTCTCTGGAGTAGAAAACCTCTGATGTAATTTACATATGTGATGCCCTGAAGTATAGGTCTTACATTACTTGATGACACTAGTTTGATACCTTCAAGTTTCAGTTTAGAAATGCATGGCTTTTTCATTTAAGCTCAGAGCCTGAGACCAAAGGATATGACGCATTTGGATATTTTTGAGGAGGAAGAGTCTTAATGTTGCTCTGATTTTGTAACACTTTGTTAAGTCTTCTGATGTTTACATTCTTTCAACAAACTTTCTTACACACGGTTCTGTAAATAACCTATGTTTTGCATTCTTTCATGGAGGTGGAGAGAATTGATGGACCCTTGGTCTGTCCAGTGGCATTGGAGAGGTGGCACTGTCATCCTCCAATCCACTGTCACCTTTGGAAAACTGTAAATGTTGGAGTCAGAAAATAAAGGTGCTTCTTTTTGTTCCCCTCGAGAGCAGCAGTGTCTGTGTCATCATTTCGTGCCTTATCACAACATCTTAACAGTACTTTTGTGCTTCAGTAGTTATAGAGAAGCAATGAGCTTCCCACTTAGCCCAGCAGGGGTACTTTCTTCAGATATGGGATTATTTTAAACAACACATGAATCCAAACAGACCAGGAAGGGTTGTACAGATAAGTCAGTTGAAGATGTGTCACCCAGTTCTTCTTGTCAGATGAACAAAATCAGCCTAAATATGACCAATTCTGTATTATACAGGTGAAATATAATGTAAAGAAATGCTTCCTAAATCTTCCTTGTCAGAGAAGGACAAACTTCAGAATTTGGCCACAGAATTAGAGTAGTAGAAATAGGAAGCAGAGAGGGAGAGACAAGCTGATGATGTGCTGCTTCGCAACATTGACTGTAATCACTCACCTTGGGCACTGTATCATACTCCATGTATGTACAGAGTTAGTATGATAAAATGTCCTGTTAGTATGATAAAATGCAAAATGCTGTTCCTATTAGGCAGCAGAAAAAAAATTCTGCTTACAGAAATGATTTAAGAAATGTTACATGTAAATAGTGTTGATGATTTTTAGCGGGTATTTTTTTGTTTTTGGGTGGGTTGGGGTGTTTTTGGTGGGGTTTTTTGTTTGGGTGTTTTTGTTTGTTTGTCTTTGTTGTTGTGGGATTTTGGGTGGGGTTTTTTGTTTGGGATTTGGGATTTTTTTAATGGTAATTGTTCTAAGCATACCTACTTCTTATAGCTTGTTACTCTTTATCCCTACTGGGAAAAAAAAAAAAAAAAGAAAGAAAAAAGAAAGTGGGATTTGGAATGCATAAAAGCCATGGATTCATATGACACTTTTCATTAACCGATGAAAAAGGCTAATTCTGGAATTTTGTTTTCTACTGAGGCTTGCTAACAGGCCTTGCTATTTGTGTTGAGCTGGTCAAAGTTATGACTTGTGCATTAATATGTCTTTAAAGTTTAGTTTATTTTTTGACAGACTTTTATTGTAAGGTTATCTTAATTCCTGTAATCATAACATTCCAAATGTATTCCAAAGGTAAATATTTTTCAGTGCATTCATTAAATGTAGAAGCTAGGCTTGTCTGAATTTTTGACTAATCATCTTCTCTTCTTTTTTTCAGGGTTTCGCAAAAATGATGAAATGAAGGCTATGGAAGTATTGCCAATTTTAAAGGAGAAGGTTGCATACCTTTCAGGTACAGTTATTTTCTCTTGCAGAATGCCCAACTGTGTTGTTAGTAGCATATAAAATGGTATTTAAAATACTTCAAATACTACAAAATTCATGGAACACTAGGGCAGCACTGATTCCTATTGGATATCCTAAACATAACATAAACATTTTGAAAGGCATAATGAAGGAGGGATTTGTTTTCTTGAATGTGGAACATTGCTAGTTTTTGTCTTGGTCATGTTAAGTCCTGCATTCCCCCTGGACACATCACTATTTACAGCAACTTATAACCTGCTGTTCTGACATCATATTCCTTTTCTTATTTCTGGTTCTTCTGATGGGGAATTTTACAGATATGCCTTTGTTATTGACCCATCTGCAGCATATTCTGGAGAAATATGTCTGTTGCAGAAGTGAACTTCAGTTGTCTGTCTTTTGAAGTATACTTAGTATTTTCATGGTGAACTGACTTAGCATGTAATTTTAGGTAATTCCAACATGAACATTGAATTTGGTTGGTTACTGAAAAGGAAGAGCAGGAGGATTTAAAGATGGGATTTATACGAGTTAGTATCATAACATAGTCTATAACTTCATAAGTATCTTTACTTGGTGGAATGATGGGTTGAGGTGCTTATTTTTGTAAACTGCATTTTAGTGTGACTTTCTGTTGGGATTAAACACCATCATTCTCTCGGCCATAATATTAGTGTCAAATGATTTAGAGGACAGTCTCATGTTTGCAAGTGGTTTCCTGGATAATTTTTCAAGAATGACAGAAGAAAGCTCTTGTCTGTAAATACTAAAACACATACAATTATTCCTGCAGTTGTACTCTTTAAGAGATTTACTGTGCATGGATGATGATGCCTGCATGTACAGCGTGTAGTACATAGTACTTTATCCTGTCCAGTCTGCCGACTAAAGTAGATGTACAAAGCAAAAAGATGTGTGGGTGAAGGTTTTTGTTTGTTTGTTTTCTTTTTTTTTGATGCTATTTTCTTAAAAGATCCTGGCAACTGTACTGAATAAGACCAGTTTTCCTGGTAGCATAGTAATTTGGGAATTGTAGTGCTGGTGAAGACTTGCTTAGGACTCTTTATTTTTAGAGGGAAAGAAGAGGAGAAAAGGAGGTTAAGCACAGTATGTCAGTCTCTCATTACTTTTTGGACCTTGTCTTACGTCATTGAATGAAAATGTTTTCACTCCAAAACTTCTGAATTTTTAAGTTGTCCGTACTTAGTTTATTCCCCTTAAAAGGGACCTGAAAAATGATGAATTTTTTTAATGTTAATTCATAAGCAGATGGCATTCTGAAAGGCATTAATTCAGTGAAAGTGAAATGGGCCAAATGAAAGATGAAGATGAATTTAAGGGGAGATGATAAATTGTGAAGCAGAACAGGGGAGGTATTGGCAGAAATAAATGGTTGCCAACTTGCCTGTATGAAGGTAGCAACACCTAATGGAAGAGTGGAGCAAACAGCTGTGGGCAACATGACTGGCTAGAACTGATCTGCCAAAATCCATAGTTTCACATTTCCATTGCAAGTGAAACTCAAATGGAATGAGATACATAAATAGTGCAGATGGATTAAAAAACCCTTAAGTACAACAACCTACAACAATACTCTTCAGTGCGTTCTCCCCCTTCCCTCAAAAAAGTACCATCACCACTAGGACCTAACCTAGTGCAGCTAGAACTGTCAAGCTTTATACCTGGGAACACAAAGATATTTGTTCATTTGGTTTCATTCATTTGGTTTACTGAACAGATTTTCACCTAACTGAGAAGTAAACTGCTTGAGTCTTACCACTGAAATAGTTACATCTCTAGGCTTTTCTATGAAGTCCAAATAGAATCTCGGATGCATTTTTTTGTGTTAAGTTTAAACTGAAACATGTCAAAGTACAAATACTCTCATATCTACACATAGCTAAGCAAGGAGAGCATTTTCTTACAAGGTGCAGTTATCTTGATTTCCTGTAGGGACATAGCCCTCGGTAACTTGCCTTGCCATAAAAGCCAACTGTTTAGCTTTCTTTACCAGAGTATTTTGTAACTAGGTTAAAAGGCATTTCTTAAAAAAGCTGCACTACTCAGCCTGTTGGATTTTAGTGCCATTTGGAGGCCATTGAGAATACTGCTGTTAGTGATGTGCACTAAGCAGAAATGATGCATGTTAGGTGACTCGCATGAGTTATTGGATAGATGTTTGTGTGACACGCTTTGGCATAAACAGAATATCTCGATAGTGGGGTGGGACGGTGTATCAAAGGAAATGGATTAAAATGGAAGTCTTAGTGATGAAAGCAGTAGTAGTGTAGTATGTTTTTGTTAAACATTAATAGGAGGTTGAGTTGGATGAAAACTATTGCAAGACAGGAAATTCCCACTGATGCCTCATGCATTGTTGCTTTTAACATTCTGGTTTGTCTGTGACACAGGAGCATCGAGAACAAAGGAAATGAGAGTTAGTTATTGTAAAAGGCCTAAGAATGCTGTCATTAGAGCTGATGAAAAAACCCCAAGTCTTAGAGACTTTTTTTTTTAATATTATTGTTTGCAATTTTGCCACCTGTTTTAAGACTGGACAGTCAAGTTCTTTTCATCTGAAATCAAGGCTGTATTAATTTATTACTCATCTAGACCTGGAGTTTGTACAACAAAGTTTGTCTCTGATGTACAAAAGTTTCAGGATATGATTTATCAGAAATTTAACCACTATTTTAGAAAATGGGCTTCTTCTGTGACATATGTGGAGCTAGAGCCAACTGGTGTCCAGAATGACATAAAAGTGCTATATTGAAAAATTGCATGATACAGGAGTTTGCAGTGTGGGAAAGGCCTGGAGGACTGGTCTGAGGTGACTATATGTAACAAAGCATTTGCTTAAAAAGCTTAGAGAGTGTTAAAGACAGTTTAGCTTATGCTTTTGCCTGCTAGCTGCTGCTTTTTGAAGAATATCCATCCTAAGCAATTGAGTTACTTTTTCTGGGGGGGCTGGGGTCAGTAGCACTTACCAGTTGAAAGTGGTAGATGTAAAGGTAGTGGCCTGTGGTGCAATGAGGAAATGAGGAGAGAGAGCATTAAAGGTTCTAGCAGACTGTCAACTACTCTTGCTAGCCTTGGAGCCCAGTGACGCCTCTGGAGCTCAGCAGGGGCCTCCGCTGTTGGACTCTATCTTGTCGTTTATCATTCCTTTCTCTTACAGATGCTGTCTTGTTTGTTTTTTTTTTTTCCCCCTTCATTTGCTATGTAAAAATCCTCAAAGCTTCTGCTTGGCGAGTGAGTCAGGATGGTCAAGACTTGCCTTTCTCCATTAGAATGAAACAACTCCATTTTTCATCTTATGTCTTACTTAAGAGGTCACAGAAGATAAAGATATGAATTTCCTTTTAAATTTTGCTTTCTGGAATTGTAGCTTGGTGGAGATTCAAAGATGCTTTTGCCTCTTTTGAGTTTCATTTAGTGTTTGACAGGGAGCATGTCCAGCGTAGACAATCTCTAGAGACGTTGACAGTCAGGTTTGGTGTCTTTGGCAAACACACACTAACTGTGTTGGAGGGGAGAGTGATGAATTTTTGAGTGACTGGTATTATTTATTGGTTTTATATTTATTTTTATCTTCTCTTGGCCTTCCTTTCTAAGTGATTTTTGAGCAACTTTGTTCAGCAACATGGAATTACAATGAGAAGCTGATGTGAAATGAGAAATTCTGGGCTGAAGATAGTGTTTTTTTGTGTTTACATGGGACGGGAGAAAACAGTCCACACATCTGTGGTTGAAAACATATATGTGAAGTTTAGCTTGCAAAAATCTGTCTGTGCTATTATAGATGTGTTGATAAAGACATCCTACTGGGCTTGAATTTGGTGTTTAGCAGTAGTAACATTTTGTTGTCACTAGCAAGGGGTTGGATATAAAATTGTGTTTTACTATTTGACTACAGCAAGTCTGTGCAATTTTATGGCTGAGATGAATGCATTTAAGTGGAACCACTTACGTCAGATTTTTTGCCTTATATATTAAGTGGATTCAGAATTTCCTGTGTTGCTAACAGAATTAAAAACTATAAACTGACAATTGGGAATCTGCAAATCAGAACAGGATAAAAATACAAATTAAATGCTTAAATAGTTTCCATCCGCTCAATCTATGTGATTGTGAAATAATATACATGTAAATTCTCGTAGTAATTAATTTAATCATTGAATTACAAGATCATTTAAGTTGGAAAAGACCTTTAAGAGGTCTTAAATGTCTTTCATTCTAGCTCTTTACCTGGCACTGCCATGTCCACCACTAACCATGTCCCCAAGTGCTACATCTACGCGTCTTTTAAATGCCGCCAGGGGTTGTGACTCAACCACTTCCCTAGGCAGCCAGTTGTCTAATGCTTGACAACTCTTTTGGTGAAGAAATTTTTCCTGATATTTAAACATTCCCTGGTGCAACTTGAGGTCATTTCCTCTCATCTTGTCACTTGTTACCTTGTGACCAGCACTCACCCCACTGCTGCATCCTTTCAGGGAATTGTAGAGAGCAATAAGGTGTCCCCCGAGCCTCCTTTTCTCTGGGCTAAACAATCCCTCAGAGGTTCCTCATAAGCCTTATCCTCCAAAACTCTTCACCAGCTCTGCTTTCCTTCCCTGGACAAACTCCAGCACCTCAATGTCCTCCTTGTAGTAAATGAGCCAAGAGCTGGACACAGGATTGGAGGTGTGCCCTCCCCAGTGCCAAATACAGTGCCCTGCTCCTGCTGGCCACACTATTGCTGATACAGGCCAGGGAGCCATTGGCCTTCTTGGCCACCTGGACATACTTCTGGATCCTGTTCAGCTGCTGTCAATCAGCACCTCCAGGTCCTTTTCCACTTGGCAGATTTCCAACCTCTCTTCTCCCAGTCCGTAGCAATGCCTTGGGTTTTTCTGACCCAAGTGCAGGTCCCAGCACTTGGCCTTGTTCAACCTCATACTACTGACCTCGGCCCATCAATCCACTCCTGCCCAGCCTGGCATCACCTGCAAACTTCCCCTTTATTCTTATAAGCAGTCAACTTTCTTGTCACCATCATTAAGCTCTAGACAATCATAACACTCCTAACATTCAGGGCTACCTTGCCAACTCTCCTTCCATGCCCATCCCTTCTGAAGGGTTTACAGACATCCATTGCAGCACCCCAGCTGTGCAAATCATCCCACCATGTTTCCATGATGGCAGCTATATCACAGTTTTCCTGCTGCCCAGTGGCTTCCAGCTCCTCCTGTTTGTTGCTCAAGCCATGTTCATTGGTGTAGATGCACTTGAGTTGGGCTATTAATTCTGTCACTTTTTTTTGGGGTAGAAGCCCTAATTCCTACATGACCATTCTCAGGTGCTTCCATGCTTTCTGACGCTTCAGTATCTCTTACATTTTGGCTGCTGCATGGATCTCTGTTCCTACCTGCTGTGAGATGGGAGACTGAAAGACCTTGCTAGTTCACCATTCCTCAGACACTGGTCTTCTGCCTCCATGCTAATCTCTAGCGAACATCGCTTTACCAAGTCTAGTCTAAAGCTCTTTCAGTGAGCCGTGATAATTCCGGTGCAAAGATCCTTTTCCTTCTTTGAGGCAGGTGTAACTTGTCTGTCACCAGCAGGCTCAATATCATATAAACCAACCCAGGATCAGAAAACGCAAAAATCTCCCAGTGGCACCAGGCTCGGAGCCAGGCATTGATCTGATGGCTCTTCCCATTTCTTCCCTTTTTATCCCCTGCAACAAGAAGCACCGAGAAAGCACTACCTGTGCTCCAACCAGTCATCCCGAGGCTTTCAGGGAGAGACTTCAATCACATCTCTCTTGATTGTCCTTGGGCTTCTTATTGCAATTTCTTGCTTTTTCCCTAAGTATGAGGTTAATAATAATGTGTTTTCCCACGGGCCATTCCAGGGTAGGAAGCTTCCTCATCACATCTTTAACCTTGGGCCCAGGGCGGCAGCAGGCTTCCTGAAGAAGTTGGCACACTGGGCCTTTGGTCCCTTCAGAAGGGAGTCTCCTATACAATGATCCATCTGTCTTCAACCTACTCACCTCCTCCCTGAGCTCTGTCACTGAGCAGAGGAGCTCCTCTAGCTGGGCACACCTCCCACAGCTGTGCTCTCTGCTGCCATATCATCTAAATACTTGCCTACAAAGTAGTATAATTCTGTATTTAAATTACATCTGTACAATTGCTGAGTCAAAAATTAAATACGTAACAGAGTGCCATTGCTGGAGATGTCACACTACCAGTCAAACCTGAAGGTGACTGTAATGTCTAAGTGTAATGCTCTGACTATTCTTTGTTTCAGTTTTTTTGGCATATGCTTTCTCACTGTAGGAATTGTGGCAATATGCAGATCAATCAATCTTAAGTTGGTCTCAAAATGGCAATGTTGGCATTTAAGTTAAAATCACTTTTTTAAAAGTAGATACTGAAGATGAGTTCTGCAAAAAAGAATTTTATGTTATACTGTGGGATTTTCTAACATTTTTAATTTTTCAGGTGGCAGAGATAAGCGTGGAGGTCCCATTCTAACATTTCCAGCTCGTAGTAATCACGACAGAATACGGCAAGAAGACCTTAGAAGACTAATTTCATATCTAGCATGTATTCCTAGGTAAGCGATTGTCTGTTAACCTCTAAGGCTGTATAACAAAATAAGTGGATTACGTTGCAGTACTCTCACAAGCTAGCAGACTGAGTTAATAACATGAGCAAATCAATACCAAGTTTTGTCGTTTGCTATTTTCAAATGGCTTTCTGGAAGAGAAATAATTACTCTGCCTTGTAAAAGGAAGGCAGCTGGCAGAAGGGCTGGTGTGCTTTAGCTAAAAGTAGTTTGTGTCTCGGAAATGGCACTGCCATGCCACATTGCTGTTGCTGTGTTGAAGACTGCAAATACAACTCAAAGGCTTTCAGTACATCAATAATTAGAAGCATGCTGGTCATCCTTCACCATATGCCTTGTGTGGAGTGCAGTCAGCACAGGACTCCTGTTATTTTTGTTAGATAAGTCATAGTGTCCTGATACAGCACGGAAATAATCAGGAGAAAGGTATGAAAAATTGTTTGTAAAGGTCTCAGATAAACCTGTGGAGTCATCTGTGAAAGTACTGATACCGTTGCATTATCAGCAATTCAACCTATGAAATGAGCTGTTTAAATAAATTGACAGAAGTCAAATCCAGCGGTAGTGTGTGTGTGCATATATACCCTCTCATATATATATATATATATATATATATATATATATATATATATATAGTTGTATTTATGTATGAGATACTTCATACAGAACTTTGCTTTCTGTAGTAATCAAGTTGGGAACAAAAATGATCCTAAGACTCTGACTTTAGGTCCATCTTGGAACCTTCCAGCATTTGTTTCAGGCTGGAGCAATGCTGACTGTGCTTGACTCTGTTTGTCTATGACCACAAGCAGCAGTTGTCATTACAGTTGAAAAAAATTCCTTGGACAACATCCCTAGTGCAATATCTTCCATGTTTGTGTAACGTGCTAATTTACTGAGAGTCTTTGCACTTGATATAATACTAGTTTCTGACTGGGAAAGGTGGTTTCATAAGAGCAACTTCAAGGCATCTGTCTGAGAGAATACATGGCCTCCTTTTTGTAAAGTTAACTGGGGATCTCAGGGGACTTAGAGAAAAGAGAACAGGAAGAAGGCTTGAAATTTTTGGTCTCAGATTTGCATGGTGAGATGTATTCTAGCCATCTAGAGCTTCAAGTTGCTAGATAAGTTAATAGATAAATATGCATCAAAATATGTCCAAGAATTTTTTAGAGCTAATCAGGGCAAGAAGCAGCCTTCCTCTGGCAAAAGGTGTATTTTAGTCAGCTTAGATGAATAGATCTAAAATTAAAAGAATGTTAGTGCATGTTTTATACTCTTTAAGCATGGCAAACTTTTGAGAATAAAGGGAGCTTTATCAAAAGTAAGACTTATTTTCATACAAGTCATGTTTAAGGGACTGATTATGCAACTCTAGCTAATTAGAAGTCCCCGAACTTTTGGGGTGTTTGTTATTTGTTGCAGTACTGTTACATGATGTAGCTGAAGAATCACACATATCAGTTATTTGGCAAGAGATCTAAAAGCTTAAGTTGACTCAGTCTCACAATTTTACTGATTTTATAATTTATCTGATTTAAAAATATGGCTGAACTTATGTCATCACCACAGAGTGGGCCAGATATTTTAGTGTTGTTCAGGCTTACCATCACATGACTTTGACTCTCTTGAAAAAATCTTGTGATCCTTGGCCAAAAGACATTAAGCTTGTGTGAAATGATGTGGCTCCATGATGGAGCACACAGCCGCACTGTATCACACGATGAGGGACCACTTTGGACACCCCAGTAGATACATGCCTTTTGAATTAGTGGCAAGCACTCCCTGTGCAATCCTCAGTTTGGTAGGATAGAGATGGACTGAGCAGCACTCCTATGGCCATTTGACCTTACAGTGATGGATCTGTCTTTAAGACAGTAGTTGTTTTTTCCTTGAATTCTGTGATGATTTTAGAAAGCATTTTCCCCATGGTCAGAAAATTGTACGTTGTAGCCTACCTGTATGCCAAGCTAGTTACTTTTAATATATTTTGCTTCTGACACTGCCATTTTTGGCATTCCTATGGGCAGGTGGGAGAGCCAGTGTTTATCATAATAAATTCATTTTTTGAAATGTTGTGGGATATTTATTCTCTCTTCTTTTCCCTAGCTTTAAACTTGTCAAAGTTAAAAAACCCTTCCCTTTCTGAGGAACCCATGTTATCACTTTTTCCAGATCTCCTATAGCAGTTATAATCCATCTTTCTGCAATGTGGCCAATAAGACTGAGTGAAATATGCCAGTGAAGCTTTCCTGCCTCTTGGACGCTCCAGAAACCTCACCACATGAACTCTAGAATGGCATTTGAATTAGTCACATCCCTGAAAGTGACTCATACTCAAACAATGGACATTTGGTCCTTTTTGATAGTCTGTTGGCTATGATGCATTGCTTTTGAAATGTTTTCCTTCCTATGGTCATACTACAAGGTCATGTAGCAAATTCTGTTGGAAGAAAATCTGAGTTTCTGGTGGTGGTGGTGATTGTCACTTTTGATCAGTGGCAAGAACTAAATGTACGGAAGATATTGATGAAAATAAATTAAATTTTCCATTCTCAGAGGGAGTTCCGGAGAATTTGAGTATAAGGTCTGTCAACTTTTGGACAGCAAAATTGAGTTCAGATTTTGTAGAAACAGATTCATGTGGTTTTCTTCACAACCATAAAATACGGTGTTGTCCTTTAACTATTCACAAATCAATCCTGTTACAAAAGAAATTGTCAATAAATGGGTGTCTTTCCTCTACAGACTAACTCTCAGATAAAATGGTTCTAAATCTGAGAGAATTTGGAAAAGTTGTGAAGTGGTAGGTAAGAAGTGGTAAGTAAGAGCAATTTACCATCTTCTGTCTTTTTAGAGGATCCCCTCAATCATTAGAAAGACATGAATATTATCATCGGTCAAGTAAGTGTGTGTGTGTGTGTTCTGAAGAGTAAATTGTAAATGTATTAGATATTGCTGCTTTAGGAAATGGTAGGTTTACTGGGTAAACGTAAAACAAGACTGGACGATGAATCATCATGAATATAAACAGTGAAAGTGGAGATAATGGCAGAATATCAAATCAGCAACAGATAGAAAGCTATCCCCCACAAGGAGTTTGTCATGTGGGTGAAAGAAGCATCTTGAGAGAGTTGTGAGATCTGCTGTGTATGGTCAGCTAGTCAGGAGTGAAACACTGAGGAGACCACATTGATTAGGAGACGTGGTGCAGTAGAGTGTTTTGTTGGAAATTTTTGAAACACTTGCTTGATAACCTTTCCTTCTGTTTTCTGCAGTGAGGAAGTATGTAAACGAGGATTCACCGTCATTGTAGATATGCGTGGGTCAAAATGGGACTCCATAAAGCCTCTGCTGAAGATTTTACAGGAATCTTTTCCATGTTGTATTCATGTTGCACTGATAATCAAGCCAGACAATTTCTGGCAGAAACAGAGAACTAACTTTGGCAGCTCTAAGTTCGAGTTTGAGGTAATTTCTCCTATAGTATACAAATGTATATTTATTTTGAGGTTTTGAATGTTCTCACTAATGATCAGCATCTTGAAAACTCTCAGATAAATTATATTCTGGCTGGAAGGGGAGGTACTTTAGAGCAGTGGTGCTAGAAGAAATGTGGTTTTCTTCATGTACTTAGGCTAGGTAATGGTGTATGTTGTTGTTTATATTCTTTTTATAAGCTTAAGAAAGATTGAATTAGGTTTTTCCCCCTAATGATACAAACTTAGGTTTGGTCTCTTTGTTATCTTAGCTTGCATTATGGTAATATTGATATCTCCAGAATCCAGAGGAAATCAGCTGAATGAACGTTGCTGTTATCCTCCTGAAGCTTTGCAATACACAAAGTTAAAAGAGTAATCGAAAGAGTGGTTGCTGTTTTGTTCTTAAATGTAGTGAGGTAAGACAGAGATGTGGGAAAATATCTGCAAGACCTCCTGTCTTCTGCTGATCAGAACTGATACTTGAAATGTGTGAGAAAAGTTGTCATGTGGACTTCATGAGCAAAAAGAAAAAGCAAAACCTTTCTCTTACAAAAAGAAAAGCAAAAACTTGAAAGGAAGTTTCAAATTCATTTCAGTAACAGCATTTTTTTCTTTCCATTTTTATTTTTTAGACAAATATGGTGTCTCTGGAAGGCCTTACCAAAGTAGTTGATCCTTCTCAGCTAACCCCAGAATTTGATGGCTGTTTGGAGTACAACCATGAGGAGTGGATAGAAATCAGAGTTGCCTTTGAGGACTACATTAGCAATGCAACCCACATGCTGTCCAGACTGGAGGAACTGCAAGATATATTGTCAAAAAAGGAAATGCCTCAGGACCTGGAAGGTGCTCGCAATATGATAGAGGAGCATTCACAATTAAAAAAGAAAGTCATTAAGGCCCCTATCGAGGACCTTGATGTGGAAGGACAAAAGCTGCTCCAGCGGATACAAAGCAGTGATAGCTTTCCCAAAAAGAACTCTGGGTCAGGGAATGCAGACTTACAGAACCTTTTACCCAAAGTGTCCACCATGCTGGACAGGCTGCACTCAACACGGCAGCATCTGCATCAGATGTGGCATGTGCGGAAATTGAAATTGGACCAATGCTTTCAGCTCAGGCTGTTTGAGCAGGATGCTGAAAAGGTAAGGATGGAGCAGGAGACTATAAATGGTTGATACTTGACGGACTTGAAAGAAAGTACGAAGGGTAACTGAAAATAGTAATTTTTGTCTTTGAAGTTAATCACTAGCCTTTTAATGAGAAATAAGGGACTTCTTGATTGAGAGGCACTCAGGGTCTTCTGGAATAAGGGGCATGGGTTAGTGCTTCTAAACTGTAAGGAGCACAGGAAGCTCTTAGCAAAGAAAATTGTAACTGCTAATGGCTTCAAAGTGGTTATTTTGTTAAGCATTTGTTCCAGACAGATGCTTTTGTATGCATCAAGTAAAGAAGTATGCTGTATACTTTATAGATACAGATGATTATGTACTACATTGGTCTTCTTTTGAGTGATCTTTGGGAAGTGAGTGACAGGCAGTCAACAAAGCCTGAAGAGGCTGACATGGGGAACTGCTTCATTGATGCAGGGTTTGAAGTCCCAGGCTAAAAACTGATGTATCTCTTCTGACAGTGCATATGTCATTAACAGGGAACTGAGTGATTTCAGAATGTTTCGGGCTAACCAGTCCCTTCAGATGAGAAAGCCCTTGATTGTCATGGAATTTGAAGAGGAAGTATGGCAGGCAGATCACTTTTAGATGAGCTCAAATTAGGTCTATTTTCATGTAGAATGGTTTTGCAATCTCTTATTATTGACTTGTTACCATGGAACAAATAGCTTTAAGGAAGGGTGGGGATTTTTTCTCTGGGAGTAATAGTATCTAGACTATGCAGTCAAGTGGTAAGTATGTTTTTTGTCGGAGCTTAAAGCACTCAGATTTCTTGAAGTATTTTACATAAGATTGCCTGAACTGCATGAAACCAACAGTCCATGTTAAACTAGTATTCTGCTCTCCACCAGCTGTCACTAGCAGATTCATGGGGAAGAGTAAAAGCAGAGCAAACATATAAAAACTTAACTTCTTCTTGTTTCTTTATGTGTATTCTTTGCCCATACTTTCCCTTACCCCCATCATTTCAACTCAGGGACTTTCTTTACACTACTGTAATGTTTTCTGCTGTGTTTAAAAAATAAATAATTTTTTAAAGTACCATTTAAAGCAAATGTTTACTGGATGGTATAGCTGAAAATAGTAGGAGTATGTAGTACATGTCTCTACATGTGTATAACTTGTAGAGAGTTGGAAAAAAAGATTAAATTATTATTTATTTCTAAAATGATTTAGAAAATAATGCAAGCTGTTGTTCTGGTTTTGCTCTTTAAGACCCAAATGCATTTTATCAACCTTGCAGCCATTTATTACAGCATTAATTTTTCTGCATTATAGCATATCTTTCCGTACCATGTGAGCACCATCAAAATACATTTTGTTAATTTTATCATATTTTATCAAATGGATTACATAACTTGTGCTTTAACAAACTTCTTGCAAAATACTTGAGGCTGTGGACTTGACCTCTGTCCTCCCATGTGGTTGCATAAGCTCCTATCAGTGTTTTCTACGTTTCTGATTCCAGGAATAAGTCTATATTAAATTAACACATCTTTCTTTCAAAAGGGAAGTATTAGGCACCTCAAAATGAAGTTGACAGCAGCTATTATACCTGGGACAGTTTTTCTCGCATTAGCCAGTAAAAAAGATTTAAAAGAAGGTTTGTGTAGTATCCCAACTCACTTTTGGGTTAAGACCCTTCCCTTAGTCTACTTGCAGCCTGTATTTTTACTGCTTGTGTTAGATGAGATTTCACAGCTCATGACTTTTTTATCAGCGTATGTCTGTGTTTTACTGAAATGTGGAAAGGATGGGATCTTTGTTGGAAAGAAAAAGGGTATTGCATGGGGAGAAATAAACATGTTCCTTTTGGAGGACTTGTTCAATTCAGTGCAAGAAATTTGGACTGGTTCAGAAGAAGAGAAGGCAAAAAAGGGGCAAGGTGGGAAGGAATCTGATTGAAATTGCTCCTTTAAGTGTCTGAAGGCAACAAATTCAAGTGACCTAGAGGAGGATGGTCACAAGCAGTACCAGTGTCTGTTTTGAATAATGTTCTAACACATTTTCACTGAGTTCTAGATAAGAAGCTTCAAATTTTAGGAGTATGTGATCAACTGTCTGTTATTTAAACTTCAAAAGTTTGGTTTAAAGTTCTTACCTTATTGTGGTTTGCTTATAATTTAGTTTGTCATGGACTTGGGACAAAGACTGGATTTGATCATGTTGTTCTGTTAGCCAGCATATTTGGAAAGATCTTTAAATGAATACTTCCTCCTTACTGCTACTGTTTTTTCCTGGACAATCTATTTCAGCTTATCCAGAGAGCAGGTGGGGTGTCTCTTTTGCTGAGATATAGCAAAGATTTCAAGACCATTGTGAGCAGGTGGGGTGTGAAACAGCTCTTTGCTGTGTTGCTTGGTCTTTGAAAACTTTGTCTTCCAGCGCCACTGTTAATGTACCTGTGTGCCTTCACTGATGGCCATTGTCATATACAGTCTGTCCTAAATTTTTAAAAAATACTAAAATATTCCTTTTTTTTCTTTTTAAAAACAAGCATATTTAAAGATTTTTCTTAAATTTCTCTGGAGGAAGATAATTTTGTGCTCACATATACTTTTAATAATTAATCTAGAAATAGAATATTTGTTTTCCAATCTGCTGTAAACTTATGAACTAAAAATATTAAACTAGCTGTTGAAGTACTTGATCAGCATGAAAGAATTTATATTTAATTTCCATGAGTTGCCATTTTCATTCTAAACTGCTAAGCTGCTGATGTCAATAAGTGCTGACACTAGAGGATATATAAGCTTGGCAACTCAGGGCTGTGCTCCAAGTCTGTTTGTTTACTATGACATCTTTGTAATAATGAAGTTTATGATTATGACATTACTGTAGCTTGTTGAGATAAACACCTACAGTAAAGATAACAGTAACAGCCTCAGCTGTTTGATCCAAAAAGACAAGTTTCAGCAATGATTGAGTTAAAATATGCAGTAAATTAAAATGGAAGGAGCATCAGTGTTAATTTTCACGGCCTTATACTCTGTATTCAGTGTTCATAGGGATCTCCCATTACTTGTCTGCGATTTCTGGCATAACAAATTATTGAACTTTCTTCTTTCCTTAATATTTTCGTGTAGATGTTTGACTGGATCACACACAACAAAGGTCTGTTTCTGAACAGCTACACAGAGATTGGAACCAGTCACCCCCACGCAATGGAACTTCAGACACAGCACAATCACTTCGCCATGAACTGCATGGTAAGAACAGGCCTCCCTGCACAGACGTGCTGGCTATTTGTTCTGTGTTAAGGTAGAATTTGTAAGTGCATAAACACAGATTATTCCTTCTTTTCAAGTAGTGGAAATTTGGTTTTGAACAGTGAGGTTATAAAACACAATGGAGGAAAATAAAGGGTGGTCAGGTGCAGCGGAACTGTGATAAAGCAACAAAATTGTTTTGACAAATGGCAGTGTTCAACATGACCTCAGCACCTCTCAAATATAAGTGTCCAAGCTTCTAGAACCTGGGATGTATCTTTGAGTACTACCTTGGGTCTTGTAGAAAATTTCAGAGAATCATGTGTAATACAGATTTTAGCTCTCCATTCTGAAAGAAATAGCTCTCAGGTTCTTCTGAAGAGATTACAACTCAGGCAAAAAGTTCTGAGAAGTAACTGAGCCTGGTGTAATAATTAATTCTCCATGGTTTCAAGAAGATATTTCTCATTTTCGGCACAGCAGAATGGAGCTAAGACAACTTTTTTGGTCAAATATGATCAGTAGGCTATAAAACATTTTTGGATTTTAACTGGCAATGAGTGAAAGCTATTTACTTTCAGTTTTATGAATTGCTGTTTGAACATGGGAACAAAATTCTGAGTTACATTTTGGATCCTTAACACATTGTAGGTGTTTAAATAACCTTGGGAGTCTGGGCCTAAGTCCAGTTCCTGTTTGTTAGATCAATGAAGGAAGAACACTACCAGTCTTGTTACAAATTAACATTCTTGGCAGTCCAAGGATGGGAATTGAATTAAAGTATGGTTGAAATAATGAACTCTTGCAAGAGGGTTTTTCTGTAGAACAGGAAAGTGGCAAAATAAATGCACCTAGGTTGCAGAAGTAATGGAAGGACTAATAATGCAGCTCTTGTGTATGGTGTAGCTGGAGGGAAGACAATAGAAAACATGATTAGAACAGGCACATTTTCTTCTTTTGCAACTCAGCTCTGTTTCCAAAAGTTTAAAAGAATTGAAAATCAATATGAACTTTCTGAAAAGTGCTGGTGAACTTGGCAATTAAGTTATGTAACATCATATATGGTTTTGACCATTAGGTTTGGTTCACAGCATGGGGAATTGCTGCCTTATGGAGCACCTTGTTGTTATTCTTCAATGCTCTGCATATGAAGTAGAGCAGAAAGAAACACAGGATGACAGGAGGAGTCATTGGCATAAGATGACTTTAGGAACTTAGTAATTTTGGGTGGCCTTCCACACAATTCTTGGGGTTGCATTCTAAAGGTTAAATTCTTCTGTAAGCCTGCCCTCATATTAGTCGCTGCTGTAGTCTTTTCTTCAAACTGTGTGACTTTTTATTCTTTTTCCTTCTTGTAGACTGTTCAGATGCTATCAACAGCAGGAAGCACTTGAGCGATACAGCATAATCCTTCCTGCTCTGTGTTTGCTATTAGTCTTTTCCTGTTAATCTCTCCTTTGCCTTTAGTTGTGAAATGCATTAATTACAGGGGATGTTTTCTCAGCCTGCAAAATGTTTTCTTAAAACTTACAAGGAGCAGCTTAAATTTGGGGTAAATTAAGCTATCTGAACATTCAAAAGGGTAAAAACAAGCTGCATTTTTTTCTGTAGGATAGCCCCCCCAGCAGGGGCTCTCTGTCATGAAATAGGAAAATATAAATTCAGTATGATTGGTCCCTGGTTTTGCTTTAAGCAGCACTCAGATTATCTGGGTTTTATTTGGTTAAATGGCAAAAGCCTTTCATATAGATTAAGGGCAAAGATTAAACTGAACGTGACATAAAAAATGACGTGAACTGATTGAATTTTGGCAGGCCTTACTTTTCACTAGCTTTCAACTGGAAAAATGTGGGGCAGTCTTTAACTCGTGCAACCATGTTCAGCTTCTCCCTGACCACTCTCTCTGTATGCTCTGTGCTTAACAAGTTGCTGTTTGTTCATTCTTCCCATCAGTGTAACTGCTCAGTAATCAAAGTGGATTTAAGGTGTCTTGTGTGAGTACTCTAACACCAGAAGTGAAATTTAACTTTTAACCTATCTACAGCCACATGAAGTGATTCATTTGGATGGAGTAGAGGGAGAGAGAAAGAAAACTATGTATAAGCTTTATTTATTGCAGGAGATTTTTAAGACTTTTCATTGTGGCCCTAATTGGACCTTAAGAGATCTTGCTTTCTAGTCAATTTTTTTAGGCTCACTTGAGGTAGGGAAAAAACTGTTAGAAGAATAAATGCTCCCCAAGCAGGTAAACGCAACCTCTTGCACTTGCTCATAACTTAACTCTGATAATTGATGTTGCAGCTGCTTTTCCCAAAACCTTGTGGTTTTTGCAGGGCACGTGCTCCCCTCCACAGCAGGTGCTACCCTCTGTCAGTAGCTGTGTCTCTCATGTCCCCTTCCTTCCCAAGCAGCAGTGTGTTTCCAAGAGCTGGAGGGCAACTTCTGCAGCTGCTCATGCCAAACTTGGCTGAGAAAGAGTGACAGCCTTTGGGTGAGACGCCAAAATTTTGATCTGGTCTTCAGTCTGAATCAAGCCACCTGGATGTAAACCATTGTGAAAGATACTTATTTCCTGTCATGAACAAGAGTTAGTTACATCAAGGACAAAGAGAATTTGCTGAATTTTTTTTTTCATTTTCTTGTAATGGCTTTGTGCCATTTTTAGAATGTTGGTTTTCAGTAAGAACACAAAACAGTGGGAAGTGTAAACCAAATGCTGTAAAACAAAAAGGGAAAGAATACATCTGGGGATGAGATTTAACTTTACTTTCAACAGTTTCATTAGCAAATGGAATATCTAGGAAGCTTATGTATTCATGTGGTTGCACTTTTCAAGGTAACAGGAATAAGTTCATGCAAATCTGAAGCTTAATACACAAGATTGGTTCTCACAGCAATAAATCTGTCCCAGAGAAAAGCTGGATAGGTGTAGTGCTGTGTGTTAAAGAGAGACATGTATATGGTTACCATGAATTAACACACAGGTTGATGTGGCTAAAGGAGCTACTGTAGGAAGGATAGGCATGTGACTTCCTGTTACTGAATTTGAGAAGCTGTGCACTGATAAAAGTCAAGGCTGTCTCTTTACAGGGCAGGATCCCATGTTCTATAACTGTAGGGAAAAACAAAATTTCAGTGATTCTGCTCTCTGAAAATGAGGATGGATTTTCAGTACAATGTTAAAGGCCTGCTTTCAACAACAGTAAATTGCTGTTGTCAAATCCTGAGATTTATTTGAGTTAAGCAATACTCAGTTTCAGCTTGACATTCCTATTTGGGTGATTAAACCAATGCTTCACTTCTCAAAACAACTTTTTAGTACCTTGTAAGGGAGAAACTTTCAAATAACTCATCTTAGGAGTTACAAGTACAAAAATTATGTATTGAGTCTTTAAACAGCAAGAATAAAGTACCCATGATTATATGATTAGTCTGACTTGCATAGAAGAGTGGGAAAGACTGACTATATGTCTGTCCACTCCTTTTCCTGCCATTTTCTATACATCTGCTGAGACACAAGGAAGACAAGAAGTCATGTGAAATATGGGTAAGCAGGAGGACGTTGTCTGTTTGAATATTTTCTGCTCTTTTTGCTAGTTCAGATGGCCTTGCTTTCATTACAGCTTAACTGTGCCTCTCCCTGCACTGGGGAGGGTTAAAATGCTTGAAGAGTGATGCAGGCAAAATGAAACTTTGTTTGTAGAAAGCTGACACATGCTACTATTAAAGGATGTGCTATGACTGCTTCTTGTCTCAGTGTTCATAGGACCATGAGTAGAAGTTACATTTATTAACTGTAATCCAAAAACTCCTATCTCAGTTGTCAGCGTATTGCTAAGTTGATTAATGTTCTCAGAACAGGCTGTTTGCATACACTAAACCATTTAATCAAGGTAGTAATCAAATCCTGAATGCTATCCAATAAGAGAGTGTCAGAGATGAGCACTGGTGAGACCTTTGGAATGGTAAAAGAAAAGTGTAAGCACAACGATTGAATATCCCTAGGTGTGCAGAGATAAAAGTTAAAAAGATGTCTTGCTCAAATCCAGCCTCAGGGACTGGTACAAATGAAAACATGAAGAAAGTCAGGTGAGGTAAAGTCACCTTACCTTAGATGTAGTGTAATTTTTTCCTCCTCCTTTGTACCACTGAAAAATTTACCCCTGAGATTCTTTTTACTTTAAGTATGTGTTTTTGTAACCATACAGATTTGTCACTTGAGATAGACTAGAGCACCATGTGAATTCTAGACTGCCCTTGGCTCTCAGGATTTGGGCAAATGAGAGTAAGACCACAGGTGTACGTCCCTAAGAGAATCTTAATGGTGCCTGGACAGTTAATGCTTAGACACAGTGTCTGTATGCTACCAGCCTGAGAATAGACTGAAAAGGTAAAATGAGTTCAGGCTATTTTCAGCTTCTGAGGAGCACTCCAAAGTCAGCAAGACTAAATAGAACAGGCTAACTGTGCAGTCCTTAAGAGGGAAAGCAGTCAGTTACTGAGGTGTTAATACAGCAACAAGTACGTTCATGTTAATGAATCACAAACTAAGGGAACAGACAGTGGTGTTATTGAAAGGAAGCAAATCTTATTTCGCTCTTGGTACTTATTCTTGGCTGAACTTCAGATTTGTAAAGAAAATGCTCTGATTCAGTTGGTCCTACTAGAGAACTAGGTCCAGTTTAGAGCCCCATACTTAGTGCTGTAATGGGAAACATACATGAAAGTGATGTGGCTGTAGGGAGAGTTTGAAGGCATAGACATTTACTGTGATTAAGTAAAGGTGAGTAAAAAGTACAGAAGGAAGGAAAGTAATGCTGGTGTTGGACTATATAGTCTTGCAGTAAGATTCCTCATGTCCACTGTGAAAAATGTAGGAAAGAAATCAGATATTTGAAGAAAGTTGGAGTGAAATTATTTTGCACATGTTCCGGTGCTGATAGCAGTGGTTAAATGGTTACCTGTGAATATTTAGAGCATTCTTGTAGTCGAAGAACACGTTAAACAATTGCAGCTTGGATGTTGCCAAGTTTATATTTTTTCAAGAGAATAGATTAGGTTTTACCTTTAGTTGTCCTGCAGCCCTCATCACTGAAGTTTGTATTCCCAAACTGATAGTTTTACTCTTGCTTCAAAAATGATACTAGAAGAAATGTTAAAGAACGTGTAAATCATTAAAGCAGGTGTTAATTCATATGTTAATACTACACCATGTTTTAGTAGTCATTTCTGTGTGAAGTGGCAGATTATTTGAAAATGCCATTGCTAAATTGATTCTAGCACAGTAAAATAGTTCCAGCTCACTACAGTCTATAGAGAGGTGACACTTAAGATGCTTATGGACCATGTCAGTGAGTTTGATGGCACTTAAAACGGAATTCATAATAGTCTCTGTGTCAGAAAACTGCTGTTGGAAATCTTGGAGCTAAACAAACATTTTCTAAATGGGTCTGGGAAAATCAGGAAATAAAATGGAACCTTCAGGTCATTTGCCAGCTTTATTTTGTGTGAGCGTGATATAAGTTCAGTTAGCTGATAGGCTGTCACCTTTATTTTTCTGTGTATTTGCCTTTCAGGCACACACCAAAGAATGACACAGCACAGTTAGGCTACTAATCTGTATTGCTTTGCTGAGCAATACCTTTTTTTATTTGTATATTCTCTTAAGAGGAGAAATCTGCAATGAGGAGCTTTCCAGATATCATAAGGTGTCCTTCACCTTCTCGCTGAAGAGCATTTTAGAGAAAACAATCATGCTAAGTACATTTGTATCCCTACTAAACCCTTTGTAATGCAGTGACTTAAATTGTTACCTTTTAAGTCTTGTTGCAATAGTTATGTGTGTAACACAATTAAAGAAATGCAATATCACATTACATTTTCACCTTTGAGACAGTTGATACAAGTGTAGAAGCTGCAGGTGGTGTAAATGAGGTCACTAAATAAGACTGTATCAGTTATTACCTCCTAGCTGTTGCTTCCTTAAATAAAACCAGGTTGTAAACGCATACAATGAATAAGATGCCAGTCTCTGGTAAATGGGTTACAGCTCACTTGTAACAGTGTTTCTCATCTCTCAAGCAGTGTGCAAAATATGCAGTTGTCTTATAATAATGACACTGGAATTGCCTGTCCTTGTAGGAAATTGAACAAAATTTTTTGACCTTCAAGGGTCAATAAAAGACAGTCTAGTGAGTTGCTATTAGAGATTCTTTTCCTCCTTAACTAAATCTGTTTCATTTGGGTCATTGCATTCTAAAATACTGACACTTAAACTTTGGTAGATATATCACGTAGTGAGGTGAAAGGTTTAGATTATTGTAAGTTGTTTTTTTGGGTTTTTTGTTGTTTTTTTGAGGAAAGGAATGTGTTGTACATAGCTTGGAAAGTGTTCAACTGTCAGCGTTTTAATTCATATTCATACTGCTATAGGCTGTATTCCTCCAGACGTGTGAAGCCTGATTGCCATGGGAAAATGAATACATGTTAACCACAGTTCAGTTTCAATTTGTTTTTCTTCATGTTTATGATGCCGTGTCCTTCATTTTTAACTGCTGTTTCAGAATTTCTAAAATTGCTTTATTATGTTACAGAAAGAGTTCAAATAGCAGTCTACTATAGCCTTTATTCTTTTCCCTTTTGGCACTTGTTTCTTCTCACAACTGTAAAGACCATCTAAGGGCTTTCTCTATTCGTTTAGCAGTCTTGCATTTATGGTACATACACTTTTAATAGGCCTAAATGCTCTCCAGTCTTTTAAAATTTATTGGAAATAGCAGATTTGTACTCTGCTGGTTGTTTGGCTGTGCTTAAGAAGCAGAGCATAAATGTGTGGGTAATGTAAAAAAGTAGGAGGTAGTACTGTGCAGAAAGGAAAGACAGCCAACATGACACTGCTCAGTTTATTGAGCAGACCAGCTTGAGCTGTAGGCTGTGTCAGGTATGCTCCTGCTTGCATACAGGCATACAGTTTACCATCAATAGGGACCTGTCCCAATTGCCACTCAGATGTGTCTGAGCAGTGAAGCCTGGACGAACTGTAACACTTGCCCCGGCTAGGCAGTGTCAAGCTCTGGGCAATGGCTGGATGCCAGCAGGTCGTGGTTCCACCTGGTTTGCTCAGTGTCTGGTGGTTGGACTAGGTAATCACCAACCTCAGCAATCCTGTGATTCTAGGAACTTCATTCTAGATGTATAAGAGTCTGCCCAATTTGAAGAAAGTGTCAACTCCGTATTACACGCATGTAGCTCTGAAAGACTTACTCAGAAAGTTTTTGGTGGCAAATTCATTCTTGTTTTACTTTGTGGGAATCAGAAACTCTTGACTGAAAATTAGATTGACTAAGAGCCATCAAGGACTAACGCCAGTATGCTAGAGAATACTTCTGATCTTGCAAGTCATTTGTCTAATTTTGAGTGCTAGCTCTGAGGCAGTATAGCGGCAAGAAAATAAAATGTAAAACTGTTAAACTTCTTGTAACCCAGAGCTGTTTATTTTGTTCCTTTAAAAGTTACTTTCGAAGTTGATGTAGAGGTTCGCAGATGTTGCACGCTTGCATATTGTGGATAGATCAAGAGCTTAGTAATGATACTTCAATTTTCCTATATTGTGTCTGAATATCTTGTTGACTTGAATGTCTATAACATTTTTATCGAGGTTGTTGTAAAATATGGTTATTTCTTCCTCTTTCTTATAGTATTGTGTCTTCATGTAATATGAATTGGCTTAAGCTGATTGTTAACATGAGTTTTAAACTGATTATTTCAAGTCATCATTCTCACTTGTCAATTATGGATAGACTGCTACATTATACACCTAGAATCCAAAGTTTGGCATGCATAAACTTGCTGAGTAAAACCAGACTACTGATCAGTACTGTAACAAAGCAGAACTTTTTAGGAATATACTTCTGCATTTAATTGTTCTGCTGACTTGCACTAATCTTCCCCTCCTTCTCCACAGAATGTGTATGTAAACATAAGCCGCATCATGTCAGTAGCAAGCCGCCTGATCGAGTCTGGTCATTACGCTTCACAGCAAATCAAACAGATTGCCAGTCAGTTGGAACAGGAATGGAAGGCATTTGCTGCAGCCTTGGAAGAACGTAGCACGTTACTGGACATGTCCTCCATCTTCCATCAAAAAGCTGAACAGGTTAGTAAATGGTTAGTAAATGATGGACGGCATCAGCAAAAGTTTATGTCCTGGAATGGGGAGTTGTGCAGCTTGTTTTTGCTTTGGACAAAAGTTCAAAAAGTGATTGAAAAGGTTGACAAGAAAACCAGAATATTTATTTCTGCCAATTTCAATATGCAATCAAAACTTTGTTCTCCTCCGTTTAACCCATTGGCCTTAAATTTTCCACAGAATGCTTTGCCTACTTCAGTGCAAGGTAAAACAACCAAATTAGCTATATGAATCAAAACGAAGTGGACTGAAATGTTTAAGTATATATATAATATATATAATATAGATACTTTTAAGTATCTATATAATGCCTTTCTACATCTAGAAGCTGTCACTTCTTTTGTTGTCTTCACCACTCAACTCCCATCAATCCTTGAGTGTCAAGAATTAACTAATGATAATTGCTTCTAGAAAGCATAAGTTCAACTGGCCTGAAAGTTGAGAAGTTAATTAACTGCCTTCTGAATCTGAAATTGTGGTGGGAGATGTTTACTTAGTATTCCATAGGAGATTCCTCCTATGCTATAAAAACATTTTAGCTTTAGGCCTATACCAATTATTTTAATTAAGTCATTAACCACGTGTAACTGCCAGAGAAGAAGTATATGTAGGGGAAATAGGAATAAATATCCCCAAGTTATTAATCTTAATGGCAAAAGCATGTTTTGCCCTCAAGGGAGTTCAGTTCTGAAGGAGTTGCTGTGTGTACGCAGTTGAGTCACCTGCTGATCTTGTAGACTGTCTGCTCTGTGCATCCCTGGTGTGTTGGGAGAGCAGAGGTTCTTGGATGGGTATGGCTGATGTGCTGTATGTAGATACTTTTCTTTCATTTTGCCTTGCTAAATTATATCCAAGGAAAGGTTTCATGTCTGATGTAACTTTTAATTTGGAATGAATGAAGGAAGCATTTGGGTGCTGGAAACTTCAGAAACAGAGAGGCAGTACACTTGATTTTAAGATACTTTTTCCCTGATTTCTACTACATAGATATTTAACTTGATAAATATCTTGACATTAGAAATGAGAGTGTATTAAGATGCAAATGCACGTTGCTTTTCATTATGTTAGTGGTGACATTGGCTTATTGTCCTTAGAGAGACTAATATAATAAAATGATGCCACTGTAACAAGTCCTTTCAGCTGGTTTTACAGAAAAGCTACATAAAAATGAGATTGAAGAATTGTCTTCTGATAGAAAAGTCAGCAGTCAGCTTGCAGCTTTTGATAGACACAGTTCAGTACCTTGTCAGTGTTGATGCTTTTCTAATTACTTGGGTCATTTGGGTTTGCATTTAAGCACTTTGAGCCATACACGTAGGAGAGAGATGAATGAAATGTAAACAGGTAGGTATACCTTGACTCAAATGCTGTCATTTTTCGTAACAAAAATAATAAATTATGCTCATCAGAAGTCAAGGGACTAAATTTTTTGTGTGATTGTGTGCTGGGCAACCATAGCAAGGGTCAACCATAGCAAGGGTCAGTGTTACCTTCTTTACCACTAAATACAAGCGTGAACAGGAGGAAAGATAAAAATGAGAGAAAATAGTGCAGCATCTGCTGGGATTAATTTACTTTTAATTGCTCATTCTGCAGTTTTCATTTTATGATTAGCTGCAATGGATTGCCCCAGTTGATTTGTAAGATACTTGCCTGTGATATATTAGCTGTTTCATTAACAGTGGGGAGAGCAAGTTCAAGGAAAGAGGGTTTGGAATGTGAGGAATGACCCTTTTAGAGAGTGGTGACGCTTGACCTGTATAAAAAGATTAAAATGTAAGGAGCCCAAGAAAAAACACACCCTTCTTCAATGCATGTGTTCTCTTGCAAGTGACAGGTAAGTGTTGCTGCCTACTGTCAGGCACAGTGAAGACTGTACCAGCTATCAGTGCCTGCTCTCTGCACATGGAGCTTCTGTTAACGTTCATGCTTAACCTTCGAGATTTTTTAAACGGGCCCTTAATGAGAATCAAAGAAGTATTTTAGAGCTACATACTCCACCACCTTTCTGCCCCACTATCAAACAATAGAAGAGTACCAAAAGTGATCTATGAGTTTGTTTTTCCTCAAAAGACTACTTGTGCTCCAAGAATTAAGATACGTATGATGAAATAAAAGGCTTGGTCTCATAACTTTTGAGTCTTGAACTTGACATGAATAGAAGAGAAAATTTACTTTACAGAGCTCACATATGCTTGGTTGTACTAGGTTTAACAACTGTGAAAACTCCTAGAAAAACAGATTGTTTTTTCCCTCTTTCTATTCCTAGCATCAGGGGTATAAAATTCAGGCCCCCTAGCTGTGAAAAAGTAAGTTGTCAGAACTTCTGCTGTGCATATAGCTGTGATGGCAGTTTCTTGTCTGTCAAGACAGCTTAACTTCAGAGATAACTTAAATTGTCTGCAGAAGAGATTTCATTTGCAGTATCCTCAATTTCCCCTGAAAGGCTTGACTCGAGCAGCTATGCTGATACAGCTGTGTGCTCAAAGTTCAATGCTAGTCCTAAGAGACCTCCACTTAAGTTGTAAATCCCTTACATGCTGGCTGCTGTAGTAGCTTGCCAAATGGATTTAGTGCTTCTCTGCACGTAGAAGTTAGTTCTTTGGGGACTGAGGTGTGAATTCACTGTGCCCTGACACTGCTTTGCTTCCTTGATAACCTCTTTCCAGCAAAAGACAACTATGGAGTGTTTCAGTGTATGGTTCAGCAGTAATTCTTTGTATGCATGTGCAAAGTAACATGGTTTTCTCTGAAGATTAAAAGGAGGTGAGGTGATAAACCACATGATACCATGAGTATCTGCACAGAGAGCTGATGGGCAAAAACCAAGGGTCTGGACTTGAAAGCTGTAGCATGTTTTACTTCCTTGTGTAAACAAGACCTTAGTTGGCTTTTGTGTTTCTGAAATGGTAGGTGCAGGATGAAGGAAACTTCTTCTTAGCTGTGAAGTCAAGAGAAGGAGCAAGAGTACACTTGAAACATCAATATTGCTAACAGTTAAATTGGTTCTGAAGACTGCTAACATCCAGCTAAGCCTGCCTGTCACCTAACAACTCAATGAGTTTCAGATACCTAAAAGCACAAGTAAAGTCAGAGTTGAAAATTTCTTTCTATTCTGATATAAATTTCTGGTTCTTTCAGAGAGAAATACTGTAAAGACTTCTTGCTTAAAAGAAGTCTTTTCAGTGTCTGTGACACAGATGAATGTCCTTTTGTATATTACTGTCATGGTAGAACCCGAAATCAAAGCCAAATGTTTCTTTGTTGCAGTACATGAGCAATGTGGACTCATGGTGTAAAGCCTGTGGTGAGGTGGAGCTTCCCTCAGAACTGCAAGATTTAGAAGATGCTATCCATCATCATCAAGGGATATATGAGCACATTACTTTGGCTTACTCTGAGGTCAGTGTTTTGTTTGTTTCTTTAGATAAAATTGTATCATGTTAAGTTTGGATCATGAGTCAGTAGCACTTGTTGCATTAGGAGTTAGTTGGAAACTCAAGTGCTGAACTTCTTTTTAAATTTTACATACTGGATTTTGCTATTGTTGTTCAAAAGCAAAGCGTTAAAGTCCTCCCTGTAACCTTTGGAAAGAAATAAAAAGGATAGATTTACCCGTGTATGGTACAAACAACCCTTGGAGTGCTAAAGTACTAAATATGTTTTAATTTGCCTTTGCATGTTACTGCCTTTTAATAGCAGTGGGATACTATTGTTTAGGCATTTACTTGAAGTTAGCTCAGCATTCTTCGGGAAGGTATTCTGTTGTCATGGATTTCTCTAAGTGTATTTTGAAAATCCATCTCTGAAATTGCCTCACAGAAAAACCTTAACTATCAAAAGATGTTACTTGAGAAGCCAGAAGGTAATGCACTTAGTCTTATCAACCTCAAAGACACTTAAATGAGCTAGGATGTCTATGTAGTCAGCATTTGTAAGATTAGCATATCCTGTGCTGGTGCTCTAATCTTGGACTCAGCACACACTGGAATCATAATATTTGTTACTATTTCTAGTAGTTGTATTGCAACTTAAGATAAAATGCTTATTCTGAACGTGTCTAGAAAGTGATGACTCAACTATATTTTTGTTTTCTTTCAAAAGTTGAGTTTTCTGTTGTGCTTTACGTAGTGGAAGTTAAATTGGTATTCACTGTTATTAGCTAACAGGTATTTTCTGCTTTTCCTGCTTTACTTGCCTTTCCTTCTTCTCTCAGGGTTGTTCTCATTGTTGGGTAAAACTGTTTTTGCTATTCAATTGGTGATGTTGTTCTGGATGAAATACAGTAGTTTTGTACTGAAATTCCATGTTTGGTTAAATCATGGTAAAAATGATCAGTGGACACAGGATAGCTTAGGCCACAGCTTGCACCTGTCTTTAAAACGAGGTTATGTGGGTTTGAATTAATGGTTGTGATTTATACATTATATTATAGTTAAAACTACTTTCTGATGAACCAGCTTTATTATAGGAAGCTGAATCCTAAGTCAGGTCACATTTCATTTAGCAGTAAGGGAGTGTAAGATTAGTGCTGATCATCCATCCCATTGTTAGTGTATCAAAACTGGCTTTTTTGAATGCCTGCCACCTTAGGGACTGCATAAACTTTGTGACCTTGAGTCAGATGTCCAGGGTTCATGAATTCTTGTTCTTCTGTGTAAAATACACATTGATGTCCCTATTCTCGCTCTGTGCCATGCTGCTGTGTCAACTGATCTAATGACATACTATCACACCTGATAATACTTGCAATTTTACTTACACATAACTCTTTTAACTCATTCTTGAAAGCATGTTTTGTAGTAACGTTTCTTGTGTTCATTATAAACTTTCATCATTGGGAGGACAGAGACCTAGCATGATTGTAACAGATTTATGTGGAGAGGCATTCTGGGATGCATGCTTCATGAGAGTGCAGCAAGGAGGAGGAAGGCTAGATTTCTCTAGAATAATGATTATAAAGGGGTGAGGTTGAATTTTTTTTCTACTTGGTTCTGTTTGGTTTGAGTTGGTTTTGTGTGGCTTCTTTGTTTTTTGTCAGGGATGTGACTGGATGAGCCTGCTGTAAGTGTAAATAAGTACTGTGGATTAGCATGTTAAATAATGTTTGCTTGCTGGTGAGGCATAAAGAAAATAAATTACACTGGTAGATTATATGATTGCTTTGGGAGATATCTTGAAAATTTATTTAGGATTTCAAAGCTGTAGCTTTTGACTTTGGGATGGCTAGATATTTTAACAAAGTCTTCAGTGGTACTGCTCAAAGGAAAAAAGAGCACTAAGTGCCTTTCTTCTGATTTCTGGTCATTACTTTTCCCCATCTGGTAAAAAACCAGTTTTGTCTTTATTAACCAGAATTGGTGCAGAAGTAATAACTGTATGTGTATGTACAACTTGTGTTCCTTCTCTGGGCAGAAGGTTTTATTTTGCATTTTTCAAATGTGCATTCCTTTTTGAAGAATCATGGAGGCATCTTTCTGTGTCAGGATATTACAGCACTATTGCTTATCATTATTAGATGTATGACTTCATTTCTATTACGGTATGGAGCTCCTTTCATTTTGTGATGAATGAACAGTGGGGGAAGAGAGAGAGCAACACTATGGGAATCACAACACTGTCATTCATTTTAGATTGCAATATCTTGACAACACGACTTGGTTGCAAAGTAGAAGACAGTAATTTTAAGAAAGTAAATGCTTTTAAGACTAGACAGTCAGATTTTACTGAGAGTAATTACTGTATATTACTAGTAAAGCAACTTACTAGCTTACAAGATGAGACAATTGGTATGCCTGAAAATCCGACAGATGTGCCTTAAAGGAAGTTATATATATAAATAAAGTTATACATCTCACTGAAATCTTAAAGCAGTCATGCACTAAGAAGGAAGAAAATTTTAGTGTATTAACTCCAAAGTAAAATCTGTGTAGTCATTTGTTTATAAAGCTAATGAACTAATTGGATCAAGGGGCTGTCACAATTACTTTTATCACCTAGATTTTATGGACTCTGAATGGCTAATTGAAGTCCATTATCTTGAAATACTTGAAGGACTTACTAGATAATTCTTCTGGATACAGAAAAGAAAAACACTGTCATTGTAACTGTGCTATTGCCTGTGTATTTTTCTGCTGACCTGACTTTACTGGAGCTAATATCAGAAGTGAGCATCATTCTCTGTGTTGATACTCATTGCTGAAATGAGAGAGCTTGAACTGAAACTAAGAAATAAACTCCCTTGTAACCTAATTATCAGAAAACAATTTTCATTTGGGTCCGTTTGACTTCTGAATAACAAATTTAAAATGTGCCTAGACTTAGTAAAAATTGTTGAAAAGAGCCACTGGGGGAAGGCCTTGGCAAATTTGCTGTTTCTGACATGGTGTGGATTTGATGGATTCAGGCTATATGTTTTACTGTTTATACTTGTGTCTTGCGGTTTCAGATGATTTTTGTTCCTGCCTGCTAAATGAGCTGTTAGAAATGTTCTTTGCAGGTAGCATATTGATACTGAATTGTAACAGCTCTCTGAGTTTCATGCTAGAAGTGACAGAGTAAACAGCAATGAAAATTGTTTTTAACACTAAATGTTGATAGTGACCAGATAAGAGAGGATTATTGCTTTTTAATTAGCATGCAAGGTAAATCTGGATATTTCTGCTGTGATATAAATGAGAGAAGACAATAGTTAGAAATGACAAATGTTTCCTGTCAGTATCAGTAGTTAAACACATTTTGGAACACAGTACCTTTCTGTGCTACATGGAAAGGGTTTATGTGATTTAATCAGAATTAAGTTTGCCATAACAGCAGTTTTCCCTTGGCTTACCAGTAGCAGTAATAATTTAGAAGTTGTAAATCGTATCAGATTGAGTCATGTACTAAGTATAATATCTGCTGGTTTAAATGTATTTGTCAAATATTAACCTACAGAAAGTAACCTCCCTGTTCACCTTTACAGCAAATGAAGAGAGAGAGATTGTTTTGGAAGGATAATTCTGGACAAATTTTAGATGTTTTGTTGACTAGGGAAAAAGATGAAGAATATTTATTCAAAGCTAGATTCTACTAGTTTTTTTTAAAAAAAGCTCACTACAACAACAAAAAACTCAAGCCAAACAAAAAATCCCAACACTTTGAAGGAAAGTCATTCTTAAAGTAATGATGAAATGAAAAGACAGGCTGTTATTTAGGAGAGTGCTACTTGTTAAAATTATTTTAAAGAGAAAGAGAATATAATTTTTTTTCTTTCCTATAATAGGTGCATGTAGGTAATCGTTCCTGCAATAAAACGAGTCTTCATCATTGCTCCCTAAGTTCTTGAAGACATTTAGAACTGGGAGAAGGGGTGGGGTACAAAGTAGTAGCCCAACAAGCTTTTGGCAAGACAAGTAATTCTTTGTCCTTTCTGGTGGTCAGGTGAGCCAAGATGGGAAGTCACTCCTTGATAAACTTCAGAGACCTTTGACTCCCGGGAGTTCTGATTCCCTCACTGCATCTGCCAACTACTCAAAAGCAGTTCATCATGTCCTGGATGTCATCCATGAAGTATTGCATCATCAGCGCCAACTGGAAAATATCTGGCAGCATCGAAAGGTCCGCTTGCACCAGCGGCTTCAGCTCTGCGTTTTTCAGCAGGATGTTCAACAGGTGTGTTTTGTTTCATTTTGTCTAAATGCCTTTGTATTCTGTCAGCCTGATTGCACTGACAGGTGAGTTTTCACTGCTAATTCCCATATTTTTTTGTACAACAAGTGAATAGTTGCATGAGATTGACAGAATGATATCAAGTTCTGTGTATTACCAGAACTTGGGTATTGGCTATTATGGATAACAATTATAGCTGAAAGTTAGTTCTACTTCATATTTTTCTGATTTTAAATTAATTTATTTACTTTAAGTCATATATGATGAAAAAGATTTTTAATATGGACAGCTGTTCTGAGTTTGTGCTGGAAGCTGTCGTTCACATTCTAAGTAAAATTCTGGACTTGAAGTGTCAAAAAGGCTTCTTGTTGTAACATGCAAAAAATTAATAGTGTTATTCTGTAAAATTTTAAATCCTCAGTGATACTTAATTGACTTAATAGTGTTTCTTTAAAACCTGAGAGTAGTTATTATCATAAAAATGACCAAAATTATAATTTAAAAAATTTTTAATAATTATAATTATAAAAATTCCAGGTTAGATTTATCTCTTATAATAACACAGTTCTTGAATTAATTGTTATTAGCTGCTATTTTTTATTGTTATGACAATATATGTAAAAGTTAGTAGTTACATACAAGCATTAGTATCTCTGACACAGCTTTATGTTTTGAAAGTAAAACTACATAAAATCCCTTGGTTGATGGATTTTTAAGCATAAAATGTTGGCTTTAGACTTCAGTTAACAGAGACATTAGTAATTTATCATTTAAGAGCTCATCTTCATAAAAAAAGTAAAGATGGCCAGTATTTGCTGATCATGGTCTTTCATTTCAGTGTAATAGTGTCCAGAAATCACAACTTCTGAATGGGGTATTTACATAGATAGCCATAGTTCTGGTTAACCTAATCTTTTTTCATCAGAATTAGTTGCACTTCAAGCTGAATTTCTTGTACTTTTCTATTTGAAGATGATACTGGATGTGAGTAGTTGGGAGTGAAATAACCCATTTTCATCTTGTACAGTACTTGAAAAAGATAATTTAGTCAGATGGTCGGGAGACCGAGCAATCTTGATAACTGAACTTTCTTTGACATCTGGTGACTATCTCTTCATGTAATTAAAGAAAATAACTTAAATACTTAGGCAGTAAATTATGTAAAATCTCCAAAACTTTATTACTTGGTTTTTTTTTATCTAAAAAGAAGCATACATTGAAAGACAGGCTGTTATCCAGATTGTCAACGCTGAGATGTGACAAAGGATGTAGAAAAGTATGAAAAATATTAGCTGACAAAAAAAAAGGAAAAGCAAGCATAGGGAATGTTATGAATGGTCAGCAAGGGCACAGAGAACAGAAGACTCCATTTGTGATATCATTGTATAAATCCTTGAGGCTCTCCAAGAAGATTACAATACAAGTAGTTGCTAGTGAGGAGGGTCCAGTGCTGGTAGTCATGTAGTAGTCAGTGCATGAGTAGTCAGTGAAGGGCCAAGTCAGAATATGCTGTGATTCTGTGGTGAGGCACAGCCCACAAATGAATCCCATCTTAAATTGAAAAGGCTTTGTAAGGAATCTTCAGAAACTGGAATTGACACAGTAGTTTGATTCTCAGGGAAAAATGTAGGTCCTCTCAACAGTCTGGTGCCAAGAAGTACGGGTTGGATGGTGGAACTTCCTCCTCTAGTTTGAGTTCAGTTTCAAGTAGGACCTACTTAGGCAATCTAGGCCAAGGTATCTCCTGAGGTAATTTGCCAGGTGCATAATTCAAGTTTCAGGCCTGTAGGCCAGGCTTTAGGCAATTTATTTTCTGAGGGAAGGGGTTCATTAAATTCTGCAGAGGTTCTTTCCGGACTGCTCCTACTCTTTGCCTTTAATATCTTCGGAGTCCTAAAATGCTTGTAGGAAATTTTCATTTTCTGCTCCATGCTAAATCATGGCTCTTGGTGTGGAAGAGTTAGCTCTCAGACTGCTTTGTTCTCTGAAGTTGCCAAATAAACCCATCATTAGACTCAAGTCATTGTGCAGCCACCACCAGGTTCTTCAGCAAGATGCTGGATTTTTTCCTTCTCTGTATTGGACTCATCAGCCTTTGGAACTGCTGCATTTAAGATGAAGTAGTCACAGGTTTAAAAAAAACAAAGTGGACAGCTTTACATATTTTTATAACTTCCAGTATCAGGAATGTTCTATCCAAATCAGGGATGTGGATTGTGAGTTCACCAGAAGTTTTCAGTATGAACCAGTTGCCTCGAGAATGTTGGTCTATATTGATTTATTATTCAGCACATGCTTTACCTACTGGTTGGAGAAATTTCTTTCATCCTGTTTATGCTTGTGGTTTCTTTATATGCTTTGCAAGACAGACATTGAATTAAGGTAGCAAGAGATCCTCTTAACAGTTTGAAGCGGCAGCCTTGTGCGCTAATGCACATCTTTATCAACCACATGAAATTTCAAGCTAGATCTGTACAGAGGAGCAGCACTTGCTTGCTGTATTCCTAAGCCCTTCCCTTAGTATCTAGTAATTACCACTGTCAGCGATTGAGTTGTCCTTTGGTTTATCTCTGTAATGACTGTTAATTACTGGAATGTTGCCTGTGGAAGTATAGCTTTAACAATGTTGCTTTAACTTAACTTTACGGATATTGGGTATTTTTGGCACTGTATTATGAATCACAGTGGGAATTTTGGTCACTGTTCCCTTTCATAATACAATTTTTCATACTAGGATTTCAGTACAGGTCAATCTCTAAGACAATGACCATTAAACATCCATACCAGAGAGATAATCTAATAGTCACAGCAGATGTCTTAGTTTGTAGCTCCCCTGGCTTTGAAAATTTATCTGGGGGAAAAAAAGTGATCTTGAATAAAAATATTATTTTTTCTTGCAAAACAAAATCAAAACAACGTCTTCAGATCATCCTAATTAATCTGAGAAATGGTAGTTTTTCATATGAATAATCATTAGCACCATTCAATTAATGAAATTACTCTAGTTTGAGGTATTAGTTAAATTTAAATCCAAGATGGTTCTGGAATGGTTTATGTAGAGCTCCAAAGCAACTTTCTTTCTAAAATACTTTGGTTTTTGTTTGCACGTTCTTTCTTTGTTCAAATGTTAAAAAATTCAATTAGGAGTGATTGAGAAGCTAACATGAAAGAAAGCATCTTTTAATTATTGTCAGTAAAGTTAAATGTGGTGGGATTTTTTTTTTTCATTTCAGAATAAGCTAAGTGTGGCTCTCTTCCACTGTTTATAGTTAGTTTGCACATAGTGGCAAGCAACCAAGAGCACTGTAAGTGAATCTGTAACTGTCCTTTAGCATGAGTCCGTGATTTCCTCCTCCTCCCTCTGCTGGGTTAATGAAATAACTCAGTTCATGGAAGTGTTAAGTGAGTGACAGAGCTGAGTTGGGGGAAGGAATTTGCCGTGTTGAGCTGGTACTTCACTTTGTGTTACTTCCACCTTAGAAAGCTCTTTGGGTTTTTTCTTCTGTCCTGCATGTTCTTGTATACTGGGAAGGTGTTTGTAGTGGAGCTTTCCAAATCAACAGAATCATTGTGGTGATATCTTGAGTACATCGAGAATCATCTGCTGATCTTTTAAAGCAAGTAGTAAGGAAAGTAGTGTATGAAATAATGGAAATAGTAGATAATAAGTGAATTACAGAAAAACTGAAATTTGAAATGTGAAAACATACGACAGTCTTAAACTGAATGGAATTCTGAGTTTGGCTTTAGGTAGCAGAAACATGCTGGGAGATCTAGTTCCCAGTTAGTTTGTATATTAACATCTAAAAAAAGGGGTTTTATTTTAATGAAAAAAAAAAAAAGTCTGGCCACTGGCACTCAGTTGTCTGTGTAGCCATTCTGCATGCTAGCAAAAGTATGATTTTATGTTTAAGACTTTATAAGCTTACAAGTGAATAAGAGTCAGCCTTTCACCTAAGGAATGGAGCTGACTGATTCTGATATGAAGCAATAAAGCAGACTTGGAGCAGCAACATGTTCTGCTCTTCTAGGCCATGACAGGTCAAAATTGAGCATAAAGATAATGTTTCTGGTAGAGTGATACTGCTGACACTTCTATGATCAGAGTTTTGGTGCCTGAAAAACTCTCCTGATAGCTTGCAAGCCAGAAATTAGCAAAACATGCTGGTAGGTGGTGTTTTGAGGGTTTTTTGGGGGCGTGGGAGGGGGATTAGTTATTTTTGTTGTTCTTGTTTGGAGGGGGAGGGTATTTTGATTTGGTTTGGCTTGTTTGTTGGTGGTTTTTTTTTGTTGTTGTTGTTTTTTTGGGTTTTTTTTTTGTCATTTATTTGATCATAGTGGGTGTCTTCATTTTGGCTAAATCTGCTGCTTCTTGCTTGATCTGTCTGCCTCAAGACAGGTTACAGACACTAGTTTCAGCCTTGACTAATGAAGGGCGGGCCATGAATGCTTGGTACTTGCTAGCATCAACATGATTTCACTGTGTGATTCCCATGTGGCTTTTGAAGGCGGTTCCAGTGTAAAATGGGACTTTTTTTTGAGTGAGTATTTCCACATTTTAACTGTCTGAAGATCAGAAATGCAGATATTTCCATCTTACCCTTCTGAATGCTATGTCAGCAGCAAGTAAGTGGAGATAAGAAACTTGAATGTATGCAAAGTAGGTAAAGGGGTGGGGGGGTGAGGAGTGAATAATAATGTGGGAAAGACTGGTGCAAATGAGCACAATGAATTTGCAAAAGATCAGGTTTGCTTCTACAAGCAGCATATACCACATATTTTACAGCCATGAGCAATGCTTTTTAAAATGAAGCTGTTTTTCCGTAGTAGTTTCTTCTGCCTTATATTCTTTTGGGAGTTAGTAAAGTAAGCATTTTTCTAGATCCTGTGTTGGGTATAAGGATGGTTTTGCTGAGTCTGCAGTAGAACTTAATTGCATCATTAAAGCAACTTGCTGCAGTGGAGGGTGATACTATTCACCCTTTCACTGAAAGGTGTTGAGCCTCTTAGACACCTATATATTCCTTAAGTACCAGACTGAATTCCATTTGCGTTCAGTATTGGTAGAAGAGCCCTTAGTGTCTCAGTATGATGATTTTTTGTAACTCTTCTCCCAGGAAGAGGAAGAAAATGTGTAAGTTGCTAAAAGGCTAATATCAGTGCCAACTAATGGTTTTGTCCTTTGATTGAAGTGGTATGCAAAGCACTTACTGATGGGAAGAGCCTAACTTGACTGCCTCTACATGCTGTAAAATTTCCAAGAGTGCTTCCTCAGTTTTGTTAAGAATCAAGGTATGAAGAGTGAGCAGTAATGATATGTGTATTCATACTGATTTCACTTAGAGGCAGTAATGTTTCTCTAGTTGAGTGGTTTATGTCATGATCTGTGTACTGGATTTCTATGACAATTTCTTCCCCTGAGAAGTTATTCAGCATTATTCAGAGCAAAAATCATTCTCCCTGGGCTGCTTTCTGCATTTCATCCCATGCTTTCTGGGGCTGATTTTGCTGTTGATTTCATTTGTTAGCTTGTAACTGTTAGTAGTCTCCAGAGTCCAGTCTAATTATTTCATCCAAACATATCTCTTTTCAGCTCTTCTTATAACGGGAAGAGTAGTCTCCTGAAACTAGTCAAAAATACTGGTAATAATAACTGAGGCTATGTTTAGCTCCTCACTCTCCTTTCTCTGATCGATACTTTACCTTGAAAGAGAACAATGAAAACTTGTGTTGACCTAAAACACAATAATACTCTTTTGGCAATACTTACTGGGAAAACAAGTATTGCAGAAGTTAAAATTGGAGATTTAATGAAGTGTTGGTGATTTGAAGTAGCTGTATTTTGTGTTACTAGGGATTTGTTTCTTGTTTTGAAGATGTCCAGTAGTAGAGAGCTTGCAAATGGAAAAATATTTGCACAGTCAAGATAAATGAGAAAACCATGTTTTCATTCTTTTGCTAAAGAAAGCATGGATGTTTTTCATGGGAATGGTGTGTGGGATTACATGTGTACTGAATGTGATCGGGAGTGGTGTTGCAGGACTGGCTCTCAAATCTATATGGAAGAAAAACAAAGTCTCTCTTTAGTTATACTCAGTTACACTTTCAGTAAGAGAAAACCTCACCCAACTTTAGGAATCAGAGTAAAGAACAATAGTAGATAAGAAGAGGCACAGGACAGGCTTTTGGAAGTTATTTTCAAAACCAACTAAAATATTCATGTTTTAAAGAATAAAAGAACACTGGAGGTGAATGTTAGGTAAGGTATTCTGTACCACTACATAAGTGCTGTGTAGATACGGTTAGCTGACTTAAAAAAATTGCTTATGTGCTGTTGTTTTTAATTCTGAATGTCATTCTTAACTTTTTTGAGTATCTTCCAAAAAACTGAATACCATATGCATACTGAACTAATAGATTATGTCTAGGAAGTATAGTTTGAAGAGAGGTTAGATGTTTTTGTTCATTCACTCATCAGAATTTTATGTGTGCAGAAATATTTTGTGTTAACTGACAGGAACTAATTACATGTACAATTTTTACTATTTATAAAGCTGTCAGCTCAGTCTTTGTGGTAGAAGCATTAAGGTCCTTAAAATGTGCTTTGTTCACCACTTTTTCAGCTATAAAATTTACAATAAACAATTATGTGTGATGTTTTGAGGTGATAGATGCCTCTTAAGAACTGGAGCATATTCTTTCATATGCTCTGAATATAGACATTTATCTCATAATGATTTCAACTAATTCTTCTTGTGTTAATTGAAGTTAGTTACTACTGAATCTTACATCTTGACTTAATCATATGTAGAAGGTGGAGTTATCATCTAAAATAGAACTTCACTGTGTTATTCACCAGCAGTGTGCAAGCTTCATTAGTGTTACCTTGCAGAAAAAATGTCAGCTGAAGGCATAAACAGATTAGAGAGACCCTCACAAGGGGTCTTGCCACTTGGATCAGATTACTGTCAAATTGATGAATACGGAGAAATGGGGTTGTCCTTGGTAGGCATCAAAATACAGATATAATCTTGAATCATACTATTTTGCTAGCTTGAGCTAATTACCGCCTTGAGAAAAGTTAAATGAGATGTAATTAATGTCCTTCAATGGCAACATTGTGTTTTAATCCAGCAGTTCAGTTCTTTTTAAGCAGTGCCTTTACATCTTCTCAATTGCTTGAATAATTGTCTTTTTGTTGTAACATTCAATACAGCCACTGAGATTTCTGTGTGTCTCTTCTGTACCACAGGTGTTGGATTGGATTGAAAACCATGGAGAAGCTTTTCTTAGCAAACACACTGGAGTGGGAAAATCCCTGCATCGGGCCAGAGCTTTGCAGAAACGCCATGAAGACTTCGAAGAGGTTGCGCAGGTAAAAGCAATCACGTCAAGGACTGTACGCTTGTCATGGAAATAAGTGAAAAGTTCCTGCTTTTGCACTTAAGGCCTGTGCAGAAGGAGCTCCACTACAAAACATTCCATTCCAGGAAGGGACTGTTTTGTTTCTGTTGCAAGTTTTTATTTAATTTCTCCTTTATGCTCCAGCTTTGAGATGAAAAAGACAAACTTCCACAGTCCTAGAGGGTGTGAGCCTTAAAGTACAATAGAACTGCTCTGGCATTATTATTATTATTATTATTATTATTATTATTTCTTCAAAATAATATTTTCAAATATTGATTTACAGAAGAATGAAAGCTCTCATTTCAAAGTAGCTTAGTTCCATGGGATTCTAGGATTTAAACTTTTGTGCAGCCTGTAAGAGAGGATGGTGATGAATTGAAAGTCCTGCTTTCTTAAGCTTGGGGAGCTCCCAGATTCTCACTGCAGTCTCATGGAGAGGAAACGGGGACTCCTAAGAAACCAAGTGAGCCAGCAAACTGGCCAACCTGGGTTGAGTTTTTTTTCTTTGAATACAATTGAGTTTGTATATGTTCTCCTCTTCTGAATAACTTTAGTTTAGCCTTAAGTGATGATACAACTTCAGAACACATTTTTCTGTGAAAAAAATCAAAACAGAGATACAAAGGAATGCAGGGAAGTTAACAAGGAGCTGGTGTAGCCTCTAAAAGGGGATGTGAGGTGAAGAAAAACCCTGTGATGGAAGCTGAAGGCTAGAATCCTCCCCATAAATAACATGCACTGTCTGTCCAGTCTTAATGATTGGTAAGAGAAAACATCATTTCCAAGATTAATGAAGAAAAATCTCTGAAGGTGAGGTTGACACAGGGGTGCTTCATTCAAACAGAAGGCAAAGTTATTAGATAATTGTGGCATTGTATGCAGGAGCTTGGCAGTGACACCTGCTATGGGGAATGCATCAGAAGTGTTGTTTACAGTTTGCCTGTCTAGTGGAAGATTAAAGTCTTGATAAAATTTCATTGTAAATACAGTCTTAGAGCACTCCAGTGGCTGAGGACTTGAAATAGCATCAGAAAACTTCCTCAATATTGCTTTCCTGTAAAATTTTCAAAAAGAATAGGTTTTGTTACTTTGTTGTATATACATGCTGGATTTTCTATATGCATGTCTATTACTTAAGTTTTAATAAAAAGTACTATTTTCCATGTGAAAATACTTATTTTTCTGGGTCAGACAAGTAGGAGTCTATTTCTGTAAGACACTTAACAAAGCCTGAATGATCTCATACTTAATGCTGTATTATTTGGGCAAAGAAGAAGGAAATGTTTGAATAGCCAAAAGTGGATGAAGTGCATAGAAATGTTACTTGGATGTTAAAAAAAGCATCTTGTTAATTTGCATTAGACTTTAAAGCAGAAAATTTTAAAGCAAATGTTTACTAAAAACTTCCTTTGACTGAATGTTACTGGAGTTTGAAATTATCTCTTCAGGGAATGGGTGTAAAGTTCTATTTTTGGAGATACTGAAAACTTAGATTGGTCAAAGAACTTAAATATACTACAGGGGACCATCTTCCACTGACAGAAGGATGGACAAAATGATCTAATAAGTATTTTCTTCATCTCTAACTCTTGAATGTGTAGTGAGTTACTGCCAAGAGAGGCACACCCTCTGAGTTGTTCCTGTTACTTGCTGTAAAAATGAATATAAGCAGCCCAAAAGGCATTCCTGTTGTTGCTGTTACAAGGAAGATGATGTTCAAGTATAAAACAGCACTCTGCAGTCCTTTTTAAAGCACCAGTAACTTTTGGCTGACTTATTTTCTGCCTACATTTCTGGTTGGTCCAGGTCTTTGGTGTGTTTTTGATTTGGGACTTTTTTTGTTGTTGTTGTTGCTCTTTCTGTTGTGATTTTGGTTTTGTTTGTTTTTAATAGGACTCTGGGCATTATTAGGGGTTTTCAGTCTGTTCCAGCCAGAAGTTGAAAGTAATGTTAAATGAAGTGTTGCTGGCATGGCAATGTTGTGGCAAATCCAGGGAGCCAACAGTTATGTGACATGTTTCTGGTCAAAGACGAACTCCTGATTTTGAGTGGAGTGAAAATTGTTTTTCCTTTTTTCTTCCTTTCTGCTTCTTCCCACATTATTTTTTCTAATGTGAATGAGGTGCCATTTCCTCAACAGCATTCAAAGAGATGTTAAAATAAGCTGTGTGTCAAATAGAATAGGCATTCCAGTCAATGGGCTGTAGTCTCACAAATTAGTCACTTCTAAATTCATGTGAAATGAAGGTTTGTTTCTCTTCATTTAACACTTTTTTATTACCACTACAAAAGCTAGATAGTCGAAACTCAGCTAATAATCTTCCCTAAATTCTGATTACAGATTAATTCTACACATTACATACTTTGACTTGCACTCACTATTGTAAAATAGTGTTTCTCTTTTCATGTGAAGCCTGTCCAGTTCAATTTCTACTTACCCATCTTTTTCTTTCTTTTTTGACCCTCTCTCCACGTTCATCTTTGTGTCCATGAGACCGTTTGGTTAAATTGTCAAATGTCCAAATTTTGACATAATTGATTGACTTACGGCATGAATTTTCAGCTTACAAGCACTGGATACAGGTCAATATTGTAGTTGTACTTCTCTGTGAATTTTTGTCTGAAATTCTAAATCAGCTTTGCGTATTTCAAATGTGATCTGTGTCTGCTTTTTGACAGTAGTCTGTGTTCAAAAAACACAAAAGGTATATGGCAACAATTAATTAGTGGGATTTTTTCCCACACGTAATTCTTCTTGGCGCAAGAAATGCGCAAGAGAGATTATTGCAGACCTTGTCTGAATACACCTTTCATTTCCCTACCAACACCTGTTCCCATCTCCTTTAAGGTTATAAAAATGGGTTATGAATTTGGACTCCTTCTGAACTTTACCCTTGAAATGGTTGCAATACATCAAATTAAAGGTCCACGTCTTATACTAGCATGTGGCTATCACCAGATGCATAAAGAAAAGGGACTATATGCTTAAAAAGTTACCTTTACTCTCCCAGTTATCTGAGCCTGTTTGGTGTTGGACCTGAAGGATGCATCTGAGCCAGTCACTGATGGACTTTTCTTTCTTTAATTAGGCTGCTTTTTGAACCCCTTGATGGTCTTGGAATGTGTGCCAGACCCTGTGGCAATGAGTTATGCAATTTAATTGCTCCTTAGATGAAAAGCACTTTGCTTTTTCATTTTAAGTGTATTGTCTGATGCTTAAATGTGATAGTGTCCACTGTACTTAATGAGTCATCTATCTTATTTTTTATACATTTAATGATTTGTATACCGCTGCTGGTCTCCGGCCATCCATGTGTCGCTCTTCCCTTTCCAGACCACAGTAAACTCCACATTGTTTGAAGTGTAGTCCATATCTCCACTTACTTCTGTTTCTGTATTTGTTGTCAGTAGTAGTCATTCTGCACTAATGTCTGAAATTTAATCTTTGGGTTTTCTGTGAGGTGTCACTTCATATGCTTTCTAAAAACATGGTGTTTGTTCTTCATGAAGAATATTGAGAAAACAATATTTATCAGAAAGATGGGAAAAATGATGGAAGTTGTAGTTGGGAAAGGTGGTAAATTCCATTATGGAGAATTTTTCATAATTTTGGAGAAGAATGCCTATTAAAGACTTGCACCTTGGGGTACAGAAGGATGGACTACAGGTTGTCTTTAAGTTCTTACAGGACTCCTTTTCCTCTGGGATCTGGGGAGAGTGTGCTAGTGAAGAGATCCTGAGGAAGTTTGTCACCCTGAAGGCTCCTTTCCTTTTCTTCAATTTAGGAAATAGGCATAAGCACCATTAAGGAAGAACTCTTGCTCTTTTTGCCTGACTTTCAACTAGAGGCTGCCCCTCGGACAAGCATTTTCAAAAATCTTCACATTACTGCTTTTTTCCTTTGAGTGTTGTTTAGAAGCAAACAGAGAGCTGGGAGAGGCAGTAGGTGGTACTGAACACCTAGTTGATGTGATTTCAATCCAAGGAGCAGTTTATATTATTCTCCAGCTCTACTTGGAAGTGAAATTTGAGCAACGAGGCATGTGCCTGTTGCCAGGTTTGAGAATTGCAACCCCTTTTGAAGCAGCATCCAGGCTGTGCTCTTTTCTAAATACAGGCAGCTCACCATCCCCTTTACAGAAAAGAGAAGTTAGATGTGCCTGGGCCTGTGTAATGCGGAAGATACTCCTGGAATTCGTAAACAATGCTTCACATGTGAGATAAAGTTTTCATTAAAATGGGAAACTTCTGTTTCAGCCATCTGCAGCTGGGTGTGGTGCTCTGGACTGATGAAGTAGTTGTTGTTTGAGGAGTGCCTTGAGGCTCTCTGGCCTTGCCCCCTGAACACATGTGAGCTGCAGCCATGGAAGGCAGAACACCCAAGCACAGCTCAGAGTGTGCTCAGGGCCAGCATGGCCTCAGACAGCGGTCTGGGGCGTGGAGTAGCCTGCTCCCCACTGAATAGGATAAGCTCGTGTTTGTCTCTGCATGCTTTCCCAGGGAAACCAGGAAAGAGTTCTCTATCCCTCTGTGCAACTAAAAAGCTGAAAGTTAAGGTAGGGCTCAGAGTTACATAGTCGAAGTCAAGGAACAGCATAGATTTAATTCCTTGCATAAATAGATAATAAATTAAGGGGGAGCTCCCCCCAAATATGTGAAAGCTTCACTGAGTCATGTAATCTGTCCTGGGCTTGTCTGGTAATTCACCTTGATACCCTGAGGGAGAGCTCGTATTTCCTGCCCTTTAGTTCAGTTTTAGGGCTGGACTTGGATTTCATTTTTGTGGATATTATAATGTAAATTAGAGGTGTGATACTATATTTATGGCAAAGAAAAGTACATTTGCATAGGCTTAATTTATCTTAGCAAGGATTGTTTTTACCTGGTGTAATTTAGGTCAGGAGAACATAGAAGGGCAGAAAGGAGAAGAAGAAGGTGTAGTTTATATTGTCAAGAATGCTTTCTTCTTCTTTTAGTCTGTGGTGCCAACCTATCAGAAGACCTAATGGTGTGACATAAGCAAAGTTTCTTTAGTCTAGACTTGGCTTCAGGTTTTTGCTTCAGTGGTTAATGTCCTTTTAACCTTCCTTGATGAGAGTTTTGAGAACCATCCTAAAACATGAAAACCCAAGGTTAGGCTCAAAAAGAGCACCCAACGTATAACAAAGGTTTAGTCTCAGTCCTGTTTCGAATCAACAGAAAGATACTGAGGCAGGCTGCAAATGCAGAGGTTTAAGATTTGTTAAACACCTGTCTCTTCTCTGCACTGTAGCACTCCTAGTGCATCAGAGACCAGACTTTTTCCATTGTTTTCTGCTTAGCCTCAAGTCTCTCATAGGCCTTCCGATCTGCATTTCTTAATCCTAGGATGTATTGGGACACTGTTCCACTAGGACACTCGGTTATAGCTCACTTCTAAATCTTCCTATGCTGCTGCTGTTTCACAAATGATGATACACTTGATGCATGAATTTTGGATCTCTGACTTCTTTAAGGACGGAGAGAAATGTTCTCTTTCTGTGCTTGGTCACTTTCCACCTTCCTGCTGGGTGTGTGGACTTGGTGTTAAGTGTCTCTACCAGCAGTTAGAATTTCCTCAGCTCTAGTAGTACACATTTGAAAAGTCCTCTGTCCCTGACTGTAGTGATTTTTCCAGTATTGAAATAGGCCAGTTTTCCTGTAGTGGATTAGGCATTTTGGCTGATCTTTATTCTAGATGTGTATATAAAATACTAAGTCCATGTTTTGTGTCAAGGAGACGTTTGAATAGGCATAAATAAAGAGCTAAGGAATTTATTCACAGTTAAGTGAAAAATTATATAGAAATGTAACAAAATCTTTAATAAGATTATATTGTGCTGCCTTTAAGAAAAGAAGAAAGGCAAGTACATTCCAAGGGCCTTTTTGTAATTTCGTTTTTATTAGTGGCGTGGCTTTAAAATGTACTGACTGACTTTTCTTTCATTTAATGCTGTGAAACGAACTTATTTCTCTCCAGAACACATATACGAATGCAGATAAGCTCCTAGAAGCAGCAGAGCAGCTTGCTCAGACTGGGGAGTGTGACCCGGAGGAGATTTATCAAGCTGCCCATCAGCTCGAAGACCGGATACAGGATTTTGTCAGGCGCGTGGAGCAGCGCAAGATCCTGCTGGACATGTCTGTGTCCTTTCACACTCATGTTAAAGAGGTAAAACTTCCACTAATTGTGATGATAACTTCAAGTCCTAAACCCGGTGTTATCCAGTGTTGCTTTCATTGTTAGAACCTTGCCATAGATCGCCATGAAAACCTCTGTTGTATGATGAGTGTTGGTTTGTAATTCACTGTGGATTGTGGGCTGGGGTAGTGTGTGCTTCTGTTTAAGGATTTTTAAAATTTGATTTTATTTTGATTTTTTTACTTTCAGAAGCAGCTTTTACCTCCTTCATGGCACAAGTGCACATGCTTGTTCAGTCACAGGGGAGGGAGAAGGGTCGTATCAGGGATCTGGTACAGCTAAAAGTCAGCGTTGGAGAGGGAGATACTGTACAATTTTGGTTTTTTTATCCAACCAGCTCTCCTGTTGTCTGACGTACCAGACCCATGGTTGGACAGACATGGTTCAGGATACCAAAATGTATGGCAGAACTGCAAGGCTACTTAAGGCAACCTTGTTGCGCAGAGAGACTTTGTTTATTTCTCTGTTTTGCACATCACATTTTTATCTGGTGTATTGACAGTTCTTTGCAACTTGAAGATCTTATCTAATAATGACAATGGTTTCCCTCATGTTTGCAATTTTTAGTCTTCTTCCAAGGTCACCAGGAAAAAGAAAATTCAGCCACACTAATTTTCAGTAAGATTAGCTTTTGCTCCAATTCAAAACACAGAACGTGAATTTATAAGCTCATGGGAGAAGGTGGAACAGGCTACAGCAAGAATAAGGACTTCAGCAAGGTGTTTTGATTTTTGACAATCTTAGGTTACTTGGTTTGTTTTGAGCTTGTGTTAAATCTCCTCACTGTTCAAACTCAGTGAAAATATGAAAAGCTTCTGGATCACAGCATGTCCCAGTGTGCCTTCCTACACTGTACATTGCGAAATGGTCTGTTCAGTGACAAAGTATAGTATTCAAAGTAGCTTCTTCAGCAAAACCTCCTAGAGGATAAGAGTGGGAGTTTTTTGTAAGTGAAACATCTGCTTTGCACTTGAAACAAAAGCACAAGGCAGTTGGTCTTTGAAGGAGGTCAGGACTAAATTACTTTTTAGCTTTAGACATGAGTACATAGCTCCCCCATCAGTTTTCTGCTAGATGGTTCCTTGCCAGTACTCTCACAGGACACTGCTTGTTCAAACAAAATATAAATGCTGTTTCATAAACTGTTCTTAGGGGGCAGCTTTTTTGTTTCGCTTTGTCAAGCAAATAGTACTGGTCCTTATCTGTTATGAAGCACAGGAGCAGTCAGCTGCTAAAATGTGTTCATTTTTTATATATATTTTTTTTTCATTGCCTGTTTCTCTTAGCATTAAAAACAACAGCTGAAATGGTATTTAAATAAAATACAGTTGGTTGTGGTGGTGAAAGACCAAGAGTGTAAAAGGATTTGCTTTCAAAAATGAAAAAAAGCCCTGAAGGGCAGACTGATATGTGAGTCACTGTTGAATAGTTCTGGGAGGCTGATCCAGATGTGCTGGCACATTGCCACTGCTCCCCTAGATAATAATGTTTTATTGAAAAGAAAAAAAAATAGATATTCTGTATTTTGATTTATTTCTTTGGGAAAATGGCTATTATTTTGAGTCTGTAAGCACACACAGCTGTTACTATGAAAGCCTCTTCGCAGTCCAGACTTTGGGGGGAAAGTACTATAGTGGTTGATTTTGATTTTTTGGTATTGTTTTGTGTATGAATGACCTTTATACCTAGCAATGCGCAGAAAAATTTTAATACTATCTATTTGTGAAGGATATATTTTTATATGTTTGCAATCTACTTAAAAATACAGATGAAGGAGTGAGATGGGTGGTTCATACTTAATAGACTAGTCCTTGGTTCAGGTGCAAAGAAACAGCAAGCTCAGAGCTCTCCTGTGCTTTCTGTATTCTGATCTATTTTCAAGAGCATGTTGTTTGTTATCAAACATACGTATGGAGTGCTGAGAAGGCATCACAAAGCAGATGGAAGATAAAAATGCCCTAACCTGAAAGCCATCCGTGCTTATTGGCAGGAGAACTGTGTTCCTCCTACAGGATGTGGGAAGTCGCTGAATAAATTAGTGCATACCTGTAAGCAACTTAATCTTTCTGCTGTATTGTGAAGAAATCAACATGCACACGTAGCTAGTAAAGAGAGGAGTTCTGGCAGTAGGATAATAGGTTAGTTGTTGAATCAGAAGGAGGTGCCACAGTTGTTAAATAAAAAAATACCTTAAAAAGAGCACCAAAAAGCCCAACCCACCAACCAGTCAACCCCCAAAACACAAAAAACCAAACAAAGCAAAACACCACCAATGCATTTTGCCCTTGAAGTATTCAGGGCAAATTCTGTCTATAGTATCTTTTTTTTTGTATTTTCCTGGTTAAAAAAAAAAAAAATAGACATGAAGACTTAAATTCCTGTTTGTGTGTGACAGTTTGGAGGGAGCTGCAGAGCTAAGAAAAGCTGTTTGTCTGAGTTGTTGGCTGTTTGAGGTTTTGAAATCTGGCTCCAAATCCTTCCAATCCCTTGATTTCTTTGAAGTATGTTTTATTCCTTTCCCCCAGAAATACTTCATGTTGAATGAATGCTTCTCATTGGGATGAGAGTATTCCATTACCACTTCTCCCCAGTAGATTTACATAACCTTTATACCTGATGCTGAATTTGCCTGCATTTTTTCTCCGCTTCTCTAGGAAGCAGCAGCCCTTCAGTGACTGCCCAGAACTCTCACTCTGTTCATGCTGAGTAAATCAGCAGTTTCTGCTTTCAACAGTGTGCTTGCCACGAAAAGCTCTTCCTGAAACTAACAGACTTGCTATTTGTATGCACAGAGCAGCTGTGTGCTATGTGTGCAGCAGCCTGTTATGATGCACATGGAAAATCTGTCTGTCCTTAGCCTTTCCAGAAGTTTTGTAGTGAGGTAGTTACAAGATGGTAGAGCTCCCTGTGGCTTACAAATATCAAAAAACCAACATATAAGTTCTCAGAGTCCTCACAGACTAACTTCAACAGACAACATTTTTCACTGGGGAGAAAAAGGAGCTATTCAGAAATGACAGAAATGCAGTGTTATGTAATGGTATCACTCATTTTGCTTAGTGGTGATCTGAGAAAATCAGTTGCCTGCTATTTGTAAATTGTGATTACATACTGCTATCTTATTACCAGTTTTCAAATTGTAAGGTTGTGAATATTGATTTTTAGCTCCCATGCCTTCAGTGAGAAATTTCAATCTATAAGGCAGACTCTTCAGTGAAGTGATGTACTGAAGTTAAGCTGTGCACCGACAAGCTTTAAAAGTGTTTGGGATCATAAATATCTCTGTCAGGATCTTTGCATTGGAAGTACAGTGTCTTGACAGATTCCTGGCCTGAGGATGGGTAACATACAACAGCTGAACATCTGACACAGACCATTGCAAGACAGTGGAACCCTTATGGCTTTTGTGCCTTTGGACATTTAATAAGATGGTAAGGGACGAGGTGAGAAAAAAATTGCCCATGTAAAAGATAACTGCTTTTCTGTTACTGTTATCTTTAAGTGTTAAAAGGTTGTGTGCAGAACAAATCATAAAAGGTTGTGTGCAGAACACAGGAGCAGGAGTCTCAATAGTCTCTGCTGTGCAGTGTGTCACAGACTAGAGATGAACAGCATTTTGGTGTGAGTTCAAATTCTTCCATACACAGACATACACATGTGCACACACACTCGCTCCAAAATGGCTCCCTCAGCATCTGTGAGTGGGAAGACTGAAATCCTGTCCAAGCCAGGTGTTTGTTGTAGTGCCAGAGAAAAGCAACAGATATTTTCCTAACTGGAGTCAAGTGTGGGAATGCAGATCAGGCTGTGCCTGTATGTGGAAGAGAATGATCTCTTAAGAGCCTGTTGGTTTTTTGCATATAACCTTTTGTGTGTATTCTGACAAGTTTATTATAAAATAGCTCAGAGCGCTTTTCATGTAAACACAGTATGCTTAATGGTGTTACTAGAAGGCATGACTCTACTTTTTTCATCTTAAACTAAACTTTGCTTCAGAGTAGACTGGGGTTGAAACAAAGAGAAGGGATGTGGAATTGGTTGGGTTTTCAGATACAAAGCCATCATGACCAAAGTAATGAAACAGTGGTCTGTGCAAGCTTTGGAACGAAGGTGGCATCATTTTGAGGGTGCCAGTGCAAAGGAGGGCTGAGGAGGCCTTGCTCTGGCCACAGTGCTGCCCATTCATTCCCATGAGGCATGTGCCTTTGATTCAAAAAAGCTTGTTGATAATAGTCTCGCTTTGTCTCGCAACTCACTCCTGGAAATACACTTTGCTCTGTGCTGCCCAGTATGGGAGGGTGTCCATAGCACAGCTTTGCATTAATGTTGTCTCAAGGTAGACCCTGAGATGATAGCTCTGCTCCTTTGCTTGCATGCCCCTCCTTGGTATTTGGTCTTTCTGTTCTGTCTACAGGTTAAATTTGGATGTCACAAAAAAGGCTGCTTTCTCCTCTGCATGCTGTTTCCAGCAGCAGAGCATCTCTTGGATGCCCCCATCTACATGTAAAGGCTTTATCTATTTGGCTCATGCATCTCTAATACTTTTATTGTGTCATTATAGCACAGCAGTGGTCAATGTTACAGGTCTGGTAAAAGATATGAAGTGCATTCTGGTCAGTATTTTGATACACTGCTCATCTTGTGAGAGTTGTGGTGGACACTTAAATCAGAAACAAGAATCACTCTCTGTGGCTGCACACTCAAATGTGTAGTAGCTTACTGCTGGTAGGACTGGAATTCAGTTTGCCGGCACAGCTTTTCTTCTCTCTTGAGTTTTTTAATACTGGTACCTTCTTTGATTGGAAAAAGGATGAAATTAAAGTCTCAGTGTAACTGAAATAGCACAGAGTGCTTGACAAAAGTGAGGCAGAAGTAGGCCTTTATGCTCTATTAAGCTATGTATAGACATTTTTCTCTTGTTCAGTTAAGAAATAGGGCAAATGTTAACAGGGTAGTAGTAGTTGATGTAATTTTATGAACATGTGGGAAACTTGGTTTTGCTGCAAGGATGAATTTATTCTGAATCAGAAATTAATTCCTTTATAACCATAGGATAGATAGGGGTATTTGAAGCTTTTAAAGATAATTATATCTAATGAAAAAAAAATGCAGGCATTTAACATCTTAAATGCCTCTGAAAGGCCCTCGAAGACAAACCCCGAGGTGTTTAACATCTTAAGGTTTTTGTTTTTAAAAAGACGCATTTTTGTGCACTGCATATCCTCAAAGCCAAAGCTTACAGGCAGACACACACACACTAGCCCCTTCCTATGCCTACACATACTTGTTAGGGAACACCATTACAACTTTTGGCCCTGTACAAATAATAGGTCCTTCAAGAACTGTGCCTGTGGTAATGCACATACTGCAACACTGTGCTGGGGGATGGGGACAGAAAGAGGAATTTGCAGTTTTTACATGCAGAAACCGTGTGCCTTTCTTTGCCTGAGCCTACTGAAAAGGCAGACTCCATATCCAAAAGCCAGTATTATAAAAATGAAAAAATAACTTGTGAAAGAGTATGATGGATATTTTACCCTAATAAATGACTCTGTGCTCTTGGGTGAAGTATTTACTCAGAAACAATTGTTCTCTGTTTAAATTCAGCAAAATACAGTAGGGTCTTATTTAACTGCAGTGTTTCAGGAGATTGCAGGGATGGGACTTAAATGGATAGAGGCCCATGATGGAAACACTGAAACTTCCAGGATGTTGCAGACAATTGAAATAATACCATCTCAGTGACTAATGGCATGCTCCCAAGAACTTAGGAAAGAGGTACTACAGGATGCAGGCTCATTCAAGCAGATGTTTCTTAGTCTGTGCTATATTTAGATCAAGAAAAAAAATCTGCTGAGTGAAACATTTGCCTGTCAGGGATTCAGAATTTTATTTCCCTCTCTAATTTTAATTCTGATAAGATGCAAAGAGCAGATGAAAAGAGGAGAAGAACCTCCTTCTGTGACTGGATTGAGTTTTGTATGCAGTTTTTCTCACCATATGTTAGAGCTGTCTTGCTGCTGGATAAAGTTCTTACTCAGATCAGAGGATTTGATGTTTGTTTAGGGATCTTCATGCTACTTCTTTATAAAGAATAGAGAAAAACATGACTGGAAGTTGCTCAAAAGTTCACACCGAGAGAAAGTTAATAGTTTTTTAATGATGAGTTTGTGGTTTTTTCCCCCACTGGATTTTTGTTGCCAAGCTCTCTTTTATGGAATAATGTGTTACTTCAGAAAGTCATTGCACTGTAAAATCTGTAATTCTGCACTGCTGAACATGTATGGGTAAGCTCTAGTCTCTGTTCACCCCCTGCTGTAAACTGTTGGCTTTCTTTTGGCTTTGCTGTGCAACCTTGTACAGTCTTCAACCTTAATTTTGTATCTGAAAACAAGGTAATTTATGTAATTTCCAGTATATCCAGGGTTCATTCTGGTTTGAAAGCTGCAGAGAAGCCAGCTGGCTACTGCCACCCATTAAGAATTAAGCTTCTCTCAGTACACTGCATGAATTTCTATCCAGCTTTAGTAATCTGACAGTTTTATTCATCTGTGGTGGCTTTATCATAACTTTTGTTTATAAACACCTAGATTATTTTGAGGGGAAGATTTTTGTCAGCAACTTACTTGGTGCATAAATGTAAAACGTTTATTTGGCAACGTATTAGAGTAACTTCTGCTATGGCAGTGTCATAGAGCTGTTTAGTCACTTAAATGGCTTAACTTGTTCCACTTTCAACAGCGTATGAATCACAGCTAGACAAGTAGTGCATACTAATTACTCTCCTTCTCTTTCTGCACTTTTCATAAGATGTTTTTGCTTCCCAAGCAATGCACAATTCAGCTCATGGGCTAGGCAAACACAATGTATTTTTGAGCCCTTTGGTACCCTTGGGGGCCAGATACCATGTTTGTAGTGATGCCATGCTGACCAGGCACTAAGCCAGTCAGCGTCACTCTTGGTTGTGCTGGTGCCCATGTCCTTCTCTCAAGTCAGGTGGTGTTGCCTTGAGCTGGCTGTGCAGAGGGAAAAAAGGTCTGCATGTCCTCTGTTGGCTTGGTCTCCAGCATCAGGGTGAGTGAGCTCTGAGGGAATTATTCACATGCACAATACCTCACCAGTTCAGCGCTTGTAGGTTTTGTTGCTTCTGCCAGATCTCCATCCAGTTATAGAAGTGGCTGAAGTGTATGTGAATAACAAATGAAGAGGTGAGGTGTGTTCCTTGTAGAGGTCTGACACTGCTCAGCTGCAGAAGCTATGTTGTTAAAAATTGAAGTGGCTCTCAGACCTGTCTCGAGCTGCAGTACAGGTACTTCTAAGGGACCCAGGGGGCAAACTTGATACAGTCTGAGAAACAAAAAAATATTTAATCCCAGTTTCTCTGTAGTAAATATCTGTGTAAATTTGTCCTTTTGTAGGCAGCACAGTAAGCATGGAGTGTATGTAAGCATGTAGAGCCAGCAATGTCTTCTTAGCCAGCACCAAGCACATTGCAGAAAACAACAAAGTGTTGCTCTCAAATGTATGTATTGTACTGTACTGTACAGCTCATTTGGAAGGTCTCTGACTCAATGCCCTATTTTTATGGGTCAGGCATAAAAGTCATAAGCTAAGAGAGGAATGAATGCATGTTCTCTGGGCACTGAGTAAAATTTTCAGGCTGTGTTTTCCAACTTCTTGCTCTTAAGTTTCATTGGTTTCCCAGTTAAAGTTGCATTCCGAAGTATGCATTTGGAAAAAAAAAAAATTGGATGTTGCATTGAGTTATGCTGGAATGAATGTTGACGAGTGCTTCTGACCCACTTGTAGAGTTCTATTGATTTGTGGTCCTTTTAATAAGAAAGACTGCTGTGCTGTGGTGTTTACAACTGTGGAGTTGCATTCAGATTTGTGACAAGCACTGTCTTTGAAGCATATGAGTAGTCAGAATAACAGTGTGTATGAACAGACAGTGCTGGTTTGGGGAGGAGGGGGTAGTAGATTTGTAGACAAGAGTCTGGTTAAATGTCATTAGTTCATTCCAGTTGTGAAAACTTAGCCTACGGCTTGGTTTACTCAAAATCTACAGGAGGCATATAAAGTTATGAGATACCAAAACTGGCATTTGATTTTAAAACAAAGTTTCAACGGAACTAATTAATCAAGATCTGGAGTCATTCACTGAGTTTTCTATTTTAATGTATTAGTTAGGAAACCTTTATGATCAAAACATACATATACAAACAGCAGCATGAAGTGGCTATTTCTGTAGAAAATGTTTAGCAAAGAAATAAACCAGTGACGTTTCTGTCGTTTGAATTTAAGCCAGTTTTGATTGCTTAGTTATGTATTTTAACAATGTTAACATTTTAATTAGGTTCAAATGTCTCTAAAATTTTCAAAGGCAGAGATTAACAAGTTCTCAAAAGACCTTAATACTTTTGATCAGTTCAGAGTTACTCTTTTGGGATAAAAAGCAAACTCCTGTTCTTGGAATAGCAGCATTTGGGATGGGATGGTAGAATACACAGGAGAGACCGGGTGTTTGAATGCTTCCCGTAAGAGCAGCTGTTCCAGTGTGATGTTGGTGCTGCTCATGGGAGTGTTGCAGGACACAGCCACGCTCCTGCTGCTTTTTTTCAGTTCCACAATAGATGGCTAATGGTTTGCTGATGAGTGGCTTTCACAAAGAGCTTAGGATGCAAGAGTTTCCATCATGAAATTGTGGAAAAGAACACTGTAGGGTTCTTCATGTGACCAGCAGTGATACCTGTCCAACATATACCTAGGGATTTTTGTGTAAGCCTTGGTGCATGGCCGTTGTTGAGCAGGGATATGTGCACATGGGAAGCAGGGAGGATGAATTTCAAATTAACTGGTAGAATTACTTATGATGATTTTTGCTGTAATAGTGTGAAACTGAAATCAGAAGGGCAAACACCATCATGATAGAACGACAACATCTTACATCTGATTTGTCTCTATTTTGTTTTCTGAAATGCTCTTTCTTTTTCCTTTTTTTGAAGGCCGCTGAAAAGTGTTATGTTGTCTGTGTGCAGTGTCAGCCTGGCAGTGCAAATTTGATGGTGGCTACAATACATCTCCCTTCCTTCCTTCCTTCCTTCCTTCCTCCCTTCTCTCAGAGAGTGTTACCATAGCATTTCTCTCCCAGGGACTCTCGCGCAGAGCTGCAGATGGGATTCTCACTATGAACTCTGTGCTGCTCAATCGGATACGCTCAGTTCTGTAGAAGCAAAATGGGGAAGAAAGGGTGACTTAGCAACACGGATAAAGCTTTCCTGGTATTTCCAAGAAGCGAAAACCTTTTTTGAAATGAAGGCTTGTCTTCATTAATATGAGGATGGCATTTTTCTATGAAGAAAAACAAATCCTCTTTCTTCCTGCCACCTTAGTCTGTTTTCTCTTGTCCAGGGAGATGGATTCAGAATAGATGACTGCCTCATCCTCGGGCTTACGTTTCTTGCTTTTTCCCCTTTCCTTTAGCTGTGGACGTGGCTTGAAGAGCTACAGAAAGAACTGCTTGATGATGTCTATGCTGAGTCTGTGGAGGCTGTCCAAGACCTGATTAAACGTTTTGGTCAACAACAACAGACCACTCTGCAGGTTACAGTCAATGTCATAAAAGAAGGTGAAGATCTCATACAGCAACTAAGGTAAAACATATTTTTATTTAAATCTCTCCTGGTGTTTATCTGATGTTCTGTGAGGTTTTTTCTATTTTGAGGATAGAGATGATGAGTACAAGATATGACCTATAAATAAAACTTGTAAATATTAGGACTACAGGGATCTCTTGTGCTGTACTGATGGTCTCTAAACCTCTGTTTACAGGAAGCTCAGGTTATAAACACTGCTGCCACAAGAAGGAGATTTGTTGACATAAGCTACCTTTTTGATAGAAGCAGTTATGTGTTTTTGTAGTCTGACATGCAAGGCTCCACTGCGTTTTGAATTCTGAGCAGCAGCCTTTTTAGAAAGGAACATTTGAATTTGTTTTTCATACTGACAAGTAACTTCATTGTAGTAAAAGCCAAGTTTGTGGTCCATTTCATTCAAAAATTATCTGAATAAATAAATTTGGTTCCCAGCTGATCTTCTTTCATTCAGGAGATTAACAAATCTGAATTTGCAGGTTTTATCCTCAGGTAAAAGATCAAGTAATTTTTTTAATGAACTAATTTTGATTTTTTTTCCTTGCCAGGAAGATTCAGGAAAGTAAATAGTTATCATATGCTACTTCCTTTTCACAGTGGCAGCATTTGTCTCTGGTTTTACATTTTATCCTTCCTGTAAACAGAATGTCTTTGTATGTTGATTTGGGAAAAAAATGAAGGTAATTAATTTCCTAATGTTTTTTTTCGAGTACTAGAACATAGTTGGGCTTTTTATTTACTAAGATGTACATACTTAACTTTTTGTGCAATATGGTTTGCAACAACTGCATCTGAAGCAGGCTTATATGTCATATATATAGCATCCAATTTCTATGTTTTTTTTTTTTTTCAATAATGCTCTTTTTTCTTCCCCCTCCCCTCTCTCTTTCTTTGAATAGGGATTCTGCCATTTCTAGTAACAAGACCCCCCACAACAGCTCGATCAACCACATAGAGACAGTCCTGCAGCAGCTGGATGAGGCCCAGTCTCAGATGGAGGAGCTTTTCCAAGAACGCAAGATCAAACTTGAGCTGTTTCTGCAGCTCCGCATATTTGAAAGAGATGCAATAGATGTGAGTGTTTGCTCTCAGACTTGCACTGCACGCATTTCTCCTCTAGTGTAGGAATGTTTATGCTGAGATTGTGTAGTTGCATTGGCATGTGGCTCAAATGGCTGATAGACTTCATTCTTACATGAACTAAGGCTTTTGTCCTGTGTGTGAAAGTGTCTGAAGAGCTCAGTGCTCAGCAGAGCTGAGCTTTTTGATTTGTTTTTGGTGCATCTTTAAGCAAATGTTAGGTAAAATCATAATGCATCAGTTACTTCATCTGCTGAGTTTAGCTTGAATATCAAACTACCTTGATATAACTAGCATGCCTGCAGTTGATATGAACAGGACTTGCAAGATGGTTTCATACAAACCCTCTAAACTGATGCTTTGTAGTAACAACCCTCTTCTCTTCCTTTACCAAATCAGCAGTTTTCAGTTGGCAGCTGCAAGTGGTATTTGAAATTCTATCTTAATCACTGAGAATGTTCTATGGGCTGTCATTTTTTAAAAATAAAAATCTTTTCCACCTCCACAAATAATTCAATAGCAGTTGTAGTGCTTCACCCCTGCAAAACTTGAAGAAGTTTTGAGCTGTCCAGACTTCGAATGGGAGTTACTTATCAGCTTATTAGTTGAAAAGTTTCTGTTTGTGTGCAGGAACATGTACACAAGCAGAGATGAAACTTCACAAGGAACTTAGGTTAGCAGAGTTGCACTTAAAAACTTTAACTAAGTTCATATGATTTCATAAAAATACTAGTGCTGTATACAGTGACTGAAACCAGTTGGTGCCTTATGAGGTTCAGGGTTATTCATTGGTAAATGATCTTGAGTGTATAATGGCTTACCTCAAAATTCTGAAAACCAGGAGTTAAAATTATAAGTTTGCCCCATTGCTTGTGTGTAGTAAAAGCTGCAACTGTTGGTTATGAATGTAAAGGTAAAAGAGACAGTCAGCAGAAAGCTTCTCAGGTTCTTAGTGATAGCGTCACAGGTTTTTAATGTTTTGGTTTGGGTGTTTCTTCCCCTTCTGAAAATTAGGATTTGATGTCATGGCTGAAGTCTGGTTTAGCTAAGTACACTGTTAGGGGCAGTGCAGAAATAGGCAGACACAGTTCCTTGATCCTTACCCACAGAGGAAGTGAGAGTGTGTGCTCCACAGTAATAACAACTCTGCTGTAAAGGAAGACAAAGAAGGGGGTTTTTTTGTTTTTTTTTTCAATTTTGCAGTTCACACTGGTCTGCAGAGAGTTTTCTACTTTGACTATGTGCAAGTAGCTTTTCTGCTTTGATCGTGTGAGAGTAGCTATCTCACATATGCTTACAGTCTTTGCAGGAGTGATCAACAGTGCTTGATGTCTGTGAGATGTTCTCAGAACACTTTTTTTGAAGGAATGGCAGCTGTGTGGGACAGTGCATACCAGGAAAATTAATGGAAGAATTAGAATAAAGGTTTGAGTGAAGTTCACTTTTAAATTGATTGCTCTCTGTTATAGGTTACATAAGCCAGGATTCTGCAGTAGCAAAAGGCTGGTTGCAGGAGCCTGCTTTGCAGATTGTTCTAGTCCTTCAGTTCAGGACAGCATCTATATGGGTAGGAGTACTTCTGGTACTGCTACTTGGTGATGCCCATAGGATTTTGCATCAGAAGGCTTCAAACCCTAACTTCATAGAATCATAGAATAGAATATACTGAGTTGGAAAGGACCCACAAGGGTCATCAAGTCCAACTCCTGACCCTGCACAGGACATCCCAAGAGTCAAACCATGTGCCTGGAAGTGTTGCCCAAACGCTTCATGAACTCTTTCAGGCTTAGTGCTGTGACCACTTCCCTGGAGAGCCTGTTCCAGTGCCCAGCCACCCTCTGGGAGAAGAACCTTTTCCAGATATTCAACGTAAACCTTCTCTAGCTCTGCTTCATGTTGTTTCCTTGAGTCTGGTCACTGGTCACAAGAGTGAAGACATTGGTACCTGCCCTTCCACTTCCCATCATGAGGATGTTGAAGACTGCAATGAGCTCTCCCCTCAGTCTCCTCTTCTCCAGGCTGAACAGACCAAGTGACCTCACCTGCTCCTCCATACAGCTTCACCATCTTCATAGCCCTCCTCAGGATTCTCTCTGATAGATTAGTCTTTTTTATATTGTAGTGCCCAAAACTGCACACACTTGACAGGTCTTGCTTTTTCTAAACCTGACACTTGGTGCGCTTCACATTTTGCCACATACATCATAAAGCAAAGCACCAGTTAGCTTGTTGAAAGAGTTGGTATAGTTTGTCTGTGTGGCTTGGAAACAGAAATCATACCTGTTTTTGATTGATGGAGAGTCCTTCAAGGAAGAAAATGGCCCTGGCTGCAGAGTGACTTCAGCAAAATGTTGATTGTTTTGCTGTCTCTGTACCATGTCTTCTCTGCTTCCTCAGCAAAACACGCTTCTCTTTTCCCTCTCCCTGAAGGCAGACATCTGTTTGGAAACTTCCAGGAAGAAAATGTGGGGACTAGTTCCAGGTCAGTTGTTTGAAAGCAGAAGCTCAGCTGAAGTAACTTGATAATGAGGAGGAGCCAGATGCCAGATAGGAATTTGCAGACCTTGTTTTGACCTTCTCCTTCCTCCAGGATTTTGTGTGACTGGTCCAGTCAATTAAGACTTGGCTGTAGGGGCAGTTAATTCAGGGGAGCATCCTGTGAGGACAGCTTTTCTTGAAGGCAAGTAGTGTTTCTAGCTTCTCTTACTGATTGCAAAATTTCACAGGCTAAAATGGGACAAAGAGCTCCCCTAGCACTGCAGGGTTGTAGCCATGCAGCTGTTCTTCTGGGGACACTGGTGAGATTTGCAGGCAGGGTTAGTTCCCTTCTTCTCCTTACTCTTCCCTTGTAATTTGCTGATAAAATACTTTGTTTCTTTGCTGATAAAATACTTCATTTCTTTTGTCCTACAACTTTTTAGATACTCATGCTTTTCTGAAATGGGTATAACTGCAGTACTGCCTCTATTTTGCCCCTTGCCCTTGACATATAAACTTTACCTTTTCTATCTTCAGCATGTTTTTTAGTGCCATTGTTGGTGAGCTATTGGAAGGACTCCATTTAAATGCCTGTATTAACTAAAGGCAAAAATGAACAAAATCATGTAGGTGAAGATTCCCTTGCTAATGTGATTAGAAGCATGAGGAAGGTGTGTGTGAACCCAGTGGGATGGTAACAGTCTGAAATGTGTTTGTCTCATTTGTGTCGGAGCACTTTTGCCTGTCTGTAACTTACGTGCCTTGAGGCCTGTGCCGGGGCTCTACACAGAGCATACCATGCACTTTTCAGCTCACAGCTTTATCTCAACTCTATTTTTGGACCGTACTTACGAGATGCCTGTTAAATCACACTGCTGAAAAAACATGGATGTAAAATGCTGGGGTATCACAGAGACCTAACTCCTCTCCCTTTCCCATTATCCCTTTTTTTTTTTTTTTCTCCTAAGCACACAATATTTACCAGGTCTTGATGAGCACTCAATTGGTACCATGAACGGTAGACACTTCTGAGAAGAGACCTGTGGTTCTTTATTTCTTTCCCACTCAGTGTGAAAGCATCCCTTCCATATTATACCCTGTTTTGTTTCCTGTCAGTGTTTCCTTTACATTTAATAGAATGTAGTGATGTCAGGCAGCTCAGAATCTGCACCAGGAACTTCTTGAACACATGCTATGTTAAATTGTTAGCCTGTGTTTATGCTGGGTTGTCCATTTCCTGAGAGCAGTATGAATTTGTGATTCAGTCACTTTAGAATTCTATTAGTCATTTGGTCTGTTTGTTTAATGCTGATTGTCTTGACAAAACTTTACAAGCAAAATGGGAGCCTGCCTGCTTTGAAAGTGTTGTCTGTAAAGCAGAACTTCAGAGGAAGCACTGAAGAGTGTGGGCAGAGAGGGCTTAGTGAATGCTATTCCTGTATTAACTCTGTCTTCAGATTTGCACAGTGGGTGCAATGGCTGAAATAGACCAGCCTGCAACACTTAATAACTGATGATAAAGTATGAGAATTACTGCCCTTGTTAGGAAACTTCTCTGGCATGGTCATTGACTACTTAGCTTTTGAATCAGTGTGGAAACATGCTGGTGTTATTTATTTGAATCATGGGGATCCTGATCTTTTGAAGGGGAAAGGAAATATATTGGTCTTGTTCAGGGTGTTTCAAACTGCTTTAAACAGTATGTGTGCCATGATCCTAAGCATGGGGTTGGTTGTATGAAATAGCATGGGAAAAGCTATAATTCTTACTGGCTGTGTGTGGCTGTTCTTTGGAGGCACTATCAATGAAACCTCTTGGCTGAGGCAAGACACAGTTATGGCCCCTTGAAACCAGTTGTTTTTCCTATCAAGTAGAGGGAATCTTAAGAGATAGTGACTACAATCTATTTCATTATTATAACAATACTGACACAGCCACAGCTGTGCCATATTGTGAACTTGCTGTGTGTTTTTTACTTTATTCCCACTTAAATTCCCAGTAAAAGAGATGAGCCTTATCATCTGTTCTGAAGGGAGTTGAACTGGCTTTCCGTTCAAAACAGGTTTATAAATGTGCCATGTTGAATCTTAATCCTTTGTGTGATGGTGTTTAGAAAGATGGTGTTTTAATAGTGGCATTTCGCAACCTTTTTTAATGCTCAGATTTCTGTTTGACGAAGTCCAACTACAGATATTTCTTCAGGGTAACTTTTGAATGTTGTTAACTGACCTGGATGAAAATAAGATGATAAATCTGTTTTCTTAGAACTTCCCTAGTGTAGTGGATGAAGAAACAAACATTAGATGACCTCCACTGCTTTAATAATAAACGAACACAGAGGTTCAGAGAGAAGCTGGGAAGAGCAGAGCTGAGACGCACAAGAGCAGAAAAGAGAGGTAGCTGAAAGTAAGCAATTTCTCTGGCTGGACTGTCAGGAAAACCTAAAGTTTCTTTAAAATTTCAGATCACTTAAAAGAAAGTGAAGAGCAGAGGAAGGTGATGAGACATGTTGGGCATGGACTAGGTAAAAAGGAAATTAAGGGAACTTGTTAAGGATTTTGTGTGACGGGAAGCCTGTGTGTGTGTTTAGAAAGAAAACCACTCACAATGCCTAAATGGAGACTGTGTGATGTTTAGAGCACATGGAAGATGAAAGGAGCTTCAAGCAATGGCTAAAAGCCTTGTCCTGTCTATTTTCCTGAATACTTTGGTCATTAGCTTTTCTGTTTTCAGTGTTACCCCTGGTACTTGAGTTTCTGCATGTTTTCACTTCAGCAGAGGTAGCTGAGCAGGTTTAGGGATTGCAAATAGCTACCTTAATTGTTCGGTATCTCCCATCATGACGTGATGTAAAACTCAAATACTTAGTGATTCAAGTGGAATTTTTTTGCAGAACACCTTTAAAACAGGAAGTAACTCACTGGTGCCACAATTTCAATATTAATTGCTTGATGTGTCCATTTTTTTATGGCATCATGTGAGCAGAATGGAAAAAAGCCTTCATGAGAGATTGTAGCAAACTACAGAAACTTTATACAAATGATTTAACTTTTCTAATCTTCCCAGTTCTGCTTTTTTTTCTAGAAGGCCCGTTTTCCTGGAATTTCTCTTGTCATTTAACTGTCTCACTAACTTTGGAGCTATTGCAGCCACTTGAAAAGGGGTAGTGACATCTTTCTTTTGCTGACAACAAATGACTTTGGTTAAATATTTATGCTCTTAGATACTTGATTGCTAATGCCCATTAAGTCAGGTCCTCTTTTTGTTGTGTCTTGCTGCATAAATAGGTACTTTCTTCTCATTTAGCACCATTCACATGAGTTTGCCCTACTCCTGAAATCGTAGAACACTGGAACTAACCCATACTTGTTTCTTGATACCTATAATTTTGCTTTCCCAATGAACTGCTGTAGTTGGTGCTAAAACTGCTGAAAATTCTGGAAAAATTTTGATTATTGGCTTGAGGGATAAGTGGGTTAGACAGACTTTTCTGAAGTAACTGATGCATCAAATCTGTATGAACTCAGCCCACTTTGATAATGAGGATTGCAAGAGCTACATGCTAGCCTTAAAACCAGTTTTGTACCATAATTGAAAGGAATATTTTATATTTCAGATAGGCTTTGCAGTATGATTTGGAAAATACACTTGTATGGACAGACAAGGACAACTTACTGTTGTGATACATGTGTTAAAAATCCCCAAAACTTCTTTAGCTACACTTCTTAGGACATCCTGCAGCGAAGAATAAAATGCAGAATTAAAATGTGAAAACTGAAGTGTAGCTGAAGAATATCAGCAAGCAAATTTAATTCTGACATTGCAATAATGTTGTAATAAATTATGCTTTTTGGTTTTGCTGGATTCACTAAGTACCCGGCCTTTCGTAGTAAGTCTCAGTTGTCTGGCAGAACTCAAAGGTGCATGTGGCCTGATGCTTCCTGCCCACAGAAGAGTAGAGCTGGCTTTCTTGGAAAAGGGCTCAAGATTGGCATAATTGTAAGATCAGCTGGCTGTTGATGTGTGAGTTATTACTTGATGCACTCTGAAGAATTAAAGAGGTGTTCCAGATCCACATTTTCCTTTAAAAGGGGAGATAAAAGCATATTAACTTCTTCTGTTTCACAAGTAAAGTGTTGATGGAGTACCTTCAATAAGGCAGGGGCACATACCCATAGTGTTGCAAGCACTGGTTGAAGAACTGTAGCAGTTCTTCAGAGGTTATTTTGGGTTGTTGGCCAAAATCTAAAATCCATGCTAGGATAGCCTGTGTCTGAACCATGTCTAATTTGATCAGTGATGCCAGTCAGTGGTGAGCAACTTGAGTTCCTTACCTCAGTCATCAGTGCAACATTGGAAATAAACTGTTTTCTTTTGTGTAATGGGTAATTGAACATGGTCTCCTTCCTTTTTCCCCCAGATTATTTCAGACCTTGAGTCTTGGAATGATGAGCTCTCTCAGCAGATGAATGACTTTGACACTGAAGATCTTACAATAGCAGAACAGAGGCTCCAGCATCATGCAGACAAAGCCCTGACCATGAATAACTTGACCTTTGATGTCATCCACCAAGGGCAGGATCTGCTGCAGTATGTCAATGAAGTGCAGGCATCTGGTAAGATGGCTCCTTTGTGCTATTCCAGGCAGTGGCTTTCTAAGAATTATCCAGCTGTCTCCTCATGGGATGTGTGAAAATAACAGGGATGCTGGTCAGCTGTAAACTGGGGACATGTGGACTTCTTTATACTCAAATCATTCAATGGTGTTCATAAGAAAATACTGGCACATAAATGTCATAAATTGGTAACACTTGAAGGGGTTCAGGTTTTAGAGAAAGGGATTTCACTCAGGAAGTCTATAAAATTAGAGTGAATAAGGGAATGTTAGTTTTATAGGTAGTCAGATCAATGCAGTCAAGCAAAGATTTTCTGCTTTCAAGTAAACATCTTCCTTTTTTGTTCCTTATGCCCCTTCATTTGATATTTTTCACTGTATATGATCGCATAGGGTAAGTATGAGACTTAAAAGAATGCCCATATTGCAATTCTTAAGAGTGCAAACCCCTATACTCATGTAAGCAAATCCTCCAAGAATTAGGTTGAACTTGGAGAAGGAAGTAGGAAATTAAGTGCAGAACAGTGGAAGCGGGCAGTTTGTCTCGGAAGAATGCAAGTCATTCCTATCCCACCATCCCGACTGCAGGTGTGGAGCTGCTTTGCGACAGGGACGTGGACATGGCCACCCGCGTGCAGGACCTGCTGGAGTTCCTGCACGAGAAGCAGCAGGAGCTGGACGTGGCGGCGGAGCAGCACCGCAAGCACCTGGAGCAGTGCGTGCAGCTGCGCCACCTGCAGGCAGAGGTCAAGCAGGTACGGCCCCCGCCCCCGGCAGCTGCCCTGCCGGGGAGCTCTGCTCCCGAAAGCACCTCCATGCAAAAAGTCTTTCCTTGGGAGCAGGGGAGGACGTTGATCACCTGAGAAACTTCATCTTCTGTTAACATGAAGTGCATGTTTTTAACTTGCATCACCGATCTTGCTGCGCGGATCTAGAGCAGATCCTATGGGAGCAGCTGAGAGAGCTAGGGATGTTTAGCCTGGAATAAAAGAATCTCAGGGGGGACCTTATCACTCCTGCAACTACCTGATGGGAGAGTGTATCAAAGTAGGAGTTGGATTCTTTACCCAGGTAACAGGTGATAGGACAAGAAGGAAGGTCCTCAAGTTGTGCCAGAGGAAGTTTACATTAGATACTAATAAACATTTCCTCACTGAAGGGGTTTTTAAGCACTGGAACAGGATTGATGGAGGCACCATCTCTGAAAATATTTAAAAGACATGTAGATGAGACACTGAGACACAAGATACGAGACACATACTTTAGTGGTGGACTTGGCAGTGCTAGGTTAATAGACATGATGGTTGTAGAGGTTTTTTCCAGCTCAAGTTATTCTGATATTCTGTAGATACAAGTAAAGTATTTGAAGTATAGAGTGATTTGAGCTAATGTTAAACCCATGCTTTTACTATCTGTACAGTGATGAACAACAATGCTCAGTCATAGTCCCTGCACACTGACCTGATACTTTCTGGGTCTGTTGTTTGAAACATTTACAAATAGTGATAAGCCTCTGAAGTAGCTGAAAGTTTAAAAAAAACAAAACAAGACACTAAAAAAGCTGAGAGTTTATCTTGCTCACATTTGGCAGCATCACAGAAGTTTGCTATAGTCTGTTGTATTACTGTGGCCCATAATGAGCGTGAATGACAACTACACACTGCAAAGTAATATGAAAGGGGTCCAGCTAGGACTAGGAGAAGTGAATAGAAGGTTCCTAAAGTATTTTCAGGCAGTGGCTGGTTACTCTACAGTAGCAGATTTGCAAAGCTTCTGTGTGGTCTTGAATTAAAGGAATACACAAAACTGATAGTTGTCTGCTGTCAGTGCAATATAGGCATCAATAAAATACTTCATGTTCTGTTTCAAGGCTTTGCATACTCTACTGAGCTGTGCTCTATCTGCCTTAGCATTTACTCATCTTGGTAAGTGCAGATTGCAAATTCCTCCTTCCACGTGAGTAATGGTTGAGATAAAGTTGTTGCAGATCAGGATAGTTTCTGTACTCAGTTGCATTTTGTCTCAAAGATGAAGGAAGAGAGTGCACATATGCAAAGGAAGGAAAAAAATTTAATAAATAATGCCAGCTGAGGCACTCTCATCCCTTTATGGTATGTCAGTGGGTTTGGGTGGAATGGGTTAGTAAGAAAAAGAAAAAAAAAAAAAAAGTTAATTTCCATGATACTGAAATAGTATTCAGTAAAACAACAGAATATAGCAGTTTGGTGATATTTAATATATTAAAAGACACTAAACAGTTATTTATACTGCATGCTCCCACAATAAAGTGAGTACTTTGGTCCGCTAGCTTTGTTTGTGTGCAAGTTAAATGTTACAAAAATGACACGTGTCATTTTGGCAGAAACAAGCAGATGATGAACATCATGGATTTTAAGGGAATACCCCTAGTGCACTTTGCATGTACTTTGTAGATCACTCGTTAAGAAATTTCTAACTTTTTTTAAGCACTGCTAGCCCTGACTGAAACTGAAGCTAAAATTTAGGTTCTTAAGAAAGTATGGAAAAGTTTATCTTATAATTAAGGTATAGGGAGTACATTAACATACCCAGCTGTCTTTTCTTGGTAGACTGGGATTTGGAAGAAAGAAGCATATTCTGTTTCATATTTCTAGAACACACCTCTATCAAGTGGGATTTTATGTTGAATTAAATGCCATAATATATGTGAACTTTCAGACAATCATACATGAACATGTAGCTGACAGAAGGTTCCTGTATTACTTTTCCAGATTTTACTTTTACAGATTCACCTGCAATACTTGCCCAGCCTAAGGCCTGAAAATTGAATGGAACTCAGTCTGAATGTTAATACATTGTCTCATAGGATTTCTTTTGGGCCCTTTGCAATGCTTTGAGGCTAGTAACTCTTAGTTTTGAGATTTCAGTTGCCTTTTCAGAAAACCACATCTGATTTATTTTTATTAAACATGATTAAGGAAGCATGATCTTCTCATGTCTCTTCTGCACTAGGAAAAAGTTCGTAGGTCAGCAGGTCACAGTAGGTTTACCTGAGAGTAAAATGAAGTGGTAAACTTCATCTTCAGTCTGTTTTATTTGTGTTTTGTTGCCTGAAGCAGTGAACATATGGTTTTCCTGTTCAATTACTGTGATGTTCTATTAGATTTATTGCTGATGAACTGGGTGTAAGCATATTTATTATAGAAGGATCCTGCCTCCATAGCAAGAATTCTGACAGTATTTCCATTTAAATCCTTCCTGCCAAAGCAACGTTACTGTTGTTGTATTTTCACACACACTCACACGCATGCACATGCACACACACACACACATATATTTACATAAAATACATAAAAATATGTAGCTTGTAGTCATGTGAAGCAGTTAGACTGCAGGAATTAAGAGAAATATTTGCAAGGATTCTGTTCCATAGCTTTCACTAGGTAGTGAAACCTTGTGCTTAATGAGTTTTTGTCAAATAAGCACAGGGAGTAGACAAAACCACTTAGTATTGCTTCTTCCTTAACTATTGTGCAAGTTCTGCTTTGTGGCATTGAAGTTTTGTATATCAAGCCTCAGGACTCGGAGGAAGCAGAAGAGCCAGGACACAAACAGAGATTTAAAGAAAACCTGCAAAGAATTTGCTTGTCAATTTGATGTGTAATATGAACAGAACGGGCAAAAGCAGATAGCAAATTACAGTGTAGAAAAACCATGGAAGATGGCGGGAAGAGAATGCTGACTGAAATAAAAGAGACATCTGTATGTGGGGAAAGCAACATGGAAAGGAAAATGTGACCACTTTTTTACAGGGCAGGGACATATGAGTAGGTGGAGGCAGAGTAATATTTATGAGAATGTCTGTCTCATGCAGAACTCCAGCTGCATGTTTGCCAGTCAAACCTTCTTTATTAATCACCTAACATACAGCTGTTGGATTACTTACTGCTACAATCACTCCCACATACTCACTGTGTAGAGTGAATGCTTTACTGTGTTTAAGGTCAAAATCCCTACCAAGCTTCAAACCCAGTCCAGTTGGTTTCACTATGGTTCAATTGATTTCATTAAGCCTTTTCAGTGCAGTGTTTTCTGCTGTTCTGATCGTGGTGTATGTTCTTGGATATATAACTATGTACCCATATATCTACAGTGGTGTATAGATACTTCAGCCCTCAAGAGTACCTTAAGCTGCTTTGTGTTTTCACTGGCAAATCTTTTAGCTTGATGCTTGAGCTCTGACTATCCCAAAATACTACTCAGGAAGGGTATCCTGGCACTCCATGTAGTGCCATATGGATATGAAAACATGGCTAAGACAGCAGACTGAAGCAGGTTGTCTTGTGATCATGTTTAGTTACAGTGAAAAATCTGTCCAAGAAACTAGTCCTAAATCAAGCATTTACCTACAGCTCTACCTGTCTGACCTTTTCAAGTGTCCCAAGTGACCTGAATTCTGTCTCTTTTCCACACCTTTGCTGATGCTTTGCTGATGCTTTTCTAGCCTGTTGAAGGCTGTTGAGGGGAAAGATGGGGGTTGTGATCCTCTCAGACAGGGAGGTGGTGAGAACGTGAACATGCCAATAAACCCTGACGACAACACCCCTGGAAGGAGAACAGGCTCTCCATTTCCTAATGCTTATATTTTGCCTTGAGTCAGAAAAGAAGTATGCCAGAATATGCTGGCATATTTCCTCCTGAGTTTCACCAGCTTGTGTACTTGCACCCTGACCTGCACCAAGGAGGAGGACAAGTCTTTGTGTTTGAAATGGCATGTTCTGTTCTAGCTGTTGGTGCTGTAAATAATGGGATGCCAAGTCAAGAGAAGCTTTCAGTTGGTGCTGCCTAAGCAACCTCCTTCATTAAAATTCTCTGAAGAAGGCTAGATATATAAGAACCCTAAAAAGGTGTGTTTGGTTACACCATACCTGGAAGAATTACTTTATAAGGTAGAGAAGGAACCTAGAATAACTTTCCTAAGACAAAATAAAAATAAAAAAGGAATAAAAAAAATCATCTGCCTCTGTTTTCTTGCAGACAATTTATTTGTCCATGTATATGAACAAATATAGTCCATATTTGTCCATGTATATGGACAAGTTTCTATCTGCAGTCTGTTGGACCCATCTGCTTCCCTCAGAAGCTGCTGCTTTTCCTGCTCATGAGGCTTACCCAGGCTTTCTCTCTGAGTGTTAAAAATCCCCTGGTGCCTTAGCAACTTAGGAACTCCCAGTTTCTTTAACAGGCCCTTTTGTGTGCCCCCAGGCTGTGATCTGCAGGTGCCACCTTTGCAGGAGGAGAGGTCATTCCAAAGCTGGAGCCGTCTTCCCCTTGCTTGCAAGGCTGCACCTGACCCAGTGCTTTCTCCCCAGAAGACCAGAATGTGCACCCAGTTACACATCTGGCATGCCCTTCCTTCTGCATTGTAGACTTACTCTTTTCTACAGACTTGCAGAATTTATATAGGAGAATTCAAATACATGCTATCAGGATGGAAAAAAACCAAACTTGTTAGCTATTCATTGTGCAGACAGAAATGGCAAAACCTGCATTAATAATACAACAATGTCACAATCTGGATAAGTGTAAGGCAGAGGGTAAGGTTGTGGTGCAGATTTGAGGGAATGGATGTTGTGTCAGGATGGCTAGACCTCAGTTGCTTCAAGCTGTCAGGTATGTTAGAGTGTGCTTTGGATGTAGACCCACATGTGCCTTTCAGGTTGTGAGGAACTGTGTTTTAATAGGTCATTTTCTTGGGTTCTGCCCATGTTCCCAGTCTGCAAGTGCAGTCATAATATCCTGATTACTTAGTGCATTAATGCTATAATTGATAGTGTCATGTGCTGATCCCTAGATGAGAATATTTAGTGTTAAGAACTAACTGATTTGGTAGTTAATATAATTATTAGCAGTGGTTAAAGGTCTAAATCAATTAGTAGGAAAAAGTTAGAAAAACTGGTGAAGTTCAAATCAACTGGGCCTAAAGAAATTCACTCTGGAATACGTAGAAAACTGGCATTGTTTCCAAACATCAGGAGATTGGACGAGATTCTGGAGGCCTGAAATTCAATATCTACTTCTCAAAAGTGGAAAAAGGACTAGCTGAGGGAGGATTATAGGTTAGCTAGTTTAACACAGTTCCTAGGAAAAATATTGAAACAAGTAGATCATTAAACTTGAACAGTGACAAAAGGAGAAAAGGCTAACACAGGTCAATTAATCACAGCTTTCCATTGATAAACCCCCTTTTTTTTATCTGACAAGGCAACAGCTCTTCTGGGAGGGGCAGAAAAGCAGTGTCAAAGCTTTTAAAATAGTGTAGCTCAGTCTGTCTGACCCTAACTTACTATGAGAATGTCATATGAGACTAAGTTACCAAAAATGGTAACTTGCTGAAAAAACATACTCAGTAACAAAAGTTAAGAGACTCAGTGGATTGGAAAACAGATTTAAATAATGAAAAAAAATGTATTTGTCTGTATTTGGATACTACCAGTTCATGTTCTTAGATAATCTACGTGTTAGCAATTATGCTATTAAATTTGAAGTTAAAAGCAGGAGCAGCTGGAAAAGGGGTTTGAGTTCATCAGAAGACACTGGATTACAGTTGAAATTATCTTGATGGGAGAACTATGCTTTAAGAAGGATATGAGTTTGAATAGTGAAAAATACGGAGCATGGTGTACTGGAAGGAATAATCAGCTGAATAAATACAGGAGTAATTACTGGCTGGGCAGCTGTTCCATAGAAGAGTTGTACAGATGACAATGAAATAACCTGAATTATGTCCCATTTTACTCAGCATTTGAAAAATTTTGACCAAGTCATGGTTATCAACTGCAGAGAGCTCGTAAAAGAACAGTGTTCTAGAAAAATAAGGTGACTGACTTCACATGGGAGAGATTGAAGAGACTGTGGTCAGCGAGATAAGAGGAGTCTAAAGGAGGGAATCAGATAATGTTCCTGATGGAAAAAGGAGAGGGAAAAACAAAGCTGATACAAAGAGGGAGAAAATGTCCTTTTTTTCTTTTTCTTTTTTTTTGGGAAGGGTCTAAAAAGTTGCATGTTCCTGCTGTTGATAAGGAACATATATGGTGGCCTCCTGAGGCTTCTGGCCAGCCATGGATTCTTTCAGTTTCACTTGACACATCAAAGAAGGCACATTCTGAAAAATAAAATCTTCAAGCAGTTAGAAGGACACTCAATGACCACATTTTTGTCAACATTACTGTTCAAATTCTTGTGCATACTTTTTACTAGGCTGTATATCTTTAATTTGCATTACTGACACTGGCTTTCAGGCAACTATTACTTGTAACTTGTTCCAGCTTTTCAGGTAACAGAAACAGTATGCAGAAGCACAACCTTTTTTACAATCCGAACTGAAGCCACAGACATGTAGGGGTTGACTCCAAGCTGTGAGTTGTTAGCTCGCTGAAATTGTACTGAATGTCACTCACTGTGCTTACTCAATATCAAATTCACTGTAGTACGTCATTAACAAATTACTTAGTTATTAATTCCAGTGCTGATGTGACCTTAAATGTTTTTGCCTCTGCAGTAGTGCTTTATTGCTGGTAGGCAGTGGGATTGTGTATTTCATGGTCTTCTCTTTTGTTACAGGTTTTGGGCTGGATTCGAAATGGAGAGTCAATGTTAAATGCTGGGCTCATCACTGCTAGCTCTTTGCAGGAGGCAGAACAGTTACAGAGGGAGCATGAGCAGTTTCAACACGCAATAGAGGTAAAAGCACCATTTTAGTGACCATGGCCTTGTATTTACAGTTCTCTATAAATAGTGCTCTTGGAGTCGTGCTGCAGCATTTTCAGTTTAGGAACAGGTGTTGAACTCGTGGCAAAGAGAAAACACTTACTGAGAAGGTCGTTTTTGTTCTTATTTTGAAGCTGCAGTTCCAGGTGAACATCTTCTTAGTGCGTTTTTGCATCTTTATAAAGTGTTAGCTGTTCAAGCAATTTTGCTGAAAATAGTGTTTTCATTTGTTATTCCTTTTATAGAACATAACCTGTAATTCTAAATGTAAAAAATTAAGAATAAATGAACGAGGAAGCAGTGGTTTTGTGTATTCTGAGGTCATCCTTTAATATTTCCATTTTTGTTTGAGAGTAGGCTTCAGTGAAACTTCTGTGTGGTGGCGTGTCAATCCCCCCGCCATGCCTTCAAGCTAAACTTATCTGATTGGTCATATTGCTGCAAAAAAAAGGCAGTGTTCTTAAGATTGGTTGAAGTACAGTATTATTTACTTGCATGCACTACTGAGTAACTTAGTGATAATATTAGCAATATTATGATTCTTTAGGTAGACTATTTTCAGAAGTACTCTGCCTTGCAGTAACTCTTTAATGTTCTTTTCCTGTTTGGTAGATTTTATGCTTCCCCTCTTTTTTTTTTTTTTTTATTAAAGAAGTTTGCAGTATATGCACCCTCATTTTGAGGAACTTTGGTAACTCTCAAGTATAAAAGTTGTGAGACCTCTAGGTGTTTGTCAGTTTAAGAATAAATTATGAAGAAGCTTAAAAATTTGTGTTTCCTAGGGCATTCTTTACTCAGATATAATAATACTTAGTAGTATTTAACCCCTTAATATTTTTATATTACTTGGGTTTAGGCAAATGTTTCTCTGCGCAGAGAAATACGGTTTAAAAAATTTGCTTACAATCAATAGACAGGTGTCTTTTTTATTGGTCTGCACGCCTGCACCTTTCTTTGCTCACTACTGATGTGCAAAAGACTGAAGTTAAAGCTGTAAAGATTGCCAGAACAAGATAGATTTCTGTCATCTTTTTTCTCACTGTCAAGGGAAAGAAAACCAAACTGAAATTCATAATTGCAGCAAGATGTAATGCAGCATAGATACATCACATGTAACTTAATGCCAGACAGTTACTCTTTGTTAAGAACTGCTATTTAGTGTTGATTTGATGATAAATCTCTACGGGATTTATTTCCTTTGTATTTACATGGAGAAGTCACACAGTATCAGATAGTCATTTTTAGTTGATGGGTGTTGATGCACATATAGAGGGGTCCCCTCTATATGTGGAAGTGTGAGCCTCTGAGTCTCATGTAAATGAACCGAAGTAAATGAACTGAAGTGTTCACTTCTCTGAGTAAATGAACTGAAGTGCTCCACTGAACTCCTGACTTTTCACCTCTTGCCAGAAAACACATCAAAGTGCCCTGCAGGTTCAGCAAAAGGCAGAGGCAATGCTGCAGGCTAATCACTACGATATGGACATGATCCGGGAGTGTGCAGAGAAGGTTGCTTCGCACTGGCAGCAGCTGATGCTGAAGATGGAGGATCGTCTCAAGCTTGTGAATGCCTCTGTTGCCTTCTATAAAACTTCTGAACAGGTACAGAAATACAGTAGGTCTGCCTTGGTTAATCCTCAGTGTGGCATAAAACAGCATTGCTTGAAAAAATGGTTGATGAGGTTTGGTTATGTTTACTCATTTGATGGCTAGTTCTGGTTTTTGTGTGGAAGTCAGAGAAAAATCAGCTTAATCTGCTTGTCCACAGAAATGTTTGGGGGAGGTTGGCAAGGTTGCCTCCTCTGTAGTCGTAACTTAAGCCCATCCAGAACTATGCAATCAGAGAGGCAGAGAAAGGTGGACAATTTTAGGGACAGCCTCTGAGCGCTTCCGAACCTACAGCCAGAGTTTGTTGCCTTAAGTCCCAGTGAAAACATGTCAGAAGCTAGGGGGTACATATAAGGGGTAGATGGGTTTTCTTTTTTTGAGGCCTGAATTTTGATTTTTTGCATTACTGAATTGTCCTCCTTTTTCCTGAAAGGTGTGCAGTGTGCTGGAAAGCCTGGAACAAGAATATAAGCGAGAGGAAGATTGGTGTGGGGGAGCTGACAAACTGGGCCCCAACTCTGAAACAGATCACGTTACTCCCATGATAAGCAAACACCTGGAGCAGAAGGAAGCATTTCTGAAGGTAAGGTTGGGGATTTTTTGTGGTCTCCTTTGTCTTGGGAAGCATGAGAGCAGGCTCTTACAGCTCTTACAGTGCTGACATGGCTGTGGAAAGCAACAGTGCCCGTTCCAAACTACAGGTATGTCCCCAACTGCAAAGATGTGGGAAATGGCATGTTAACTGCTTCTAACAGTGATTAAGAGAATACTGCCAAGTGCATAAAATAGTAGCCAGTTTTAGAAATACATTTCCTGTTGAACTTGAGTAGATATCAGATCTCCCAGTGTGCCTGAAGAGGAACTGGAAGTCACTCCTTTGAGCAACTGTCACTCTAAAGAATGCCTCACTACTGATGTGCAAAAGACTGAAGTTAAAGCTGTAAAGATTGCCAGAACAAGATAGATTTCTGTCATCTTTTTTCTCACTGTCAAGGGAAAGAAAACCAAACTGAAATTCATAATTGCAGCAAGATGTAATGCAGCATAGATACATCACATGTAACTTAATGCCAGACAGTTACTCTTTGTTAAGAACTGCTATTTAGTGTTGATTTGATGATAAATCTCTACGGGATTTATTTCCTTTGTATTTACATGGAGAAGTCACACAGTATCAGATAGTCATTTTTAGTTGATGGGTGTTGATGCACATATAGAGGGGTCATTGACACAGTGGAAGTGTGAGCCTCTGAGTCTCATGTAAATGAACCGAAGTAAATGAACTGAAGTGTTCACTTCTCTGAGTAAATGAACTGAAGTGCTCCACTGAACTCCTGACTTTTCACCTCTTGCCAGAAAACACATCAAAGTGCCCTGCAGGTTCAGCAAAAGGCAGAGGCAATGCTGCAGGCTAATCACTACGATATGGACATGATCCGGGAGTGTGCAGAGAAGGTTGCTTCGCACTGGCAGCAGCTGATGCTGAAGATGGAGGATCGTCTCAAGCTTGTGAATGCCTCTGTTGCCTTCTATAAAACTTCTGAACAGGTACAGAAATACAGTAGGTCTGCCTTGGTTAATCCTCAGTGTGGCATAAAACAGCATTGCTTGAAAAAATGGTTGATGAGGTTTGGTTATGTTTACTCATTTGATGGCTAGTTCTGGTTTTTGTGTGGAAGTCAGAGAAAAATCAGCTTAATCTGCTTGTCCACAGAAATGTTTGGGGGAGGTTGGCAAGGTTGCCTCCTCTGTAGTCGTAACTTAAGCCCATCCAGAACTATGCAATCAGAGAGGCAGAGAAAGGTGGACAATTTTAGGGACAGCCTCTGAGCGCTTCCGAACCTACAGCCAGAGTTTGTTGCCTTAAGTCCCAGTGAAAACATGTCAGAAGCTAGGGGGTACATATAAGGGGTAGATGGGTTTTCTTTTTTTGAGGCCTGAATTTTGATTTTTTGCATTACTGAATTGTCCTCCTTTTTCCTGAAAGGTGTGCAGTGTGCTGGAAAGCCTGGAACAAGAATATAAGCGAGAGGAAGATTGGTGTGGGGGAGCTGACAAACTGGGCCCCAACTCTGAAACAGATCACGTTACTCCCATGATAAGCAAACACCTGGAGCAGAAGGAAGCATTTCTGAAGGTAAGGTTGGGGATTTTTTGTGGTCTCCTTTGTCTTGGGAAGCATGAGAGCAGGCTCTTACAGCTCTTACAGTGCTGACATGGCTGTGGAAAGCAACAGTGCCCGTTCCAAACTACAGGTATGTCCCCAACTGCAAAGATGTGGGAAATGGCATGTTAACTGCTTCTAACAGTGATTAAGAGAATACTGCCAAGTGCATAAAATAGTAGCCAGTTTTAGAAATACATTTCCTGTTGAACTTGAGTAGATATCAGATCTCCCAGTGTGCCTGAAGAGGAACTGGAAGTCACTCCTTTGAGCAACTGTCACTCTAAAGAATGCTTAAAGGCTGCTGCTTTGGAAGAGAAGTGAAAGTCACACAAGTGCCATTGCTGCCTGTGCATCAGAGCAGCTCTCAGATGTACTGGGACGACAGAGGAATATGGAAGGAGGAAATGGCTAGACCAGCATCTGGGAGTAGTTGGTTTTCTGTAATAGTCTTCAGATAAATGAAAGATTTTTGTTCCAACTAATGTCCTATTGAAGAAGATTATTGATCATACTGAATTAAATGTGCAGCATGTGCTTGCAGAGCAGTATAACTAACTTTGTTATCCAAGGCATTTTCCAGCATCACCATGAAAGACAGTATACTAAGAGAATAAAACTTTGTTAGAAACCTTCTTGTTCTCATTACGCGGATTACAACACTCAAAAACATATTAACAGAACTCAGAGTCACAGCCTAATAGATCCTTCTGCAGCTGGCATGAATTACTAATCTTTGTTTTAAAATGGTATGAGAAATGACTTAGTATATTTGTTACTGTATCAAACCATTCTACCTTCATCTAACCTATTAAAGTAGCCTTCCATAATTTGCATGTTAAAAATGAAGCAGACAACCCATATGTAGTATTTGATATTTGTTAAGATGAAGATGACAACTGAGCTGAGTGCTTGCAATGTAGTGGCAAGGACTGAAAACTCTCAAGGCCTTGCCATCATATTTTAAGAGCAGGTATTACTATTTTAGCACTTTTGGTTTCACTTCAGCAAAACATTCGCTTTTTGTTTAAAGTACTAATGGATGTTTCGGAATATGCGGGTGGGTACATAAGCATGTGCACTGTTTACACACTAAGCAGCTTCAGGTGGCACATGGCACATACACTAAACAAACTTCTCTGTGAGCTCTGAGTCATGCTGAAAGCCATAGAGCAGATAATTGCTTTTCAGGCTCTTCAGAAAAGAGGAATAACATTTTATTAATTTATTTTATTTGTGTTTGTTTATCTGCTTTGTTTTTTCTCTGCCAGGTAAGGTGTAACTGCTATTCGGTGGAATATCTATTTTAATAATTGGGTTGGCTTGGCTTACTTGTAGAAAAGATTTAACATGAAATGCTTTCCAAAACTGAAGAAGGTGACAAATGTACAAAAAGAGAGTTAGGAAGACCTTTAATTTCTTCTGCATGTTTATTTTTGCATCTTCAAATAAAGTTGTACCTCTGCCTCTCTAGGCCTGCACACTGGCTCGGAGGAATGCTGATGTCTTCCTGAAATACCTGCACAGGAACAGTGTCAACATGCCAGGGATGGTGACACACATCAAAGCACCTGAACAGCAAGTAAAAAGTAAGGGACTTGTTCTCTTTCTTCTCACAAGAATTGATCATCATGTGCTGTGGTATGTGTTGTGCTGGGGTAGTGAAGCCTACCCAAGTGGAAGGAGTTCTGTCAGGCTTAACAGGAAACAAATTGCTTGTACACTTTGAAGGCACTGACAGTCTTCAAAGTCTCTTATACTCAAATGAAGTTGCTTGGAGTTCTTTTATCTGCTACTTACACCTAATCTTCTTTCTATTTGATACCCAAATGTGTTGCTTTTATTGAGTCAATGAGGTAGTAAACTTCCACATGATAATGTTTGGTCTGAAGCCAAATGGGAGCTGATCAGTGTAAGCTTATTCAATGTGTTGGTGTCAGGCATTCTGCAAGTTCCCTGGGAGTGCCAGAGTGATATGAGGTTATTGCTTGTACGATGCCCTTGAGCTCTTCAGATAGTTTGAATCAGTGTTGAGGAACTTCATGAAGTGTGGGGTAACTTACATCATGTTTAAACTGGATGTGTAGACAGGTAGTAGCTGAGGTGAAGCTGGAAAGAGCTACTAGGTGAGGCTTGGCTTTTGCTAAGATTAATAATACGTAGTACAGCTTTAAGGGGTAAGAAGCCCTCTAGGGAATGGAGAGAGAGACCTGTAGGGCTTTGAGGGACAAAAGTGCAAAAATTAATAAGGTACGCATAACTGCTGGCTGTGGCAGCAGAACAGAGATCAGAGAGATTCAGAAGTAAATACTGTATTTTAATAATTTAATTGCCAGTCATATTCTGCTCTATGCATTTTGAAGCTGTGACTGAACACTCTGGCCACACTACAGTCTCAAAATCAGAGAAGTCTAATTTCTAATTAAATGCTGTTTGCTCCTACCCAGAGGGGAGTTATGCATATGATGTAGCTAGACTCAAGAGGAGCATGGCAGTAAGTCCAGAGAAAAAGTTGCAGCAAGGAAAATTCTGCATGGGAGAAAGTGTTACAGCAAGATGCATTAGAGCAGGTAGCCAGCCCAGAGAGGTAGTAGGATCTGTACTCCTAAGAATTTTTTAGACTTAGTTGAACAAGCCCCTGGAAAACTTTGAAGTTAGTGGTGCTTTGAAGAGGAGCTTGAAACAGATGGCCTGCAGAGGTCACTTCCGCACTAATTTACTTGATAACTCTATTAGGAAAGGACACGTTCACTGGTTCACTTGAACTACAACGGGTAAACAGCTCGTTGTTTTTCCTCTGTCCCCAACATTTATAGAACTGTACAAAACAAAATCTCAACACAAATGCCAGCAGTATCAACAACTGAAGCTGACATTTGTCACTTAGTTCTTCTTTCAGTAAGAAACAAGGAAAACAGAGCAGAAGAAAGCAGGAAGTTGTAACTACCACACTTACTGAATATTAGACATTTTTTTGAAAATTCAGTTTTGAAATCTGTATAGGAACAGTCATTCGGAGAAAGGTAAATGTGCTTATATGATGAAAGAATAGAAAGATCTCTACTAATGTCTTTAAGAGTGATAATTACATATCAGAACCATAGTGTTATGCATGTTCTGCATACATTTAAAATACTGGATGAGTGATACATGTTTGAAAAGCAACAAAAAACCGACAAAAATCCCCAAGTAGAAAAAAATAAGCTGTTCCCTCCATAAACCATGTAGTATATGCTTCTGAGAATTAAACATGAGTTAAGATAGAGCTAGTGGGGACACCTTCCTGTTAGGTCTCAATGGTATGGTAGTAGCTGACCAAATGATAAAAAAGTTTACTCTGTTCTTCCTGTTCAAATATATGCATCAAGAAGAAAAGAGATCTCCTTTCACCTCTTTTCTAAATCGAGAAAAAAATGGAGTGTTTATTTTAGTGAAAGAGAGGTTACATGTGTTCTAATAGAGCATTACAACTCAGGTGTATGCTTGAGACTGGCAGACTGCAATCAGAATATAGTTTATAAATTAATGCCTTAAAAACTTGAGTAACCCTTGAGTTCATGCAGACCTGCTGAACATTTTTCAAAAACCTCATTCAGTGGCATACTTGATCCTTATTTCCAGATGCAGATTAAGTTATCTGGAAAAGTGATGTCTTAATCTATGCAAAGTTTAGCTAAGCGTATGCTTCATGGGGAACAGGAACTCTGAGAGGTGTCCTTATGTCCCTGCATACCAGCGTAAATAATTTCTGTGATATGCAGTTAAGGGTACCCAGTCATTTTCTCAGGAAGCGACTGTGGCCTAAAACTGTGCTGTGGCAGGTGGATTGAGTTGGTGACAATTCCTGTAAGCTCAGAAATGAAAGCATCTTCGTCTTTGTTTTGGCTGCTGAGTCTGTGTGCATCTGTGTTACCTGTCTGCTGTACAGGCTGTGACTGAGCACGGTTCAGGAACTTGCCCAGTGGTGCTTATATTTTTAGATAGGTTGATAGAAGGATGCATAGAGACAGCTGAGAGCTCTTTGAGCCTGGAGAAGAAGCTGAAACTTTAGGGAACGATACTAACAAATGTTGGAATCAAAGTAAATGACAGCAACAGGAGCTGTAGTTCAGGTGGTTTGAGATACAAAGATGCTTTTCCAAACCTAGTTTTAAATATTGATGTTGTATAACTTCCTTAGAGTAGTTTATAGAATATTTTTTCTCCTCTTTGTCAGTCCAAGAAATTAATGGCACTAACACTAACAGTGCCCAGCCAAATATCTCTCACTGCCTTGCCATCTGTATCATGTCCTGACAGAACAAATGCTGCTCCAATTTGCTAAATTCACCTCACTTGCTCTTTGTCAGAACTACTTTGCTTGCGTCACTATCAAGATGTCTCTTTTTATATGGTGTGTCCAGTTGGGTGTGTTGCATTGTATAATGATAATTGTGTCCCACCCACTCCCCCTCCCTGCCTCCTGAAATCTGGCATATACTCTGAGCAAGTGTTTTGGAGGTGACATAAGGCAGAAATTAAACTGAGAAAACAGGGGAGGCTCACAGCAGATCAGCTCATAGCTTGGCATATGAGGGGAGCCTGACCAGAAAAAAATAAAACCTTGGCCACAGTGACCACATTCCAACCAAAAGCAAATTCTGGGTGATCTCAGCACCCTGTGGCAAGTGGGAATATGGTGCTTGTATGCAGAAGGATGTTGGCAGTGATGCAGACAGGTTTCATAATCCTCAGGGAGGCTGTGACAAGTGGTTGTGTTTGATCCCAGATCTCTGATGAGGTAGACAAAGATGCATTTCCCCTCAGGCTTCCTGTTATTTGAGCTTCTCTTGTAAAACTGTTTCTTGGAGTTGTTAGCTTTTGGGATGTAAAGCATGGTGGACCTGCTCAGTGGGAGAGCAGAATGCAGAGACCTTAAGACACCTAGCATCTGATAGCCTTCACTCGTCATTATGGCTTATGGAAAATAGCCAGCTCTGGGTGGAAGTAGAAAAGCAAGTAGTGTTGGTGTAAAGAGTAAGACTTTTTTTGACTTCTGCTTCTGCTGGACCTCTCTTTTGGCTCTGTGCAATTGCAACAGAATCACCTGGTGGAGACATTGAGTGTCCCCATTCCCCTGTGCTCAGCTTGCCCTCCAGGTTTGCTGTAGCTACAAGCTACAAGTAGGACTGCTGCTCTGGAAGCAGCAGAGGGTAAAGTGAGCTTCACAGGAAACTGTTAGAATTTCTTTTTTTGGTGGAAAAACCATAAGCATTAAAGAAGCAGAATTCAGATAAGTCTTCTGCATATAGTAAACACAAGGCCTTTGCTAGGAAGAATTTAAAAGGTTGGACATGTGGGATTTGGATGTGAATTTTCTGATACTCAGGAATAACAAACTGTGGAGTTAATTATTTGATTACCTGGAAGTTCTGTCAAGGTTCAGTGAACATTCATATTTAACAAGTCAGCTTACTTATGCTGCATTTGATCTCGTGGTGACCTAGGGTTGTACATTTGTTTATCTGTATTAAATCATTAAAATACTTTACAGGAGACTGATATATTACAAATTCCCATTTTTACTAAAATACAGTATGTTAAGCATGTTATGATCTTTTGCATGCTTATTCTTTCTGAAGAAACCCCATCAAGTGCCATCTTTATCAGCCTAAATTTTAAATCATGCTGTGAGCAGTGGCAGTCCCCTTGTGAAAAATATTTGAGAGGAAAAAAACACATCAGTAGTAAGTTTTAATTGCATCTCTAGTTTCTTTAACCAGTAGTTCTCTAAGTAATGAAAAAGGAACACTGTGTGTTTCATTAATATCAGGGAAAAAAGGAAAGCAAGGACTAACAGAAAGAGTAAGTGTACAGTAAATTCTACAATGTCATGTACTTTATTCCCCTAATTTTAGTGTGATATTTTAAATTTGGTTGTCATAAGCTCTGTTTAATTTCTTCAGATATCTTGAATGAACTCTTCCAGAGGGAGAACCGTGTGCTGCATTATTGGACCATGCGTAAAAGGCGTCTTGATCAGTGCCAGCAGTATGTGGTGTTTGAAAGAAGTGCCAAACAGGTGAGGGTTTCATATGAAAATCCTCTTTGGTGTGGTCGGGGCTTGACATACACTGTCTTCTCACAGTAACAAATTTGTCATTCACTTCGATATTTCAAAGAGTTAAAACATCAGAAGGATAGAAGAAGCAAAATGAATTCTTTGGCTTCCCTTTAATAGAACAACTAAATTCGGTGAGGCAGTGTGTCTGTAGCTGTTGTAACTTAAAGGTGATGTTTTGCTTCTGCCAGCTGCATCTGGTACTGGCAAATCTAATTTCTGCAAGCTTGTGTTTGACAAATTGTTATGCTTGTTAACTTTTACACACACACACCTAATTTGTCTGGGGAAATTACAGGCAGCAGCATTTTTCTCAGATGTTGGAGGAAAAATATCTAATTAAGTTGATTGGCAGTTCTGGAAATCTGACAAGTTGGATAACTCATTAAACAATAATAACTGAATTACTTTGGTTTTTCAATTCTTTGTGTTTGGTTTCATGGTTTCCTGCATGATAGATCCACCTCTTGGTATTTTGTTGAGTTTATCAGTCTGAAAAGAACTATTAAGTAACTACCACACATGCAAAAAAAAATCTCCTTCACTAATCAAAACACATGCCTTAAAAATATGTAGGGGGTTCAAGGCAGAAGTGGTAAATAGATTGATCTGTGATAGTTTTTTAGTTGTTGTTTTGGTTTAGTTGTTGGTTTGGTTGTTTTGTTTTTTGGGTTTTTTTTTTAACTGGTTATAAGACAAAGAAAGGAAGCTATCTGTTTCTGTTCTGTGGAAAATGACACAATGCCCATAGTGTAAAATATAGTCGGATCCTCTTTAAAGGGCTCAAAAACCTAATCTTTTATTTCTTTCTGACAGCTAATTTAGACAAAAGTTTAAATACTATTGGTCTGGTTTGCTCTCTTGAAAGAATTCTCAAGTCTGTCTTTCATGCTTTCACAAAGAAATTAATGCAAGATGCATCTTGGAGTGAATTTGAAGTCTGATACTTCTTTAAAACAACACCACCATCCCTTCCCTGCCCCCCTGCCCTCGCCTCCCCACCCTACTTTTGAATAACCTTAATTTAAACCTCTGACAAGCACATGATCTACTTGTTTTTGTATAGAGATTACTAACCAACAGTCAAACACTGGAGATAAAGATCTGTCAGCATTTTCATTGTAAATCCCATTTTTCAGCAATCACCAGTTCAGTCATCAAAAAGCAAAGCGAACCAAACCATATATGGGACTCCTCAGTGATTAGCCAAAAAAATGAAAGTGTTGCTGTCTTCATTTAGATGTCTTTCTGGAATTTGGCAGAACCTGTTCTTTGTGCTTTCAGAACGTGATGCCCTTGTGATGGAAAAGATACCATACCAGTTTGTGAGAACAATGTTAGATTCTCAAATTCTTTCAGAGTTAAGGGCTTACCTGATACCTAAACTGATTCCTCCAGTTCTTGTAGTGATACTTCTGGTGAAATGAAAGCTGATCTAAACCATAGGAATTAAGATCAAGTCAAACTTGATCAAGTCAAACTTTCGTCATACTGTGCCTCTAGAGAGCTGCCAGCAAGTTATGAAAAGACATTTCATTCTCATGGTAGGGGGATTGGAACGACATGATCTTTAAGTTCTCTTCTAGTCAAAACCATTCTGTGATTTGGGGAAGGGCAGCTTTTTGTTTATCATTCATTCCAGCATTATGTAATAAACCCACTAAAAACGAGCAGAGAAGTATTAAATGTTGTTGGTAATAATAGGTAGCCATGCTGTGCCTGTCCATATCAGTCTTCACTTGCAAAGACTGACATTAGAATGACAGCATGTGTCATAGAGGTGGTTGGTTGCAATGTTACTTTTTTGACCGAAGTCCAACAGTTGTTCCATCAGCAACTTCTAAAAGTATAGGTCCATCTTACCAGGCTTGCACCTGCACTAGTATGTGACTTAGAAAATGGCATCCTGGCATTCACATTCGGCGTTGAATTTTGAAGGCTTTCTACTCTTTTCTGGTTTTGCACCAAGAAGGAAAAGCATTTGAAGTGGAAGTAAGGGAATCAGCATTATTGCATCACAGCTTTGATGAGCTTAAATCATTGGTGAAATTATAATACAGACAATGCCTTTTGTGATTCATTGTAAGGTTATGTGTGTGAAACATATATATCTACTGTCCACCAAGATAAATCTTTTCCTGGTCTTGCTAGTGTGGATAGATAATGCTCATAATTTCAGTTTATCCTTTCAAGGGAAGAGTGAGCACCCACCAGCAATCTACTACTTTTTCTCTTGTAGTATTACATTTTTGTCTAGTGTTCTGTGTATTTACTGAAGAGACAGAAGCTACACATTTAGTAATAAGGTGGTTCTAAGCAAGCTGTGTAAAAACTCTTTGAACATCTGCTGTTGGCTTTTTCAGAAACGAGAAGTTTCTAAGCTCCCATCCCTCTGCCTGCTGCTGTAGGAAGCCTGTATTGAGAGCTGCAGAACAGATGTCAGTTAGATTTTCACTGTTATGCAGCAGTTGGAGACAACTTTTGCTTTTTCCAGGAGCCAGATTCCTCACGACCACTGAGTTATGCTTAAAAGGGCAGCAGGGAAAGCATAGATATGTGGGTAAAGCATAGGTAATTGCAAAGATCAGCATTTTTCATAATAGTGAGCCAATAAAGTGTCAGGATGTGGAAGTGAAACAGTCTTGGTTTGCAGTTCTTCATTCTTGTTTTCTTTCTACTTGCACATACATAAATTGGTTTAACTGAGACATCACACTGTTCCTTCTCTGCTGCAGGTTTTATTTCTAGGAACACAGACCACCACACTTCGTGAGGCTGGAATACATGTCAGCAAAAGAGTGAAGTGATAGTTAAATCTTACGTGCTCGGAAAGTTTAGCCTGCACACTTGGCAGTCTTATATACATTTTTACAAGTTGGAGCATGTATATTTCTAAGTATCGCTGTCCCGTGTGGCACCAAAGAAGTGATTTTTTTCTTTTTCCTCCGCTGGGGAATATACTATCAAAACTGAGAACACAACTAGTTAGAACCTTTCAATAGTGGCCTGCTGTAGTCTTGCAGTAGTGGACTTTCCTGAAGTGTTTGGATTCATATGTAATTTTTAATTCTCTAAGCATTGCTTCATAGTCTGTGTGAATTATTTCAGAGCTATGAACTATTTGGTATTGTAGAGGTATTACATGATCACCACAAGTGACACAGAGTAAAATTTACCTGTGGCCAAACTGTGCATGTGAAATACTGACTACAGATGGTTTCTGTTGGCAAAAATATATAGTCTTTTTCTTATTTTTCTTCACTAATGCTTTATTTAGGCTCTGGAATGGATTCATGACAATGGAGAGTTTTATTTATCCACACATACTTCCACTGGTTCCAGTATCCAGCACACTCAAGAGTTGTTGAAAGAACATGAAGAGTTTCAGATCACAGCAAAGGTAAAATAAAATTTAAAAATTTTCACAGAATACTTAGATTTGGAAGGAACCCCTGGAGATCAGTTAGTCCAATTGCCCTGCCATGGCAGGGTCCCCAAGAGCAGATTATGCTGGAATATGCTCAGGTGGTTTGAATGTCTTCACAGAGGGAGCCTCCATGACATCCCTGGGCAGCCTGTTCAGTGCCCTGCCACCTTCAGTGTAAATAAGTTCTTCCTCATGTTGAGATGGAACTTCTTGTGTTGTAGTTCATGGCCATTAGTCCTTGTTCTGTCACTAGGCATCACTGAAGAGTCTGGCACATCCCCTGACAGTGAGATATTTTATATTGTGGTGAGATTCCCTCTCCCTCTTCTCTAGACTAAACTGGCCCAGCTCCCTCAGTCTGTCCTCATTAGAGAGGTGCTACAGACCCCAGACCATCTTTGTGTTACTCTGCTGGACCCTCTCAATTAGCTTCTTGTCTTTCCTGCACTGTGGAAACCAGAATTGAACACAATACTCCAGATGTGGCCTCATTAGGGTCAAGTAGAGTGTCAGGGTCACCGCCCTCGACCTGTGGCCACACTTTCCCTGATGGATCCCAAGATACTGTTGGCCCTCCTGGCCACGAGGGTACTGCAGGCTCATGCTCATCCACCAAGGCTCCCAGCTCCTTGTCCACAGAGCTGTTGCCTAATAGATCAGCCAACAACCTGTGCTGGTACTGGGGTTATTTCCCCCAGGCTGCAGCATCCTGCCTTAACCCTTGTTGAACTTCATTAGGTTGCTCTGCCCAGCTCCCCAGCCTATCGAGCTCCCACTGAGGCAGCACAGCCGGTCCCCCACTTTCATGTCATCAGTGAACTTGCTGAGGGGGCATTCTGTTCCTTCTCCAGGCTGTCTATAAACAAGTTGAGTACAAGTTGAATTATGTGAGATTTCAAACAAAATAAAACAACTGAATTCCCCTTGCCCACCAAAAAATCCCCCCAAGGATGTGTCCATCAAGATCTGTTTACTTGCAGTGGCTTTCTGCTATATTTCTGCTGAGAATAGAATAAACCAGAAGATAGTGAGCAGATACTCATTGTTACTAGAGCTCCATGAGCGCTGTTGACTTCTCATGACAAAATCATAGTGAGGTAGCTTAAAAGTGTTTTCAATACCCACAAACGTTTCAGGGCCTTTGATTTCCACTTTCACGTCTTCATGATTGTGGATTACTGAATGTTCATTTAGATATAAAATGCAACAAGCTGTATTATTATTCTGATCATTAATTAGAAGATATTAGAAAAATTAAAGCTCTATTTGTTAGGTAACTAATTTTATTAAAGTATTCTGTGCTTCTCCTGTAAATCTTTTTGAGTCAGGCAGCAGAATGTTATTCTGCATCTCTGGAGGCCTTTACAGGCTTGAGGCTGTAAAGTTGTCACTCCTGAGGCTTTCCAGTTTTCACATGTGAAAGACAGACAACCACTGCATGACTGAACCACCTGAATTTGTAACATTGTCTGTCTCTGTTTTGTTTTGCCACCTGTTCAAACTGTTACCCGTTTCTCCCTCTGGCTCTCCAACCTTCATAGAGAAATAATCGAGCCCAGGAAAGTAAGCAAGTGTTCATTTGTCTGAAGGATCACCTCAGAAGAGATTTGGAGATGGAGATGGCCAAGAGACATGTGGGAAGGGAGAAAAGAAAATCCAGAAAGAACAGAGATCACTTTTGATGTTCAAGCCTGGATTTTCTTCTGTTTGATCTTTGCCTCAGACTTTGATTTCCTGGATCCCTTCCAGTATGCAGAGCACCACTACTCCTCCTTATTTCCTCTTTCAGCCTGCAGATGACATTGGTGCCCTTTGTGAAAGGATGTTGCTTATGTCACTTCCTTGGCATTTTGCTACCTGCTGGGAGGATATGTTAGCCCTTGCTAATTCCATACTGAAAAGAAATGCTTGGATGAGGGACCATTAGTGGGCAAAAAGAATGAAGATAGGACAAACTTGATTTTTACAATAATGTAAGAGTCAAGTTTTTATTGACTCTTTTTCTTAACTCCCTGCTAGCAAGGGCCCTGACAGTACACTTCACTCATGACAGAGAGAGAGGTGGATGTATAAACTCATCCGTTGTGGATGATTTATGATTTACATGGAATAAAGTGCTTAATCTTAGGCAGCTTGTCATTTCGGAAAAGCATTTCGAGATTTGGTGGTAACTACTTGTTTCTCTTAGTTTCTCTCAAACAGCTCTGTGCCAACAAAGCATAATACAGCAAATATTTAAAGAATTCAGTCTTCATGCATTAAAGAGTAAAGCATATAACAAGACTTGCTTCCATCTCAGCATTTCTGTGGTGTCTAAAGGAGGTAGATTCTTGAGACTGGGAGCCAGGTCTAATACCAGTGCTTCAGTGGTAATGAACAAAGTACGCTTTGGCATCAAAATGCCTTTGTATTGATGCAAGTACCCATGCTGAAAGGCTTGCCTAGCAGAATTTAATCTCTGGGTTAGATATGAAGCACATTTTTCAAAGAAAAATAATCTGCTTCTAGTCATGTAATAATAAAACCCAAGGAAACGTACATTAATCTTGTGCTATTTTTAATAAGTAAAAGGTGACTGTTTAAAGGAGTTCTGGGAAGAGAGCGGAAGAAGGTAGCTTCTTCAATTCCTTCTGTAATTGCACGTAGTAGCAGTAAAGCAAAATGAACCTCTGCATGACAGGTAGAGCTTGTAACTGTTTGATATTTTCCTGTTTTCATAGCAAACCAAAGAGAGGGTGAAGTTGTTGATACAGCTGGCTGATGGCTTTTGTGAAAAAGGGCATGCTCATGCAACAGAGATTAAAAAATGTGTCACAGCAGTGGATAAGAGGTACAGAGACTTTTCCCTTCGCATGGAGAAATACAGGACCTCTTTAGAGAAAGCTCTGGGTATTTCCTCAGATTCCAATAAATCGGTAAGAGAAATTTGAGTGTGATGACAGACAAACAAGATTTACTTGCGTTTGATTTAGCTACCTTTTTCTCCTATCTCCTTCCTTAATCAATTCTTCCTTTCTTTAATAAAGAGCAAAAGCTTGCAGCTGGATATAATCCCAGCCAGTGTCCCTGGGTCAGAGGTGAAACTGCGCGATGCTGCTCATGAGCTTAACGAAGAAAAACGAAAGTCTGCCCGCAGGAAAGAGTAATATATTTATTTCTTTTTAATCAATGAGAATGCATAAATCAGTCCTGATAATGAAACAATTGCCTTGGCTTCTCTGGCAGCTTAGAAATCATATAAATGGTAAAAAGAGAATGGTAGTACTCAGTATCTCTTATTGCCATTTATTCACATGCTTGTTCTCGTAGATAATTCTAGCATGACAGAATCTTAAACTTTCAAAACTGTTAGACTTCTTTTAACATGCTTTTTTGTTCTTAGAAACAATGTGGAATAAATGTGTAAGCGGAGGAAGCAAGACAAAAGTTAAATGACTGTAGCAGTGAAAAGTGTTAGAGAAAAAATTCCATCTCCTTGCCCATTTCTTTTTGTCCTGGTTAGTAATGGAGGGATATTACCTCGTATGTTTCCTTCCTCTGTTGTCTCTCTTCACATTTCACTTCTCAGATTTTTCTTGCTGCAGTGGAAAAGCAAAAGCTGATGAGGAGAACGATGTATTCTGGTTATTATGCATTCGCAATGATCTAACAGACTGAGATTTGATTATTCTTTCTGTTGTCACCTAAGGTTCATTATGGCTGAGCTAATTCAGACGGAAAAGGCTTACGTAAGAGACCTCCGGGAATGCATGGATGTGAGTCTTCTTTTTTCACTAATCTTTGAAGGCAGGATTCAATCCGTTGCTTTGTGGGTTTTTTCTGCTTTTAACAGCTGAGCATGATTGGTTTGGAATCATAGGATCAATTTAAGTAATCTTACTGCCATTAAGAAGAAACTTAGAATTATGTCTGATAACTGCCATTTCAGAATTCACCCTATATGTTTCGCTTTTGTTGGTACTGAGTTTCAGTATTTGTTCCTTTCCCAATTCATAATCGTGTGTGGGGGTTTTGTTTTAGAGAGAGGAGGGAAAAAGGAGGGGTTTACTTTATTTGCTTTGCTAGCAATAGGGGAGAGCTTGTGCTAATTCTCTTATTATCTGTATCACATGTTCTGCTACTAGCTGACTTTTTGAATAGAAATTCAGTGAGATTCCATGGAAGAGTGCCCAGTAATTGTTATGCTGAAGCAACTAATGTTCAGTGGTAGCTGTTGCACAAAGCATGAACTTCTAGACTGCAGACCTGACCTTGATAAGGAATATCCTGAAGCATTAGAGGTTGTCAAGAACACTATGCATTTTAAATTATGAAGTCTCAGGGACTATGTTAAATTGTCAGTTTTAGATCTTGTATTTCACTGTCAAAATCACAAGGTATATGTGACACAACAGGCACTGTCACAATTGGAGATGATGCTGCTGTGTGATCTTTGCCTAGTTTCTCTCCAGAAATGCATACTTACAGATACCTGGCTGCATCTGTTGGGAGTTTATCATCACTTTTCACACATCTTTTTTTTTTTTTTTTTTTTTTTTTTTTCTGGGCAGACATATCTATGGGAAATGACAAGTGGAGTTGAGGAGATCCCACCTGGTATTGTAAACAAAGAACACATTATCTTTGGAAACATGCAGGAAATTTATGAGTTCCACAATAAGTGAGTGACTTATCTTCCATTTCCATACTACTGCTAAATCCAAATGATGACCTGCGGGATTTCCTAATGAAAATACTGTGTATTTCAATGATAAATGCTTTGCCATTAAAAAAAAATGCAATATTTTCCTCTTGCATTGCTAAATTATTTCAGCTGTTGCCTTTACAGAGAGATACGTACACCATTAGAAATTATATTTTTCAGTCTCAGACATCTTTCAGCATATAAGAGATTTTTTTGGATACACCAAAATTTTGTTGTAGGTTTATCAGTTGTTCTAAAGAGATGAAAACCATTGAACTCAATAGAACACAAACATAGAACAAACATTAAGGCTCTGACATTTTTTGAGAGCCCTTATTCCCGATTATCCAAGTGCAGCTGTTAGTGGGAAAGCGTAGGGCTCCCAGCTCTTCTTGGCTCTTCTTAGCTTCTGTGGAGATGCTCCAGCATCATTACATTTACTGGAGTACAGGGCATAAAAGAGACTGTCCACTCCATTTCTTCTGAATGGAGTGGTTCCTAGGGGGATTTGTGTACGGAAGTCTTGCTCTGAATCTTCCTTCTTTGCTATTTCCTGGTTATGTCCACATTTGTATTGGGTTATGATTCTTTGAAGTAATAAAATATACCTAGCATATCCCATACCCCGATTTTACAGTTCTTTCTATGTTTTGTGTTAACTTGAGAACTTAAGTATCCAAAAAGCAACGTGTTTGGGGTTTTTTTTTTAAGTTGAGATTAAGGTTTTTTCTTGAAACTGAAAACAGTAGGAAACCTTCTTGATAGAGAACAACTGCAATTACTAACTTTTTGTGTATTCTTATGTATCAGCTGCGTGTCCAGTGGTTCAATTTCTGATCTTCTCATCAGAATTTTTATAGAATTATATTTTATATTAGTACTTTTATTACATATTTTTATCTGTTCATTGTCTTTATTTCCTTAGCTCATACATTTGGTATTACTGAAAGTTTTCTAATGGCCTTTGTCCACAGACAATAGATCCAAACAAGTTGCTGTAATGAACATGTTTCATATGCCTTATTCTGCTTGTTTCTTTTCTACCCATAGTATATTTCTCAAGGAGTTGGAAAAATATGAACAGTTACCAGAAGATGTTGGACATTGCTTCGTTACTTGGGTAATGAAGTCAGAAGTTTAGAAGTAGAAGGGGGGATAGGATGCATGATGGGACAAATTCTTGCTCTCAGATCCCTTTTTGATTTGTAAAAGTACCTCTTCCTGCAAATTTAAGTAAAACGTGTATCTTTAACTGAGAAAACAATAATTAGGGCACTCCTGTCAGGTGCCAGTCCTTAGCTGCTCTTGAAGTGTATGCAAGTTGCCTAAACCTGCGTGCAGATTTGGTTTGTCTTAGATTTAAATAACCTATTTTTATATACATTGCTGTTGTTTTCAGTCTTGCTTGCCTGATGTGTATTTTTATGCTGCCAGTTTGAGTAGAAGTATAATTCTGTACAGCTCAGTTTCTTGATAGGGAAGATAAGATCTCTGATAATGGCCTAAAAACTTTGAGACAGGAATGAGGCTCTCTGTATGATAACCTTTGTAAATTTGCATTTTGTTCTGCAGGCAGACAAATTCCAGATGTACGTTACCTACTGTAAAAATAAGCCAGATTCCACTCAGCTGATATTAGAACATGCGGGAGCATACTTTGATGTAAGTACATCGTGTCCATCTTAAAAGCTAAAACACCTTGGCTGTTTGACTTATATTTTTGGTTCTGCTGAGTGCCTAATTTGTTAAGAAAATGCAAATTCCTGTTAATAACGCTGCAATTTATTAAGCTGTCAGCTCAAGAAAATCAATCCTGTATCTCACGTGGCTAACTTCCATTGCTCAGTTGGTGTTACAGAGCTGTCAAATCAGATGTGAAAAGTCGCTGTCAAATATCAGAGCAGTTCAGAACTGGAAGCAGGTTCTGGCAACAACAACTGAGACATGAATCTTCAGCTCACACAAGCACATCCTGCAAATGTTAGCATTTTGATGTGCTTACTTTGCATTGTATGTAATAGAGATAGAAATGTTGGTTGAATTTTTGGAGCGCTTTAAAGCTGTGATTGTATGTAGTGGTAATTCATTTCACTGCTGTTATTCAGAAGGGCTGAACCTCCTTATTCAGTCAAATGGTTGCATGGTCTACACATGTAATATTCTGCATAAGAAAGCAGCAAAAATGTAGGTGTGTTAGAAGTTTTAGGGAGGAATATTGGCCACGGTGACTAAGTTTCAGTATCTTGTATTAATAAATTATTCAATTAGAGTGCTGTCTTTTTCCATTTTTTTTCCCCAGCTGAGCCACTAGCTGTGTAATGACACCACAATTTTTTTTAGAATTGTTTGTACAAGTAGAGGGAAGTAGAGGAAATCCCTGAAGCCCTTGAGGTTAATGTCAAAAGTCTAATCACTGAGGAAATGAGGTTTCTAAACATTGTAAGGCAAAGCCTTTCTGTGAAGCCTCTGTTAAATTTTCAGTGTTTGAAGAAAAGCAGGTAAGTTACAGAAAATCGGGTAGATGTGACCAAAAAAAATTCCAAGAAAAATTTAGTAAATACCATTTAAAAAAATAACACAGGGCTCTGATAAAACTATTAGAAATAAATTTTTGTCACCACTTCCTTTGATTCATCTGTTTTACCACTATATCCAGAGCTCTCCATCCCCTAATTCACCTAAAGTATATTAGAAGTGTGAAGACTTAATTCTGTGCACAGAGAACTTGGGTGCTTCCACTGTTGACAGCCACTGGTCTATGTGAAAATATCGTGTATATCCCATTTTGGGAATTTCTGATACTGTAACCATGGTTTGATGGCACATAGCTGTGGGGCATAACTTGCTTTTGAAATTGCTCGGCTAAAATAGATCCAATGTTGTGATAAATGGCAGACACTATCAGTGGAGCTCAGCCCCAGTCAGTACCCGAAATCTGTAATCATCCCATTAAGCTATCAGATAATTCCGTTTTCCACCTTTAGCTTCGTGGATGTCATTCCTTTTTCTATATTTGTAAGTGGCTGTTTTCTTTTCAAGTGCTTGGTAACCTCAGAAACTGTTACTCGGTGCTCCCTCTGGTGGGAGATGAGGCCGTCTGTGGCTGTTGGCACTGAAATAGCAGGGGATGCTGAGAAACCTCTACCTCAGCCTTCCTGGTACTCCTGCCTCTTCCCAGCAACACTGAAATGTGAAGGGCTTTTCCTCTCTTGCAAGCAGCAAAAGAAGTACAGATCTTAATGTTTTCTTAAAAAAGGTGTGACCACATATTCTGTGTCCCTAGTCATTGCTCTTTGTATTTAGGTTTGTTGAAATATTTCACATTTACCACTCTCGGAGGTAATCGTCTGTTTGTGCCAAGTGAGATGCACAGCATAATGATTCATTGTGCCTGGAATATCTGGTTATCCTGGGTTTTTTTTGTTCGTTTGTTTGTTTGTTTTGGGGTATTTTTCTACTAAAATAGAATTTGTAGTTAATGTATATTATTTCATATCCCTCAAAACAGTTTATATCTGAGTGTTGGTGCTCACAGTCCTCAGATGTTTGCTTTTTCCATGTAGGAGATACAACAACGACATGGACTGGCCAACTCTATCTCCTCTTACCTTATCAAACCTGTCCAAAGGATAACAAAATACCAGCTTCTTTTAAAGGTCAGTATTAATTCAGAGTTCTTCATCTGATTCTGCTGGTAGAAGAAGGCAAAGCTCTTGCTAAAATCAGAAGGGTTGTTCTACTCTAGTCTCTGAGACTCCAGCATCCTGGGCAGCCACAAATACTGCTGCAAAATTTCAACTGAAAATGAAAGAAGGCATAAACAAGCAGCTTTTTGTCCAGATCTCTGTAAACCAAAAAAAGATTACCAGTCTACTGATGTTTACTTAGAAAATATAATTTGCATTTCCAGGGTAAAAAAGTAATTCATGGCTATATGGCTATAAAACCATTTTTATAATGGTTTCTACAACAAATTTTGGCAAGACATTAGCTATGCTGATAGTATTAAATACTGTAAAATAGATATTTATATATCAAACTGTAATACAAAATATCTATAAGGCATTTAAATGTCTGTGTATTGGTAAATATCGGTAAATATTTACACATAGCGACTGTACCTGTAGAGCTGTTGCACAAAGAGTATTTTATTTATGTTGCCTGGAAATGTCAAGTAAATAGTAGCTGCAAAATAAGCACAGCTTTTGGATCCCTGTAGTTGAACTTTCACTCAGTGGACAGATGTCTTCTGGAGTGAGCAGCAGTGTTCTTGGACTGTGCTGGGTCGCTGTTAGGTGGCAATGCTTGTTTTGTTGTAGCAGCCTCCAAAAGCGCTGTAACTGATCTGTGTCTCCCCTTTTTACTTGAGAGCAGCAGTGTGTGATTGCTTTTGACATTTCTGAAAAAACATTAGAGGCTATTTCAGGTCACATTGGGTGGAAACAAATCTGTCATTTTTGACTGAAGTTTAGTGTCTGTTTTCCACTTGCAAGGAGTTGCAACTTAGTGAAGTTATTATTACAGAAATACTCTGGGCTGTGCTGCTTCAGAAATTCTGAGGAATTAATTCCAACAATTATTATTATTTTTAATATTAATATGCTTTAACCTGCAACTTTATGGAAGTGGTGGGATACATTGGTTTCACCAGTGTTTGCAGAGCCAGATGTGTTTGCTGTGTAGTAAAATGGATTTGTCTGGTGGTTGCTGGGTTTCTGGGTTGTCTTTCCTTTTTTTTTCTTTTTTTTTCTGTAATAGGAGAGAGATGTATAGCATAGTAGGATTTAGGATTAAGAGCCTAAAACTTGAATGATAAATGAAACATTTTACAGTTCTGAAAGTTTCACTTGTTTTTCCAAACGGTATTGAAGCTGCTCCTCTTCTGTGCCTCTGAGAGATACTTAGTTACTCTCACTGTTCCGTGGAATTGTCATGCAAAATTTAGGTGGGATCATGTAGTGTTTTGCTGTAATGGTGGTACTGGCAGTCGAATAAAGATATTGTAATGATCATAATAGAAGTCACATGGTTTTCTCTTTAAAAAGGGGAAAAGGAACGTAACCTGAGGGAATTAATTAAGTGGGCTTTTTGAATAACAGAAGGAACATAATATCCCTTTTGGTTACGTAACCTACATTTTATCTTGATACTGTTCAAATGCTTGAAAGCTGCCAGGAAATTTGAATATCAGCTCAGACACTGTTACATTAAATCTATGGGATTTTGAATGGACAGAGAACTGTATGCCCTAAATTCTGCTACAACACTTCAGCATGTTAAATTCTCTAACTTCTAGAGAATCTAACTTCTTCATTAGTTAATGCTAGTTTGTACTGAAAAGTTTTGTCTATAGGTTGCTTTTAACTGTGTGAACACAGAATAGTCATTCATGGAATACTTAAAACAATATAAATTCTCTTTATCAGCAGTTGTACAGAGCAGGTTTTTGGTGCAGTGGAGCGATGACTGACATGGGAGGTGGGAAGGGTCCTTTTGTGCTGCCCTGCTTTCCCCCATCTTCATGACTTGGCATCTGCATTGTTCTGGGCCTTGATGTAGCACAGCATCTGATAACTCTGTCTGTGCTTATCAAAAAAAGTTTTGTTCTTAACATAACTTTTAAAGATTTCTTCTTAAGCAGATAAACCTGTTTAAATTAGAAGTGGTTAGCTGATAGCTTGGGCTGCTCCTTGAAGAAATGATGATTATGATAGAAACAAAGTACACAGTCATGTCATTGGCAGAGTAAGAAGCTCAAAAATATTTTATGTGTCAAAAATGATTTTTGGTTTGTTATAACTACTCTTTGGTTGTCTGTCATATTAGTGTAAAAACAAATTACAGAGAGTAATTTTGTTGGCTTGCCTTTTGCAGGAGCTGCTCACATGCTGTGAAGAAGGTAAAGGTGAGATTAAGGATGGCCTGGAGGTGATGCTTAGTGTGCCAAAGCGAGCCAATGATGCCATGCACCTCAGCATGCTGGAAGGTAGGATTCAAGCTGCCTTTCCAATTCATTTTGTGCTGCAGATTAACTTTGTTTTGTGAACGTGTTATTTTGTCGGGGTTTGTATTTTTCATACCATTTTGGCGAGGCTATATGAGATGAAAATGTATTTAGGAAAATAAATCGTTGCACTCAGCTGCTAGATTTTTAGTAATTCTTGAAGTTCTTTCACCTTGATCTATAGTTCTGCCGCTACAGATGTGAAAAATGGGCTATATGAGATGTATTTAGGAAAATAAATCGTTACACTCAGCTGCTAGAGTTTTAGTAATTCTTGAAGTGTTCTTTCACCTTGATCTATAGTTCTGCCACTACAGACGTGAAAAATGTGTAGGCTAATGAAGCAGTCCACTACTCACCCAAAATGCAATAGGTGACTGGTCAGATATGCTGGCTTTGGCTGTGTTCTCCAACCTTAGCTTCTTTGTATGGGGCTCATAAGTTTATTACTGGTGATTTTGATGATTTATGTATCAAATAGTTGTCTTCAAGAAGTTTGTCTTTTTCACATCTGTTTGCTGCCTGTTCCATAACAGACTTCTGGTTGAAATTTATCTTCTGGCAGTAAAATGTCAGCATAAGCCAATTAACCCAAGCTTAAGCCAGCATAATCATGTTCATGGCAGACAGTGGAGGTTAGATGTAATGCATCTATGTGCTTAGAACAACTTCATGCCAAAATCTCTTTTGCAATTGGCACATTATCATTTATAATGGTGCAATCATACATTTAGTGATAAAAATGTTTTCCTTGCGTGTTTAAATTTTTTGAGGAAAAAGCAGGGCCCTCTTAGCCTACAGTTGCTGAATAAATACTTTTAAGTGCTTCTAGTCAATATGCCTTTTCTTCCTCTCTGCCTTCTTGTAGTAGCATGCAGCTTGTTGTGGAACTTCCAGTATTGTAGTAGGTACTGTAAAATTTGCCTTGGTTTGACATGTGATCCTTGATCGTATAAATGCCCCAAATCACCTCTGTTTCTTGATTTTAAGCAGTAAGGATGTTGGTCAGTTTACAGGATCACTTCCAAATGCTTGTCCAGGAGGTGGTCTTGGTATAAAGGCTGACATTGGGAATGTGACTCTGGAGAATATCCTAATCTTTTACATAAGTTGGTTTTACAAGAAATAGTGCGTGCATTGTTGAGTCATCCCATGTTGGACAAATACAGTGAGTGAGCACATTTCCTCTTTATGTCTCCGGAGGAATTTGAATGAACATCCTGGCGGAACTTGTTTCTGATCCTCTCCATACTCTTTCCCTGTTCAGGATATGAGAACTGGCAAGCAGTATCTATTTAAAATACATTTTGATACCACTCAGAAGAGTATGGTAGACAATTTTTGTTATCCTCCAGCTCTAAAGCTGTGTATTAAACTGGGCGAGCATTGTACCATCATAATGGAAGTAAAATTGTTGGCATTCTCAGTCTTCATCTTTTTTTCATTATGTCTGAATACAAGTGATCCAGCTGGTAATTACTTTACTGTGGATCAATTCTGGCGTGACCAATGGCAGGCTGATTGTATGCCAACAGCTCCAAGCTGCCATGTTTCTCCATCCCCAGTTGGAACACATTTCTGTGCTCATTGCCCAAATGGTAGAGAAGGTGTACCTCCAGAAAAGGTGGCATTTGGGAGCTTGCCTCTCTCAGAAGAACCTGATGTGCTCTGTGTCTTTGCAAGTTGCTTACTTTGTACAGTGGCAGAAATCTCATAAGAGAAATAATTTTCATCACAGAAGAGGTTACCAGAAGTTGACAAAGACAAATTTGTCATTTGTTGGTAAAATACTGCCAAAAGAGTTGATTAAGTTCTTAGCAGTTGGGTGTCTAAATTTAGAAGTGCATTTGAGCTGCAGCTACAACATTTAGTGTATTGCAGTGTTAAAATCAAGTCTTGTTTCTAGTATTGTTTTCTTGGAATCTCATCTTTTGGAAATTGTGTCAGGGAGAAAAAAATCATATACTTTAATGAACAGAAGCTGTGCTTTTTATGTTACTTGTATCACCAACTTTTCATGGTGAATCTTTCCTTTCACTCTGTTTTTAGGCTTTGATGAAAATATAGAATCTCAGGGAGAGCTCATCCTTCAAGAATCCTTCCAAGTGTGGGACCCAAAAACTCTGATTCGAAAGGGAAGAGAGAGGCACCTTTTCCTTTTTGAGATGTCCTTGGTTTTCAGTAAAGAAGTGAAGGACTCGAGCGGAAGGAGCAAGTACATTTATAAGAGCAAACTGTTTGTAAGTATGGAAGAACAACTGATCATATTTACAAAACTGTCTAGATAAGGCTTCATCTAAGCTCAGGTGATTTAAGTGTGTCTGAAAAACTTGAACAACTGTTAGAGAGCACTGCAAGAACAGCCTTGGAATATATAGACTGAACCTTTAGAGTTTGGTGCTTTGTTTTGCTTTTGAGGAGAAAGGATAGGCTCAAAGCAACTGCTGAAGGGTACACATCAGTCTTGGTGTGTCAGATCAAATGAAAATCAATATTGGGCTAGACTGGTTTTGTCTTAATTGTGTGTTGATTGCAAATTCTTTAACACTTATTTGCATAAAGCAGAAGGATGGAAGGAGTTGATAAGCTGTCTTCAACTTTCTTGTTCACTGTTGTATTAAGGATTTATTTTAGTGGATATTCTACACCTACTGATTGGGGAAGGCAAGAAGTTTGTTTTGGAAAAGTTCATTCCAGAATGTTTGCTGAGACCAGTAGTCTTACGATAAAGTTCTGCATATAGAATTGTAGTACTTATGGTCTACTGAAAGGATGTAAAGGTGGAAATGTTTTCTTCCCATCTTTAAAAACAAACAAGCAAACAAAAACCCAACCAAACAAAAAAAAACCCAACCAACCCCAAAACCTCCACTCTTGCTTTCTTTATCTCTAGCATGCATGCTTTACAAAATGTGACTCTGGAATTCATATCCTTACCTTCCTATCCTCTTGAATGACTTTGGTGAGAGCAGTATTCACACTCCATAAATTTAGGTAGCCAAGTGGCAAGACAGTCTCCCATGGCTTGCTCTGCATCTATTGAAGGCAAGATTAGCATTTATACCAAATAATTCAGAGCAAGTAGTTGAAATTACTTTCCGTTTCAGAACTACACTCTAGGAAACAGTATTCTTGTTTCAATCCTATTGGAACATATAACTAAGTCTAGATGGTATAAATACTGAGTCTTTTCTCTGTGCTTCTGTTCTTTTTCCCTCATTCATTCCCACTTCCCACTTCTGTGTCTAAACTGGTAAAACAGGTTGGTGAAAAAAAACCAAAACAAAACAACCTCTTTTTTTCCGTATTTTTCCATTTTTTTGCATATTCTGTCACTCCATTTCGACACTTGCTTTCCTTCCTGATACTAAATAGCTAGCAGGTAACACAGCTGCATCTGTTTGTTGATCACACCTTTCTTTGCTGCTCTTAAGAACCCAAAATAAAAAAAAAATGCTGGTGTATTGGAGAATAATAGCTGCCAAGGGATTATGTGGGAGAGGCGACAAAACTGGAAAATCAGTCCTGTTAAATTGTCATATCAGTTCCTCCAACAGGAATTTAGTAGTAGCCTTGGGTCTTAGAGAAGCTGCTGGAAATCTTGAAGACTCTCGTTGTACCTCATTTTTTAAAATATAAGGATTCTTTTTGTTGTCATATTCTATCTGGCAAAATATCCTGTAGTGCAGCTTACTATTATAGCAGCTCTTATAATTTGATCTTTAGAAAAGGCATGTGTTGAAAGCATGCATGTCGATTTGAGCTAGAGATCCTTTTTGTATGCTATCCTGTGACTTCTGGAAGGTGGCTTTACAAAAATGAGGTCCTTCTCTTTGCTTTGGGCATGATGACCATCAGGGTTTCCCCAGCAAAGGATACTCAATGGCACGATATATACGTATACATACATATATATATATATATATATATATATATATATATATATATATATATATATATATACACACACACACACACACATCTACATATATATAAGCACACACATCTATATATATATAAGCAGAATGTGTTAATGAACTCCTTTGGCAAGAGATTAAGTGTCCAAGAGCAAATGCTTTAGGAGGGCTGTGGGAAAAAAGGCAAGCAGGTGTTACTTTGACAGAACACTCTCCCAGTCACCAGTAACTGGATGTTTGGGAGTTTCCTCACCTCAGTCCAGCAACCCACAATGATTTCTGTTCTGTGAGCCTGTCCTGGAGAGCCACGTGCAGACTCAGCATCCTTTGCAGAGAGCCAAGTTGCTAAACTGCCTATTGGGCAAAGACAGTTGTGTGTGGAAGGGTAGATGTTGGGATGGGATTACTTTAGAAGAAAAAAATAACTAAACAGCTTTCACCCACCCACACAAAAAAAAAAAAAAAAAAAAAAAAAACCAAGTTGGGCCAAGTTGGTATCCAAGTGAGACAAGAAAAAAAGTACTTTTACTCAGGTATCCCATGTGTTGTGGTGTGTATGTGCTAATGATGCTGTATCATGTTAAAATACAGCTTCTAATCATGTGAGAATATTTAGCAGCTGTTGGGGAGTGAGGGCTCTTTTAGTTTGAGCTCTATTTCTTAGTTTGTAAATTTTTTTGGAACAGAGCCTGTATGAATTGTTTAAAGTGGAAGCCAATTCACATGAGTGAGATGTTCCAGTTAGAAAGTGAAAACATTTTGGATGATAATTAGCTATTAAGGTCTGACATTAGAACATTCCCAAAGACTGATTGTTCATATAGTTGTCTCACAAAATTCTCCAGGGAAACTGCATTTCTGAATTATTTCATCTGTTTCAGAGGGAAGGAAACACACTAGGAAAGTCTCATTTGACTAAAAAGAAACCAGAGTTTTAGAAGATATCAAGAGAATTCTTAAGCATATCTTATCTGAGAGAGCATAAAAATCAGTAAATAATGAGTGTTCTCCAATGGAAATTAACAGGGAGAGAAGCCAAAACTTACTTTTTGCCAAGCATCTTCTTTAGAGTTATAAGGCTTTTATTGTCAAGTCCAAAAACTAAAATAAGCAATTCAGTATTCAGATTGTGAGTGTTATTGTTTATTGCCACTTTATAGAAAAGACTGTTAAGCTTGTAGTTCTTCCTTTTTTGAAGAGACCTCACACTGCCCACCAGAATAAAGGATTCTCTCTAGCATGTGAGCTATCCTTAAGCTTCTGAAAATCTCTTTAAATAGTAGTGCTCAATTTTGTAGATTATTAGCATGCCTTTGTTGGCTTCTGAGAAAAAATGCTGTGTGGTCCTAACAATTTTTTCTTCATTCCAGACTTCTGAATTGGGTGTCACAGAACATGTAGAAGGAGACCCCTGCAAGTTTGCTCTGTGGGTTGGAAGGACACCAACTTCAGACAACAAAATTGTTCTCAAGGTAATTTTAGCAGATGTGTTTTTAGTCTCTATAGCAAGTCTTGTTGTTGTTGTTGTTATTTGTTGGGAAAGCAAGGAGTGATTTCCTGCTTTGAGAGGGACAGCTGCTGACAAATAATTTTCTTTGGGTTTGCAGAGGTAGTGGTGTATATATATCTAACTCATGTGGCCAGAGAGCAGAGGGGAGTCTTTGCAGCCTACTGAAGAATTATACAAACCTGCTTTCACAAATCATAATAGGGAGAGGTTTGATCCCATGAACTTCCATAAGCTTGAAGACTTCAGCAATTAGCAGGCAGGGAACTGGTGTCACAAAGAAATGATGGCATCAGTGTTACCTTTCACACTCAAGTCATCACTGCTTGTTGGCAATGCTGTTTTTCATGACCCGTATTTTTATGCAGAAAACAGACATTGCAAAAGATTTTTATGTCTTTTTGTGGGCTACAAGTTTTTCTGAAACTACTTGCCTTTGGAAGAAAGTGCATGTAATGCCTATAAATTTTGTGTCTGGGCAAGTTACAGGTGTCAGTAGAGCTGTTTGCCTAGCTAGAAGAATGGCTAAATCAGTGTTTTCTGTGATTATGGTATGTAACCTGGGACTCCTTCTACTGGAGAACCTGTTTTATAATACCATAAGCAGCTAATGGGTAATCTGGCATGTTTTGAGGAGCTCTGTTGAGCTGAAACAAAGTTCATGTTCTCATTTATAGATTAATGCACCTGCTATTAAACTTGTTTGTGATTTCACATATATTCATAGTGAATACTGAATAATGTCACTTAAAAATGGCCTCTTCAATTCACATGTCACACTCTTCCTTGTGAATTACAGGCTAACAAAAGCTTACATTAGCTTTCTGGCAGCATTCAAGGAATGCAAGGAAATTAAATGTAACATTAATGCATGCTAGATTTTCTTTCAGTTTTTAATGTTCCCATAATTTCACAGACAATGCTTTGCAGCCTGAAATGATCCTCCCAGGGCAGAGCAGAATAAAAGGTTTTAATTAAGGGTTCTCTACATAAGATCGCTTTAAGGTGTTTCTGTTCTGTACTTTACTTAGTGCATAGGATATTTAAAAAACTTCTATGATACATCAAGCTCTTCCACAATTTTGTGGACTCTGTTTGTTTCTTCGGTTTTGAAGGCTGGAAACAAGCACTTCCTTACCTCATTAATATTAGAAGTAAATTCAACGAAAAACTAAATAAAAGATTTTTTACAAGTTCATGTTTATCTTATTTTCCTAAATGTTTTTGTTTGTAAAATAAAACAAAATTCTTTTTCCTACCTGTCCATCTGTTTCTGCAATTTTCTTCATCCCTTTGGAATTCCTGGTTATTATATATTTATAATATATTTAATATTTATAATATGTTTGAAGCCAGTTATTTCAGGAGACAGCAATTAAGAGAAGTAGTTTATAATTAAGGAAACTATATATAATAATTTCTTCAGATCTTCAATAATATTTATATTTAGTAGCATTTTAGGTTCAGGGTTAAATTGGACTAAGCAATCAGATTACAAGTCAGGCAGGTGGATATCAAGTAATTTCTGGAGTTTAAAAAAAATAAATTTGTTGCAGGCAGTAATTAGAATACAGTCCCTAAATTAGCTTTGTGCCTCGAGATATGTATCAAAATGTGGGAAGAGTAATACATGAAATGTGTTGCAGTAAAAGTTAACTTCTTTTGCCAGTAATAGTAGGTTATTATTCTTTCAAGTTAGAATTGACCTAAAATGTAGGGTGAGTTTAAAATACCAGTATTCAAGGTGTTATTACTGGAATTCATCTAATTCTCATGAGATGCGTACAGGGCTTTAGTCATCAAGTTAAAAAAGTAAACTCTGAATTAAGGTTAAAATGGTTTTTAAATTACCAATATTAATAATGTTGAGAGGTGTAAAGTAGTGTTGGCAATTCAAAATTAAGACAGTCAGCTAGAATTTCCTTTTCTCTGTTCAAGTTTTCAGAAATTTTTCACAAAGTCATTCTTTATGCGTTCCTCTTTGTGTTTATTAGCTGACTGCATGTGTGGATCTACTCAGCCATAATGGTCCTTTGTGGGGGTTTTGTTTCTTTTGCATATCAAAGGCATCCAGTATAGAGAATAAACAGGACTGGATCAAACACATCCGGGAAGTGATACAAGAAAGGACTATTCATCTGAAAGGAGCATTGAAAGAGCCCATCCACATTCCCAAAACTGCACCAACAACAAAACAGAAAGGAAGAAGGTAAGCAGTATTTCAAATAATCAGAGATCTCTAAGTATACAACAGTGCTCTTTCCCCTGTAGTGTTGAATTTTGTATGCTTTTAAGTGAATTGGACAAAAGCAAGAGTCATTTTGTCCAGTTTTATCTTATCATTAATTTACAGTTTCCTGCAGTGCTGAATTTGTTGAGATTTCTGCTCTGAACAGTCCCTGGCTTGTGTAAATGAGCCATTACAGAACTACAGTACAGAATAGCTGTACATTTTAGATTTTTGCAGTTCTGCATGTGTTACTCAGGTCCTTCATTTTCCTTTTATGAAGTTTGAAATGTGTCACCAAGTGTTCTTCTTGCTAGCTTTGTCTAAGTGACTGGGCAAGTTTGTTGCCATATTTCTGGCTCACTGGTTGTTGCCTTAATTCTACATGATGTATACCTTGCAAATTAATCTCTTCTCTTACAGTTGAGAACAGAATATTAAGTACTGAGTGTTTGATTCTTGCATCAGTGAATTTGATGTCTGTTGCCACACTGGGAGTGTCTCACTTCCTTAACTAGCATGTTACAAACACAGTACCACTCTTGTAATGAGAACTGAATTCTTTGCAGAGATGGCGAGGACCTGGACAGTCAGGGAGATGGCAGCAGCCAGCCTGATACTATTTCAATTGCCTCACGAACCTCCCAGAACACGCTAGACAGTGATAAGGTAAGTTTCTCAGGCATTGCTCTGTGCTGAGAGCGGGTGATTTGTCCCTTAGTGTGAATTAGCACCCGAGATTAGTCCTTAGTACCGTCAGAGAAGAGGCATGGAAATACTCAGTCTCTTAAAAATAGCTGTCTGCAATAGAGAAAATACCCAGATACCATGGGAGAGCAGGAGTGATTGTTTAATAGGTCATTAAGAGATTGTTTGTGCCAATTTGAAATAATTTTGGTTCCCTCTGTTCTGGAGTTTGCTCAAAGATTTGACCCAGTTTAACATGAAAGTTTTATTTTCCATAAAATTTGATAGTGATGCACAGAATTTTTCTTGATGTTCATCTCAGCCTTCCTGAAAGCATACCATCTGCTTTTCATGTTGGCTTCAGGCAGGTGATTGCCACAGAGTTACTGTTGTAAAGGAAAAGTACTCTCCAATGTTTATGGGTTAGGGAGTAGGTGTTCACTCTCTGCACGAAAGCTGGTGGAATTGTCCAGAAGTAACCACCAAACTGTCATTTCATACTAGTGCTGGTGTTTCCTTTCCTCCATCTCTGCCTGTAGACTCTGGCTGGATTATACCATAAGGATACACAGCCAGAGTTTCCCCTGGGTGGAAGTTAGATAATTGTCAAAAGAATAAAAATTTTTCTGAAATGTGTTTGTTACTTGGAATTGAAACAAAATTTTTGGCAAGTGAGAAGTGTTCAGACCCTGGAGGGAGGTAGAGGTGGATAATAAAAGTTTATCAAACAGAAGAATGACTTAAAACACTGAAGATGCCTAGCAAATTACTTCAAAATTTGTTTAGGGATTTCTGGTCTATTACTTCCTTGTGTAAAATTGTTCTGATGAGCCATTCACACTATGCAGATAAATAACCAGTATTCTTCAGGGTAGCTAAATGAATAGGTTCTCAGAATACTATTTTGACCATTCCCATCATCACCTAAACTCAGTGAGTTTTCTCTATTTTCACATGTTGCTCAAACTCTATGGTTTGATTTTTCCATATAGAGAAGCAGACAGGAGGGAAATATTAGATGCTTAGGTTGCTCTTGAATTTTTCAAGAACAGCCTATGTTTTGACTTTTTGCATATGTACTGAGGTTGGTCTATAGTTTTGGTAGTGGCTTCTTCTAAAGATACCTATGAGAAGAACAGTTGGTTAGAGGAAGAACTCTTTTGATGACTTTTGTTTTGCTGTCTTATTCTTAGCATTCTAACTTCATTATTTAGGGATTTAAAAACATTGAGTTTTGTATGCTAGCAAACAGTTCTTAAGAGAAGAGTTTAGGTAACCTGTGACACTCAGAAGCAAGACATGCTCTCTGTGATTTCCCTGGTTGTTGGCTGAGGCACCAGGCTGGGTGCATGCAGGCTGAAGGCGATGCAGTCCATCTCTGCCGTGCAGAGCCAACACCCTTCTCTTTGTGCACTAGGGTGCATAGCACAGTTGTCTCCTGGTGCCCCTCACAGGAATATTTCATGCATGGTGTGAGAATTGCTGAGAAAGGTGGCCAAGCAGAATGCCCTCAGGATTGTTTTCCAGTCTGACATGAGGAGGAGTCTTACCAACAACCTGTTCAACAGGAGTTAAAAGGAGGAGGAATGGAAGGAAAAAGAAATGGAGAACACTTTTCAGTATATTTCTGACAGGTTTTAGGTGTGATTAGTGACTGTACTGTTGTATTTAAATTATTTTGAGAGCTTGCACTTGTGCATAAAATTTTTATTAGACTTTCCTTTGCCAAGAAAAACAAGTTGATGACTCTCTGGAAGTTACTTGTGCTGTGTGTTGTATGTCCAAGGAAGGAATTTACTATTGTGCACTTCTGAAAAGTGTGTGAATTAGCAGTGTAGCTTTATTTGATGTTTCTATTGTATGGTTTGGTTTGCTGAATACATTGAGAAAATCTTGAATCTGTTTAAAAATACAAAATAAAAATTATTAAGGAACAGTAACAGGAAAGTGGCCAGTGAAATCTGCAGCGTGTCTTAACGCCATTGCCGAGTCTGAGGTAATCTCTCACTTTGGATGTTGAAAATTCATTAGCTGCAGTCGATTTGGGGTTTAAAATCAACTCTGCTTTATTAGCCTAGAAGCTTGAAGTATGTGTGAATGTCTTACAGAATGGAGTTTAAAACAGTTGTACAGATTTCAAGTGCTGTTGATGTGGTTAGCCAGATGAAGCAGTGGAACTCCTTGGTCAAATTTGGAGCATGTAGCTAACTGAGATGGGATTCCAAACCAAGAAACATTAAAAAATATCAAGCAATTAAAACCAGTAATAATTAAGTAGTAGAAGTGTTTAGTGCTATATTACTTATTAAGCTCTTGCTGAACATTTTTCTGTTCACATGTATCTGTTATTGAGAAAAGACAAAAAATATCAAACACATTATATTAATCAACAGCCAAGTAAAACCATTCTTTTACTTCCTCCAATTATATATTCAGACAGTTCATTCTTGTAAAATAAATGTTTTGGTTAGAAGTGCTGAACTGTTACACAGGGAGTATATCAAGAATGAAGTCCTTTATCCAAATGTCAATATTCTTTCTCACCTCCTCAGAGATACACTTTGAAAGAGCTGAAAATCCTTAACCTTGATAGTACGTGCTTGAATATTGTCCAGATGAACTTCTTTCCGTGCATCCTGTTTTCTGACATAATTGTAATTGCCATAACAACAGAGAATAACTTCATGATTAGCGTTGTTCTTCTCCACCCTTGCTTTTTAGGGCTAGAATTTTAACTTTTGATTTTTGGCACCACTGTTGTAATGCTGCTTTTCAGTGATGACTGGGATGATGCAATAGACCATATGTTTATAAAGCTGACATTGACATCCTTCCCAGCCTCATGTCATCTGAAAACAGTGCTGGAAGGCAGAATTAGAATTCAGAATAATCTTGGCAATGGGAAAAATTAACTGGCAAAATTCTGTGCAATTTAATAGGAACACATTTGAGCTTATATGAATAGGTAGAAATAGTTAACAAATGAAAACAGCGAGAATCTGAAACAGTTTTTGAGAGGATGACTGAGAAGCTACAGAGGCTCACAGGATGTTTATTATTTAGCTGTGTGATGCATCTGGGAGGGCAAAGAAAGCTGCAATGTATTGGCTTGTAGAAATGGGTTGTTGAGGACACTAAGTCCTCATTCTTTACTCTGAACTCATAAGGCTTACATTAGATACTGCATCCAGTTTTGAGTACAGAATTTTGGAAAATCAGTGGTCCATTGGAAGAACTCTGAGGGAAAGAAGAAAAAGATTGATTAGAAGTCTACTAAACCTAACTTACAGGCCAAGGTAAAGAATTGGGGCTAACAAGTCTAAAGGGAAAAACAAAGGCAGGAGGAAGACCTTTAGGTCTTCTAATGGGGAAAAAGGCTACTGCACAGAGTTACTAAACAGGCTTTTACCTATATTTTAAGTGGATGGGATGAAATCAAATTACTTATTTTTAAAAAAGATTGCAATAATACTTTATGGGTATGAAAATGTGAAAACCTAGAGCAGAGTAATTGTGAAGGCTGGGGAATCTCCGTAACTGGAGTTCTGTGAGAACAGTTTGGATAAATGTTAAGGATTCATACAGATGTGGTCAATCACGCTCTAGAGGAAGAGAATGAAGTGGACTAGGTAATTTAAGATCCCTTTCTGGCCTTTTTTTATTATCATGGGGTGTATCTTCATATTGCAAGACATGATAAATATTTACATCAATAGCACTGACCCATCCTGAAGCATTGGAAGGTATAATGGAATCCAGCATGAAATACAGAATTTTTGAGAAAGAGATTTCTATTCCATCAAAGCATCTCAGTTTTCTGCGTGAGTGCTCTCATTGTACCCTTCTCAGTAAATATTTTGCCCTTCACCTTTCACAGCATTCCTTCCATTCACATTCTGTAGATGTGTAGCCAGCATTTTAGGTGGCTAACGGATAAAAGAGATTCTTGGACCACTCATTTGGCCTTGCATCAGCCTTGTCTCATTTTTAACATTGTCTTTTGAACTTGATCCAGCACACAGGAAATTAAATAGGGAGGCCGAAGGAAACAGTGGAGGTCTGATAGGTTTTTTCATGCTTCTATTCAGTGATCTGGTAGAAACATAAAATAATCCAAACTAGTATCTAAGAACATGAGAGGCTTTCAGAAGAAGAGCTGTCACAGATTGCTATCCTAAATAGTAGGAATCATGCTAGCTGCTGTGAGTGGTCAGTAGAGCAATATTTTATTTTTAGGAAATTGTCTTTTGTGCCCAGCTGGTAACACTTTGTATTACTGTCTATGTGAAGTTGTATTTCATTTTCATGCTTCTTTAAGCTTGTGTGTAGTTCTTTGAAAGACAGAAAAAGGATTGAAGCAGCAGGAGACAACCAGGTATTTAGCTCTGCCAGTTGAGTCTCCAGAAGAGAAAAGGCGCCAATCAGTAGGAAAAAAAATGACAAAAAAAAAAAAAAAAGTAGACATGGCTCTGAGTACACACCTCTTTTCAGAGTCAGAAACCAAGTCTGCACAGCTACCTGGTCAAACCAAATCGCTCTTTGAGGCAGAAATTTTGTACTGTCCCATTTATTTTCTGCCAAAGTGCACTTGTTTCCATTTTAAACAGGGATTAAAGATTTTTATGCTTGAAATAATTGAGAAATCTTGTTAGCTTCTCTTTGCTTTCCTTTCATCTTAATGTAAAATTAGTATGGAAAATTAAATTTCATTTGCAGTCCTCAGAGAATGTTATATGGCCTGATGTAAAGGCTCTTGAATATCTGGACAGTCATGGTGTTTGCAGGTAATGGTGGCAGATGGACTTAGTGTGGTGTCTGTGACTTCAGCAAACCTATGCTAAGAATGTACTCAGTAAGTGTTCACATGTTTGTGTCATTTGTTTTTTTCTTTCTCTCTACAAGCAACAGTGACTAAAAGGCCTCAGAGAGGTGAACATAGATGGATAACATTAATTTCAGCAACTGCAAGGCACTATGTCCCATGATAAGCTGTTTAATTAAACCTTGTGCCTTTTTGTAATCTGCAGTTCTGTTTCTGTCTGGCTTTTGTGTCTCATCTCGTCTGTCTCTCCAGTTTCCATGTTTCAGACATAGCATCATTTATTTTTATCATGCATGATTAATTCAGTTTACATAAAAGCTTTCTTGAGAAGGATGGAAAAGTATATAAAGCCTTTGTTCATCCTAAATTTGGATTTTGATGGTTTGCAACTCTTTTCCCTTCAGTGCAAGTCAGTCTCCCAGTTTGTGCTGTGCCTCTCACTCTTCCCTGCAGCTAGCCTGGAGAGCCTTGCCAAAGCTGTCCAACAACAGCTGTTGAGCAAGACTCTTAATCACAGACACTCCCTGCTGTCCAACTGTATTTAATCAGTGTGAAAGATGAAACTGCTTTCAGAAAGTGTGCTATGGAGAGAAATTGAGCAATGAAACAAAGAGGAAAGAAGTGTTTCCTAACCACTACTGTAGTGGACAGAAAGAAGGGGAGTTAACCCAAAGGAAGGGAAAATTGGGAAATGCTTTTTTTTGCTCAGCTCTCCAAAGTGTCACATGTGTGTGCTGAGTACAGAAATCATGGTTTTCGGTGTTCTAGCAGTGGTGGAAAAGTTCTGCACTAAGCTGCATGTAACAGCATAGGTATATGTTTGAGGATGGTGTGGACTAACAATCCTGGGCAAGAAGTGTCTTACATACTATACTGAAGTGTGAATGAGTATTGAATTTCAGCGGAATACTGGCCAGCTAGGATATGTAATTATGACATTATCTGAAAAACTAGGAATTCTGTGTACTTTGGCCATCTGACATGGCCACTGACAACCTTCATTTGCTTTTTTTCTTTAGCCTAACGTTATATTAATATTTATTATTAATATTATATTAATTAATATTATAAAATACTCAGAAAACATAAAATCTGAGATGCTACTTTTTTGTTTTGTTAGGGGAAAGAAAAGAAAGAACAACTATATTACCAAAATATGTGGCCATTGCACCAGTCACAAAAAATACACCTTAATCTCTATTTGTTGGAAGTGAAGGGTCAGGAGAGCAAACAGAGCACCAAAGATATGCTCCTGGAGGTATTTAGGAGGAAATATAAGGATGAGATGCAGTTTCTGGAAAGTGTCAGCTTGTTACTGTGCTTGCACTGGATGGGATATGGACTCCTGAGAAAAATTTGGTCTGCCCTGGACACCTTGTGAAGTCATACTTCATCAGCTTTTTGTTAGTTCCCATCAGGCATACAGATGGTTTCAATTCTTTCTGAGTTGGTCTGACAAAGGCTGTAACATAAATCAATACCAGAAAACAAGGGAAAACTCTTTACTTTTTCCCCTTTGCATAGCTTTGCATGGACTAAAAAAGGGAGTGTAAGGGAACAGGAAACATTTTAATGAGGGAGGAGGTTACATGTTTTGAAGGCGTAACCCCCCCTGTAATTTGTGTATTGGGGCTGTCCGAAGAGACAGCGTAGAAGCAATTTTTAGCCTGTATCTAAACGGGTACAACCTGATTTATCTTCCTTAAACACTAGATGTATGGAGGTTTTCTGCCCTTCTTGGCCCCAGCATTCCCTCAAGAAAACTTCTGCTCCTTTGTAAGCACACACAAGCAATGCTAGCCAGTGAGATTAGCAGGCAGATACCATGGGAAAGCTCTGGAGTTACTGCAGCCCATCTGCTAGGAGTTATGTTCTGTTTGTTGCAGACTTGAGGAAGAGAAGGTTGGAGTTGTCCTTTGATTCTTACTGGGATTTTGCTGGTTTTGTCATTTACTCTGAAATTCTTGCTTGATAACAAATAGCATTTTCCTAGAAAAGTTTGTCCAGTACGGTTTCCATTCCAGGCTTGTAACAAACACTAATAAATAAGAAACAATGCAGTCTCTTATCTCCTATTTCTGAAGCTCATGAGATGTAGCTGGCAGCCATGAAACAGTCAAAAGCAATGTGGCAGGATCTGTACAGTGTGTTGGTGTGACACTTGCTTGTAGACGTGATTTAGCTGGAACTCTCACAGGGTATTGGTCCTCCTTTGTCAGTGCAGAGCATTGCAAGATTACCTCACTGAGCTGAAGGAGTTCACTGGCTTGGTTCAAAATTACTGAATTCACAGAAGTTGAATACCAGCAGAGATCTGGTATGAATGTTGCACTGAAGCAGCCAGAGCTATAGAAATGCTCACGCATGAAAAACTGAAGTAGCCTGGAATGCTGTTGCTGTAAGGAAGAAGGAATTCTAGGACTGCTTGCTTAAGTTGGATGGATGCTTTGGCACTGAGCAATCTTGGGAACTTTGCAAAGTTCTGATAATAATTTTCATTTCACATCAAAGCAGATGAAACAATCAAAGAGAGGAAACTAAAGCTTAGGCAAAGTTATTCTAATTAAGTGTTTTGAAGAGGGAGAGGAAAACCCTAAGCTTGCGTGATTTTAATTCAAGTTTATGCAGTTTTATTTGGGGAAACCAGCAAAAATGTGGAAGTTGTAAGCCTGTGTGAATTTTCTGTTAAACAGTTGAGTATTTGGAATGTTTTGTGAAGAACTTTATGCTGACTTTTACAATTGTGTATGATGTGTCCTGGATGATTTTGTGACCTGTGTGTGAAAACTGTGAGTAGGGTGGGAAAAAGGCAGCAAGTTCATTTGAAAAAACTACCTCTTTCTCTCTTGAATTTGAAAGATAACATGGGTAACTGTATTTAGTAATATCTCATCTTTTTTTTTTGCTAATTATCACGCATAAAATATATTCAGAAGCAGCTGCTACTTCAGCTTTTGGGATACGGAGCAGTCTAGCAAGAAAAGCTGCTTAAATCCTCCGCCCAGCACTGTCACAACCAGTGTGCTTTGAACAATAGGCAGAGACAAGCAGAGTTAGAAATGTGTTCTAAAACGCCAGAACAGCCTGATTTTGAAATGCTCTCTTCTTGACGTGGAAAGTCCTAGAAGCCTGCTACCTCATCCAAAATACAAATCCTGCCAGGAGCCCTAAATAGGTACCGGTGCGTGACGGACGGTTTGATAACGAGCATTCATCTGGCTTCTCCTTGTTTTGTCCCCTCGCAGTTGTCTGGTGGGTGCGAGCTGACTGTGGTGATCCACGACTTCACCGCCTGCAACAGCAACGAGCTGACAATCCGCCGTGGGCAGACAGTGGAGGTCCTGGAGCGGCCCCATGACAAGCCCGACTGGTGTCTGGTGCGAACCACAGATCGCTCCCCAGCTGCGGAAGGCCTGGTCCCCTGCGGGTCCCTCTGCATCGCCCACTCTCGCAGCAGCATGGAGATGGAGGGCATTTTTAACCACAAAGGTAAGGAATGATGGGCACAAAGTCTAGACAGCAGCAGCGTGGGTTTTGGGCAGCGGAGAGTACCGTGCATATGGCAGCTTCGGTGTTCTGCACTGCCTTGTTTTCAGCAGCCACTTTGTCTTTTCCAGGAATAAGCAGTTGGCAGTTCTCAGCATTGAAGGAAAATGTGGCTGGAGATAGGGAAGAGGTTTAAGCAAATTATATCTTGATGAAGAGTTATATATCATATTAGATCAAGCTGTAGTGATAGGAAAATCTGTACCTGAGAAGTGCTGAAAGTGGGGAGGGAAGAAAATCTCTGGCATGGATTATCAATGTTTCCTGAGAAACCCTGCAGTAAGAAGTCATGAAGGTTCAGCAATGGAAAAGGTAAATACACTCCTTCATATGCCCTGGCACAGGAATTGTTCATTTGGACTTCTGTGTTTTACTTAACTGAGCTTTTCAGAGTAGCACTGGCACACTTTTCCCCAGAGCATCTCTGTTTTTTTTGAGATTTTTTCAGATGAGTGAAAGAATATTCCCCTGAAGGGTGCAAGAAAAATCTGATGATTTTTTGAAAGGTTTTAGGATTTTAGTGTGCTCTAATCTTTTGCCTCTGTAAACTATCCAGGCTCAAAAAGTAGATTATTATTAGAGAAAATGCCTGCTTGCCTCATTTGCAGCTACTTGAGTTTGTAGGCTGTGAACAGAAAGAAATGTGAACTTACAAAAAAGGAGGAGGGGAAAAAACAGAAAAATAGTTTATTAGAAGGCATTTTGTCACATGCTATGGGAAAAGATGCATTTCAAAGAGATTGTTATTGCAGCTAATAAGGTTAGCAGACAAGTGATGTGGAAAATTTGTCTTCCAAAACACAAAATTCTAGTTTTTGGAAAGTTTTTCATAAATGTAACCACAATTTTTTTAATTATTCAGTCCATTCCAGCTATTACATTTTTTTCCCATTTTTTTAAAGATACTGTATAAATATGCTTGACAAAAACAGGGGTGAGTCTGGTTTTCTTACATTAGGGGCAGGCACAGCAGGAACTTCCTGAATGCAGGGCAGTTAGGGGCTGGGGGGCAGGGGGAGTTTGAAGGATTGAGCTATATAGTTGTAGTAGTCTTTTTTCATTTTGTGTCCTACAATAATTTGGATAGGGAAAGCTTGCAGATGTTCTGATGAGAAAATGGGAAAGTGTAGTTGAGACTAGGGGGTGAAATCTGCATTTTTTTTTTAATAACACTCACAGGAACTGATAAATCCAATTTCCTTTGGAGCTTACGGACTTCACCTTTGAATGCAGAGAATTTTATTAGGAGAGGCAGATTGTAGTGGACTATATGTATATATGTGTGCATAATATGAAATACCTTGAGCCTGTCAGAATCCCGAGGGACAGACTGAGTTGGTTTTGTGTTTGAGAAGTTACAAAACTTCTTTTATCAAACCAGTGAACATGACCTGTATTCCTTTTTTTTCTTTAGAATTTGTTTAGGGAAAATGAGGCAGAGCATTTCAAGGATACTTTACTTTGTTTAACATGGTGCTTTGAAGTAAAGAGCATTAATTAATTATATTACTCACGGACACTGGAGAAGAAGAGAAAGCCATTGCTAGAATGAGCATAATTTGCAGGGTTGAATGCAGCCCCAGAAGTGCCTTCTGTCCTTGCCACAGGCTTCCTACGGGATGTTATAGTATGCCATCCTAATCCCAACTGATGATAAGCAGCTGCTAATTGTTTATTCCCACACTGCTGGATGTCAAGCTTTAGGAGATGGATGTTTCATTTGTAAAGTTTCCCCTGCCTGTGACTGAAGCGAGTGTGAACTGCCTTGAACATGCAAGCTGTTATATAATGTTAAGTAGTCTGGAGAGGGAAAAAAAAAGGGTAGACAAGGCACTTGAAACCACTGGATTTGTTTCACTTTGGTCCCTACCTCATCTTTCTGTTGCTTGAAAGAGGTTGATAGTCTTCATTTCACTGAGGGATTATAAAAATCAAGCAAAACCAGTGGAGTGCTTTGATTTTATTTTTCCCCCCATAGTGAAAAGTACCTCAGAAAATCCCACAAACCAATTATTCATTCTCAAGTGCTGCATTTGATTAAATAAAGCATCAGGGAATATGCTAATCAGAAGAATGGAAAAACAATTAGATGATCTTCTCAGAATTGTTCATTGTGGGTATTGATGGAGTTATGAATTCCTAAAAAACACTACTAATCCTCTAACAAAGAACAAGTGAGTGACTAACATAATTTTAAGTCAGTCTATGTTCTTGGGTGGATAATTTTTCATGTAATCCCTAGATTTCTAGTACTTAATAAAGGACCTTCAGTCTTTACAATAGAGATTTTCATTTCCTTTTTTGGCATTAATTCTGTAAAACTTTCAAGAGTTTTTGAGAGATTCAACAAATTAGGATTTTTTGGTCTGAAAATACACATCCTGTGTAAGGTTCACAGTGTGAGCATCAAGTCTGAGTAATTCTATATAGTTCATGAACTAAGACATGAGTCCTGGAGTTTTTGCATGTCTCTCGTGCAGGCTCTTGGGAGAGGCTGAGGGAAGGAGAGGGTTTATGTATTGCAGGGGAAAGAAGGAGGTGATCACCATCAGAAGTGGTGGGGTTGGTTACTTGGGTGTAGAGTGCTTAGCTTACACAGATGGTTTGCTGAAGAGTTTTGTACTCCTTTCAGTATCTATGGACCCTACAATTTTGATCTTCTCTACAGTGTTTATCAGTAGCATCACTTGCCAACAATACAGAAAAGAAAAATAAAGGAAAAAAAAAAAGGAAAGCTGCAGCATATCAGAGGTGAAATGAGCTTCAAAGTTTTGAAATGGCAAACTTCTTGTAATTGACAGCTGGTTCTTATGGTGTGTCAAACCACATCTCATCACTGAGTACAGAAATGTTGGGTGATACTGAATGCCTTAAATAATCACAAATTATTATCCAAAGTAGGGAAACATGCATGATTATTAAAAAAGCAAATATGTTTAGTGAAGCCTAGTTCTAACAGTTGATCTTGGTCATTCCTTGTCTGTCCACACATTATCTGTCAACCATGAAAGGTAATGTTTTTTTATTCTCATGTTAAAAGACTGCCTCAAAAATGACCTTCATCAATTGCCTACAAGTGTTAGGTATTGCTTCTCCTCTAAGAATGTGTATTATCTAAAGCATCAAATCATTTAATGAATGGATTAAAAAGTACATTTATAATATCTTCCATCTGTAAAATTTTGTGGTAGTTAAGGTAATAAACACTTTGTTAAGAATATGAGGAAAGCAATGCACAGAAAAGATGTTCACTACATGAATAGTAGCTCAGGAGGAGAGTTGATTGCGGGTTCCTGACCTCTTGCTCTGCTGGACATCAAATCTATTTTTGCAAGTTATTTGGGTCATTCAGTCAATTTGATGTGCAGTACACAGATGAATACATTTTTAAAAAAATCTAAATCCCTTTTATAATAGGGGGAAAGAGAAACAAGGGAGTAGTGAAGAGGCTGAATAACAGTTGGTGCACTCTACAAAAATAAATCACTAGCTCTGGAAGAACATGTTTTTCACAAGTAATGCATAAGGCAACATTTTTTTTGTAATGATTTCCCACATGTTTTTGGGTGTGGGGGAGAAAGATTGTTCCTGTTGTTTTATTTGGTCCTTCTCTGTTTTTTAACATGGGTTTCTTTTCCTTCTAGGGTACATCCTATCTCATAAGTGCAGTCCTCTTTCTTTTCTTTGCAGGGCATTTACACTACCACAGAGCTTTGGGTAAAGGGCAGGAGACAGGATTCAGTGTAATGAAAATGAACATGTAAGCTCAGAAAAATTGGCAGCTATTTAAAATTGTTTGTGAATTCTTGCCTGTTTAGCTCACAAGTTTACTGTCTTTTCTGAATCTGTGACTACTTCTGAAGAATTTGTGCCATCATATCCATTCTGTAGGAGCTACTGTTTGGAGAAATACAAAGGCTGCAACAAGCCATTGCTTATGAGGCTTACATTTATGTCTCCTTTAAGTGACAAGATTTTGGGGCGGGGGGGGGGAACCAGGTCTAATTGCCAATTCACATTCCTATATGTTTGTTTAAAAACTTGGCCACAGAAGTCTTTTGTTTACCTGAGGGTACAGTGTTTGTCTGTTTTACACCATCACGTAATCCAGGAATCTGTGTAGGTTTGTTCAAATATGAGAGGTAGGTGATGTCTTTGTAACACGGTGCCAAACCACACACCACTCACATACTGAATACTGATTTTGCTCTGAGGATACTGTGCTGACTGCAGCCGTAAACACAGAAATGTGGTCTCTCTCAGAGAATCTTAATAAGGCAGATCAAATGCCTTTGCAAGACAAAGGTTGACAAATTTGTTCAAATAGCTGTGTAGTAAGCCATTTTCTGTATCTGCAAGATGGGAAGGACTGATGTAGGGCAGGTGTCAGAGCTCTTCTTGAATTGCTCTAGGAACCCTCTGTTCAAGAATTAAGGAAGACAGAATTTGTGTGGGTGACCTAGAGATATTTCCCAAGAAGAGAGAGATATTTTATGACTGAGGCCACAGAATGGGCTAAAACAGTCTTGAATTTGTTACATTAAGTAAGCTTGCTATCACACAACTGGATCCTATTCAGAATACCAGTTTTCAATGAAAGGAGAAGGAAGAGAGTAAAGGTAAAAGTCTCAGGTGTGACTGAGATCTTTGAAAACCATGTTGAGTCTAAATACTGTTCAATACAGCAAGAGGAAGCTCTGTGTATCAGCAATAGAATTTGATCCAGCAAAATGGGCATCCAGTTTGAATAACTGAAGAAGGACTCCTGGTTTGTAGTGGAAGAAAAGGATGACTGGGCAGCAGCAATTGTTTGCTTAGGAGCAGAGGGAGGCTGTGGAAGGGGAGGATTTGCTGTTTTGAGACTGCAAGCAAGTGAAGCATAGGCCATGTGCAAGGAAAAAGGATCCCCACCCGTGGCTCAGAGCCAAAGCGCTGCCTGTGAG